AACCCCCGAGGGCACGGGACGATGTCGCAAACGCAATAGCGTTCGCTTTTAGCAATGGGTCAAGGCCGCTATCCATCAACAGCCCCTGTCTGAGATCGATGACATCGACGTCAATCCCGATTTCCATGCCAGTCAGGCTTCGCAAGTCAGAGTGCCGGGTCCAAGGACCATGGTTGATTTCGTTTCAAGCACTGATTACGAAAGAGCGCGACAGAGGCGAGGTTTCGGTCATCTCAAAATGTAGGGGTTTCTAGGTATGGCGCATAGACGGAGCAGTGCCTGGGAGCTAGTCGAAGCCTGGATTCCTCTTCCTTCCCATACATCCACCCAGGAAATAAGTCGGCGGTTTTAGGATACGACTCGTGCTTGCTGGAGGCTCATCTCCTGAGTGGCCTTTTCCCGGCTTCCTCACACAGTTCGCCGCCACCACTGCCCACCACTGCCCACCATCCCCTAGTCCCCCGCCAACGTCGCCCACGTGGCGCAGGCCCAGCAGAGCGGCACCAGTCCTTGCAGGTTGGCTTGGTCCCTACTTTGGGCCTATCGGCCGCCTAAGAGAGGCCGCCCAAACGGCGCGTCGCTCCCCTTTCGGGCCCCTCCCGCAAGCCACTTTGACGACAATGGGTGTATTCCATTCCAACTCGTCGACTCGTAACCACTGGATCTTCAGACTCCTGTTTCGCTACGATGCGATGCACAAGGGAGTACTCGATTAGCGACTGGGATGTGCATGCCCCTGTTCGACCCAACCGCCAAAACCTTACAAGCACCTCCGGATTCGGAGCTGCACAAAGGTGAATCGTTGGGGTATGGATAACAATTCCAACGGAAAGCATCGTATTCCCGCAAGCCACAAGGCTAGTTCCATGGCCGTCCCGAGATCATCATCTGCCGAAGGAGACTCAATGGTCTGCACCGAGTACTCGGAACAAGTGATAATCTCCTGGCAACTTTTTCTGCTGAGAAATCCTCGAACCGTCGCTGGGGGATGACACTGCACCCCACCTCCTTTTGTTGCGTACGCTCAATTTCGGCTTCTGGATTATTCGAGACGTCTTCTTTCGCACCCACAGGAAGAGCGAAGAGCGCTCGACAACAGAAGCCCCACCATCCACGTTGACTCGAAGCAATTTTGCAGAGGTGGGCAGGGTTACAGTCGTCCAGGCGCAGATGTGAAAGAGGGCATGGATAACCCCCGTTCTCTTGCGACTGTACCAGAAACCGAAGTGACCATACCTGCTCGTAGTGTCCTGTGTCCGATCGCCTACCCGAAGTGGTCCATGGATCCGGGCATCTAGACATCTCTGCATGTGTCCGAATGACCACTTAATAGCTGGGCCTTGCTGCCGTGTACTTGGTAGGTATTGTCGTTGTGGCAAACATGTTGATAACTTTGCTCTCCGGGATAACGAATCAGCTTGACAAAGCAGCCGTGGGGGTTAGGCCATTACCGACGAGTATTGTTGCAGCCAGAAAGAAGTAACATCCAGGCCGGCCGGCAATAGACGTAGGTTTTGGGACCTGCCGGACAAGTGGAGATGAAGCGGAATGTCATCACCGAGTTTTAGATTCCGTGATTAAAGAGACGGTGTAACTCTTGCGGCCTACTCGAAAGTATGTGTTTTTAGTGAGAAAGAATTTGCGACTGACTCAATCAGACTAGAGCATCGAGACTTTGGCGATGTCGACTGCCCGGCCCTGGTGGCGGCAAGACCAATCATGGATTCCAAGTCTGCAGACGCCACAGATCGTCGTGCATCCTGGCGCTGCTGAAGAAGACTCAAGACACCCCAAGAGTTATTACGCGAGGATGACCATTCCATTGAAGGGGCAATTGGAACCGGACTCGGTAAGCCAACATGGACCTTTCATAGGTGCAACAAGGGCATCCCGATGGTCTGAGTTTCCGGGACATGCGGCATCGGACCCAGTGCCTTGGTTCTGGGATCACACTATTACTTGAAGTTTGGTTGACCGACTACCACGAGTACAGTCAAGACACTCACCCTCTGTTGCCACGCGACTTCTCGTATGGCATGATGCAAGACTTGTCGAGGGCTCAAAGCAGGGCGATGATTTGGCCGTCACAGGGGCCGTTCACTAGTGTCCTCCGCCAGATGCAGTATACCAAGTACGACTACTCGTATTCACCACAGGTGCTCTAGTTCATCAGCACCCATCACCTGGTGTCAGTCACTCAGATGCCCCGGAGGCATCGCCAGTGAAAACCCATTTGCCTCGTCGGATGACGGCCAGGCCAGGAATCCGCGCCTCACTATCCATTCCCTCTCCCATCCTCCATCATCCATGGCCCATCGTATCAGCAGCCACTAAACTTGGCATTGGATCCCTGCATATCCATGCCCTTAATGAAACAAAGAGTGCATGACAAGCACAGTTTCTATATTCCGAGAATAATTCCCTGCACGCTGGTTGGTTTCCCACTCGTCATTTAACAATATTCAGAGCTCCTAGTCACCTCCCACAAGATCCACACTCCTGTTGGATGCCAAACACTTGGTAAATCCAAGACTATCTGGACCATTTGTAACAGCGTCGGGCCCAGGCGTCGTTGGGGCATTTTCCGGTGATTCGCGGTCAGCAAAGCGATGCCTCCAACCACAGCAAGTACGTACACGAGTATTCGTACTCGAAGGAGCTCGCAGGAGGTGGGATCGGGTCCCATTCGATTAACCGTAGCGGGGGGGAAGCATCCCACTAATTACGACTCGAGTCCGTCAATCAGTCAAAGACCTCAGCCATTGCTAGCCTTCCCATTGCCACGTGGGCCAAGCGTCGGATCATGGTCCAAAACAGCTGGTCTGCTCCAAGATCAAGAGACGGTGTGATCAAGACGTTGGCGAATAAGCATCGAGAAAGGGCAAAGTGGCAACAAATGGTCCTGGTAGCGCAAAGACAATGTGTAGCAGCATGGAGCTTGTAGCTCCTGGGAATCTGCAACTGCGCCCAAACAAGAAGGAGGTCGGCAAGAAAGATAGCTAGATATCAACAAAAGCTGACCAGGCTATGATTTTCGGATTCAGCAGGTGGACGGAGAAGACGTGCGTCAAAGTCCAAGATTCACACGGATCACAAGGGCATGGTGGACCAGAAGTGAATCCTCGACTCACTCGTTGCTCTGATAGCGAGGAAGATCAAACAACGGATCTGAAACTCAGCAAGCCAAGGGGGGCCCCACGCATTCCAATTGGGTGCCCGGCTCCCACCTGCGAGAACTCGTAGGTGGGGGGTTGCCGCCAAAAATGCTCTTTGGGGACGCCTAACGAGGAGTCCATCAAGCCTAAGCAATACTCGGCACCTTGTAAGTCCGGCCCCACCTGCGACGTGACTGGCACTGACTGCTCGCTGGGTCGGTCAAAGACGGACATCAAAGGAATTCCGGCTTCCGAAGGTGAGTGAAAGCAACCTTTGGCCACCAAGATCCATCGATATCCAATGAATACTCGGTATTGAGTCTCGAGTACCTTCACAATCTACGGTACACCTGCATCTGATCATCAAGGATTTTGGAATTCTGGACACCCCTAGAGCTTGATCGCCTGGCTTGTACAAATACTTGACCAAGGCCAGAACATCCAAAGGGCCAACAAAATGCAGGACGAGAGGGATGCGCCCATCACTCTGCGACGACCTTCCCCTTCCGCAAGAGGGACCGAAGCCTCCCCGCTCGCCTCATTTTCTCCTCAGAAGAGAACGATTGGCTCGACCACCAAGTCAACCCTTTCCTCACCGCGTCCTTCCAATCTTTTTGGCTCTCTGAGTATCCATCATTCCTGTTGTTTAAGAACCGCGGGCGTGGGTAATGAGTGGTCGGGGTTTGCTGATTGCACATGATGGTCGATCTTTTCGCATCTCGCACAACAGGCCACACAAAACTGCGGGTGCCCGTGTCTCGCCAGGCGAAACCCTGGCTCAGACTTACCCTCGCGCGTCCCACACATACCTTTGATGGCATCAAGACTTCCTCTTTTTGGCTTCAGAGTCTGGGTCTGCAACCCTCTCCTCCTGCGAATCCCAGTCGATGCAGGGAAAGCATGATGGTTTGCGGTTGGTTCACACTTGGTCGGTTCGAGAATTGACAGCTGTCAAAAAGACCACGCGAAACATATCACGAGACAGGATTGAAAGCAAGTTGAAAAAGTTGAGTTGCCATGCCCGCTTGGCATCTGATGATCCTCCAATCGCCTCGTTTTCGCAATGTCGCTCACGGACCGTCCACGCGTAAAGTCCCTTGCTTCTATTACGACATTTGGCCAGCGGATCCTGCCTGGATGAAGAAGGAGAGAAAGAGGTGAGGCGAACAGCGCTGTTCTAGACATTATGGTCCGTACACTCGCGCGTTTCGCTAGGTTGTGGTTGATCTTCGATCCGAAGTTTTGACCCGGAGCATCAGCATTGATGGTGGTGGATGGGGGCACAAAAGTCTATTCCCCATTGAAGATGGGCACGTTGCAATGGTCGCCCCGGACAAGCAGAAACCCTGGTTCTTTGCCGTATTCAGTCTCGATGGGATTTTCAGCCGTCATTGACGCGAGATTGACAGGTCAACCGCAAATGCTGCATGGCGCGGTGGAATGAGGAGTGGGGGGCCCACGGGTACACGAAGCCACCCCGTACCCCGGTCAAACCGTGAGCGTTGAAATGTGATGTGTCACCTTGTTTGCTCCCCTTGTACCTTCGTCATCGTATGGGCCTCTTACTCCAGTCTAGGGAGAGTCAGAGAAGGAATGCCGAAGTTTGAGAACTGACAGCACCAACGGGCCTTCAGAGCTACATCATACACGGGAGGAAGCAAACAAGGTCCGCAGACGACCAGTTCAGAACAAAGTGAGGAACACGCGAAATTGAGCAGCAAGCACTCATCTCGAATCTGGCGTCTAGAGGGACAACTCCGCCCGCTGGACCCAGCTCGTGAAGTGTCCAGCCACAACTGCACGGGCCTCTTTGTTGAAATTCGGTCCGTTATCAAGTCATACTGTTCACATTTTCCCACCCCGGTCACCGCCGTCATGCTCGGACGACGTGATGAAGTCCTTGACCAGTTTAAGGGCGGCAACTGCAAATGCCACCATGTTGGCTTGCCTATCACCTCCCAGCCCCGTATCCAAATCCTTGTTCGCACTGCCTTTTCCGCCCACCACAGCCAATGCAACGTAGCCCCTGCGATTTTCCGCCGTGTGTCAGCTTCACATGCTCCATCTTGAGGCGTTGTCAGGTATGAGGCGGTTAGGCGGCATCTGGAACCCAGGGGGAATTACTTACGGCTGCCTGTTTGGGGTCTTGCCACTGGCAGTTGGTCCTGCGGTTCCTGACTATTTTGAATCGAGAGCAGTCGAGTAAGCCAGAAAATCAATAGAGACATTCTCTGGCCTTGTGATCTTTGCCCAATCCAGCGAGGTCGACCAGCGTAGATACTAGAGAGAATGAAGCACGTACCTCACCAACGCAATAAGTCCCTTGCAGCTTTTCCCTCACGTTCTTAGCCAGCCCTTCGACCAGTTCCGGAGTAGGTCCATCATAATTATCGATGTTTTGTTGCGTCCAGCCGGCAAAGGCGATCCTGGATTCCAACGTATACAGCGTCAAGCCGCCCTTGTAGATCTTGCTTGCCCCTGGAGTCGAAAGGAGTGAGGCGGAGATGAGCCCTCCCGCTGCGGTCTCTGCCACGCAGATGGTTTCGCCACGAGACTTGAGAAGGGACGCCACGTCCTCGGCGGCGGATTTGAGTTGAGGCGGAGGGAACTCGGCGGATGACATCCTGCTGCGCTGGGTGAGGTTGGTGCCGTGAAGTCCGAATGCCACAGGGGGATTGCACAAGAGACGATGCGGGATGTGGGACTGTACGAGTCTCCGAGAGCAGACAGAATGCATCAAAGATGAATGATGAGTTGACAGATCCAAGAAGGATCTTATCATTGCTCGTCGTTGGAGTTGGTTTATCAATCATCAGAATGCGGGGATTTTCATGATTCCAGCCTCGGGCGAAGTGAAGACATGATATCAGAGCATACATACTATTTTGCATCTTTCCAGCCTCGACGACAATGTTTCTCGATCCAGCATTTCGAGTGTTTGTGAGCTGAGAATCAGTCATCTGGCTCCCAAATGTGATCAACAGCAATGAAACTTTGGTATATTCCCAACCGGCGTAACTGTCTATCACCTTTCTCACATCTTGAAGAGTATTGTCAGGTTGGAAGCCGCTCACACGGCGGTTGGCCAGCGTCCGGCCTCACTCTCATTCTCCTCCTTGGTGACCGTTTTGACCGCCTTTACATCTCTGGAAGTCCTCTATTCCATTCTTCGTCCTTCGTCTGACAGACTCGTTGAATAACATTGTGTCGTCACGGGGTGCCCTTTCATTCTCTACCCAAGCTCGGTCCCAAATCAACTGCCTCTCACTTGCGCTCCTTTAACATCATGGCGATCTCAACAAGGCCCCATGGCGGCACTGGCTTGCTGCTTGTACATGCTTGTCTTCCTATTCGAACAGCAGAGCACACATCAAGCTCTCCAACCAGTCTCCTCTGTCCGATCCAAACCAAGATCCACCCTGGTTTAGACCCTGTCCCCCAGGGTTGTTCTCTCCAGTTCCTGGCGCAGTTGCTCTAGGGATCACGTCTATCCAAAATCGTTTTCATCGACGCTCCCTTTTCTCCTTCAGTACCTCTCCGAACGAAGGCTCCTGACTCTTGAGAACTGAAACAATCCTTCGACTTATGCTTTGAGATCAAGATGATCCCTCGAGAAAGCCTTGGCCTGAAGCACTTTGCGGAAGACACATCTGGCCTTTGGTGACAGTCAGAACACTTGACGTGCGCTCATGCAACTCTTCAATACTCCTGGGGGTCAGGTGGATTGATTTGAGGGGATTGGAAGACAAAGGTTCGCGAAAACTGATTGGGAAGTTTACGAATTGATCGAACTTACAGGAGTTGTTACGTTGTTGCATCATCAACTGAGCGAGAGCATCTTCTCGACCACTTTCCGATGCGAATACCCTTCTTCAAGTCCTTGAGAATATGTGCGCAAAGATGGGACGAGAGAAAAACAGCTTTGTTAGAAAAGTGATATCGTGACGGCGCTAGCTGGTATGTTCCTTCGTTCTCGAGGTACTCGATCAATCTCGTATTGTCGTCTGCCTCAGCAACCATCTGAAGATGTTTATCCCCATCAACCACCCCGTTGGAGTGCCTGTGAAGTCATCCTACCAGCTTGAAATGAAAGGGCTGTTGATTTTGGGTGCTGAAGCGAAGCACGAGGTTATCAAATTGGTTCTCAATGCCCCCCTCTCGACATCATCTTCTCCAAACTTCCTCGATGCTGAGTTTGCGACCTTTAGCATCTCCCACTTGCAACTCATCGAAACTCTTACCTTACTATCAATCCAGGTCGCTTTTCCATCAGTGACAATACGATCAATCCCATCTTCTTGAAGGTCTTGACTAACATCGTCTCAGACATCATACCCCTCCTCGTTCTATTGCAACATGTCACAGAGGCTTCAGTCAAGACTCTCAACGGATGCTACGATCCTGCCCTCCCCTTGATTCTGTTACACCCCAATAAGCTTTCTGGAGCAACAAAACTCGGTTGCAGGAAAAGGAGTAAATAAATTGGAACGTATAACAGTGGTTAAGCTGTTGCGTTACACCATCAATCATTTGCCCAGAAAGGACAAACTAGGACCCTGCCAGACGACGACTTTGCGAGCAAATGTGGTATAAGACCAGGCTGGAGGATACACTCTACGGTGGTTGCTCAAGGCTGAGTTGCGCAGTTCATACAGGCTCAGGACGACTTTGAACGCGGGTGCCTCAACCGAAGTGAGTGTCAAGGTACGCCTCCTGTACATATGACTGGCAATTTTTTCCTTGGATTTCACCAATCGGCGAACCTACGACGATAGGCAATCTTGAATGACGCCTTCATCGAGCCTTACATCTTAGACGCCCCGTGTTTGGACATCTTTCGCCTTGAGAGACGATCAAACAGATGCCGAATATAAAACGTTGAATACCCGGGCTCGCTTTACAGGTACAGAGATCTCAGCACAGACACGACAGAACTCTAGAAGTGATCGACAAGTATGATACCATCATCAGAAATGAAAGATCGTGGAATCAGAGACTGACTTCCTTCCAAACCATTGCCGCCAGGACCTTTAGAAGACGATCTTCCAGCCGTTAAACATTGAAATGGTGCTTGGAAACCGAGACACCAGGGCAAAGGGAATGACACCGTCTACGGCTGTTGCGAGGCAGACATTCTCCTTTGCCACGCAGGACAAGCCTATAATTCTTCACCTAAACCGGGCCGAGGGGACTGTAAGATATTCAATCGGTTGCAAGATCTTTACTTACTTACCAGAGACATGGGCGCGCAGGGAGAAAGAGAGATATACAAGGGAAGAGATCACGAAAGGCCCAAGCCCGACGGTCGACTGGAGATTCGGCTTTGCGGGAAAAAGTAATTCTCTGTGCGAATTGTCACCTACTCGCAGATCTATACATATCCTACAGACGTACATCGAGGACGTGAGGAGTAGTTGCTCAGGGCAATCCACAAGCGTGGTTTTATCGCTCTTCATACAGGATGACAAGTCCAGGAAAAAGGCGAAAGCATATTTGCGGCATAAGTTACGCATATTCAGATGGACCTAAGACTTTGTTGCCTCTGACATGGCGTGCCTTTGTGCCCTGAAGTAGTCGCTGATCGAGCCGTCTCAAGTTCGATGTAGACCGTTTCAAAAGCTCTATGCTACGGCTCTGCTGTGGTCGCTGTGGAATCAGACAAAAGGGGTTCTTGTTCGATGACGCTGTGGACCTGAAAGCTTATCACCGCCTTCAGCTCTGGAAGAAAAGAGACGAAGCAAGAGAGAAAGATTGTATGTGTTGTCGGCACTGGTCGAGCCTTGCTCATCTCCTACCCCTTGACCTCGACATGCTGCTCTGCGGATTTTCCCTGGAGCTCGATCCAGCGCTCATTGCTGCCCTCCTCCCCGTCATCCTCCTCCAGATCCTGCTCGGCCTTCTTCATGCCAGCGACAAAGGCACTCTTGGAGAACAAGAAGTCGACCTGCTCGAGGGTCTTGCCTCCCGTCTCGGGACAGAGGAAGAAGACAAAGGCGACGGCCACGAGGTTGCCACTCAACACCCACAACCAGAACTTCCAGCCGACGTTGGTCAGGCCGATGGGGCCCGCGAAGACCGTGATGAAGGTCATCAGCCACTCGCCGAAGCCCGTGAAGGCGCCGCCAATGTGTCGGTACTCGAGCGGCGCGATCTCGGAGCAGTACAGCCACACGCACCCTTGCCAGGCGTACCCAAACACGAACAGGAAGGCGAAGATGATGCCGATACCTGCCCATTGAATGGATTTCGTGGAGGGCACGGCTTGGAGGACTGTGAAGATGAGCATCAGGGCCGACATGACGCAAGCCCCGTACAGGAGAACTGATCGCCGTCCGACCCTCTCGATCGTGAAGTACAGCGGCACACAGCCCAGCGCGAAGCAGATGTTGAGGATACCCGCGAGCAGGCTGACCAGGGAAGGCGCGGCTCCAACTCGGCTGAGGATGACAGAGCCTGTTTTTTACCAACCAGAGTTAGCACTTGTGACCAGCTGTTTGATAAGAGAAATGGGTACAGTACTCCAATAGGCAAGCAATGAAGAGCCCATCCACTCTCTGATCATCGGAAGCCAGAAGCAGATACATAGCCGTCGGATGATCTTCATGGGCGTGTGGTCGATGATGCCGCTCGTCGTAAAGGCCTTCCAGTGTAGACTCGACTTTGCCTCCTCTTCTGCTTCGATGGCGATGAGGATCTCGCGCTTAATCCTCTGCACTTGTTCCGAGTCGATGGGCGCATCGTTCAACCGCTCCAGAGCGTCGTCGCCCTCCGCGTGCCGGTTCTTCGCATAGTAGTATCTCGGCGTGTCTGGGAGGAAGAGCATGCACACTCCCGCAATGAGCGCAAAAATACATTGAAAAGCAATGGGGACTCTCCAGCTCCACTGGCCGTTGGACTTGATGCAGCCGTAGTCTATCCAGTAGGCTATTGGGACACCGCTAATAAGCACTGCAGGATGCTGTTAGTAGAACTGGATGGAGTCGAGGATGTCCGCAGACGACCACGACAGTGTCGAAAAAGAACACGGGTCCCCTCGAGGTGGGTGAACTCACTTATGGCATTGAATGCATTGGCTGGACCACGGTCCCCTATTTCGACACCCGTCTCTGCCAAGTAGGTGGGCACAGCACTGGAGATACAGCCGATAGCGAAGCCAGTAATGATGCGGCCAACGGTAAGCTGTGCCACAGAGTTGGCAGTCGCTTGGATGATGGACCCCACGACGGCGGCGGCATTACCCAAAAGAATAGTCCCTCTCCGGCCGATTTTGAAGGCAAAGGTGGCCACGATCAGGCAGGTGATACACGCCGACAGCGAGTAGGAGCTGGAAATCCACGGTATGACCCATTCCCCAGTGGGATTACCGATTGCATCCAGGAACGGCTTGTGCAAGACTACACCGCCGAGTACACCAGCATCGTACCCATACATCATGAAGGAAGTTCCGCAGATGAACTTCATCAACCAGTAGAGGCTTCGACCGCGGAGGTTGATAAGGACTCCCATCTTGAAAGTTCAACAAGCCTGCAAGAAAATGCTGGTTTCCGAGGGAGCGTGTGACTTCTCTGGCTGAAAAAGATGGGTGTTTTGGATGATGCTGGAATTCAATGTGGCCCGGACTGCTAACCTTGAGAGTAGTATTATACTCCAAGGAAGAGCCGTGTCAAGCCATCAGAGTCAACCAGGTCCACAAGGACAGAGACTCATCTCCGCAGTTTCGATGGGATTTCGCCGGCTTGGTGCAGGACCCGCGGGCATACACCTTCAATAGCCTACCAAATATCTGGATATCCGGGAAGTAGATGTGATTGGGTATTAAGCATGCTCCAGGTTGGAAACTGGTCCCTGCTTCTGCTTGTCAGTGGGGATAGTGTCAGGACTCCTGGCAGTGGAGCCACGGAGAGGAAAAGAGTCAATAGATTCTTGATACCAGTGTGCATCGTGACATGCGGAGCCTCACTCACTTTGCGCAGATGCTGGACGAGGCTAAAGAGCGTAGCGGGCCGAGCGCTTCTAAAAAACCCTTTGCCCCATGAAGATGTCCTACCAGCCAGTCATCATTGCGGCCAGGCGGACAGTTCGACCCGCGCATCTGGGGCCAGTATGGCAATAGGCTGCGGGTTGTCGTCTAAAAGATATCGCAGAAGGTGGCGATCGCAGTGTTCATTGCCGTCAAAGTAAATTGCGCCATGATGAACCCCGCACAGGTGGACAAGTGGACAAGTGCGTGTGGAGGAGCTTTTCGAGGCCATTGATTTCCTTTGAGTCAGTAGATCTTGACTAAGTCTTCTTCCAAACCTGGCTCACTGAAAGGATCAACGGAGCTGTCCGACGGAACCGCTGAGAGGCAAGCATGGCATTCGAAGAGAAGGACCAAATTCGACAATTGGTTTGGCCACGATTGCGAGAGGTTGCCATCCCCGACTCGCGCTTTCACTATGACTTCTCCAGCTTTATAGCAGATTTCCACGGCTCTCAGGCGGCAACCGAAAGACTGGTTTTACTGCGCTGTTATAACGATGCCCAAGTTGTCTTCATCACCCCGGACAACTGTTTGGAACAACTTCGCTTGCGAGCTCTGGAAGATGGCAAAAAGGTATTGGTGACAACCTATGCCATCAGACGCGGTTTTTGGCTGCTAGATCCCGCAGTGATCGTGTCGCCTGAAGCAAGGAAACTCGCTTGTCTCTTGGATACCATGGAACGGCCTGGACTGGGAAGGGCCTTGAGCCTCGCAGAAATCCAGCAGCTTGGCCTGCGGGTGGATTTGATGGTGACAGGTACAGGAGCCATCAATCATCAAGGTATTCGATTCGGAAAAGGGCATGGGTTTTTTGACCTCGAATGGGGGATTTTGACCACCATCAAGACAGTCAGCTTTTCTGTTCCTTGCATTGCCCTCGTGCATGACTGCCAGGTGTTGGAGGAGGAGCTGAGACCCGAGGTCTTTGACACGGTGTGCGATTATATTGTCACCCCAACCACGATTATTGACATTGCTAAAGCGGGGGTCGTGTTGAAGAAACCAATGTGTGGAATCTTATGGGATAAGTTGCAGCCGGGAATGCTGGAAGACATTCCTCCTCTGGAAGAATTGCGACGGCTTCAAGGGAGAGATTGACCTTTTGCCGCCAGGGCAACCAACTTCATCGAGCATTCCTGCAGACTCAGCTTCGGTGGGTCGACACCGGCTGATAAGGTGTCGTTCATATTGCTCATCAGGAGTTGACTAGAACTGACCTGAATCGAAATAAATAGCAATTGAGGTGGTCGGTGTTGAGAGAGCACACCCATGGTTCGGCTGGCTGTCTTGCGTCCCGAACCGGAATGAGTTTGAGGGAATCTTCCTCGAAACTTCTCAACAGGCCATGGTTCTTGCTTGATTATTTTCATGCTTCCAAATCACTTTACAGGAATTGCCAAGGATGGATAAACAGCTGGCGTAATTGATAATGCGCCTGAAGCCAGGAACAGTGTGGAGTCGGTCGCACTGGTCTGTATACCTGTTCGGACTTGCTGTAATTAGTGCTTGGTCTGTGCAAAGGAACGAGGCTTTCGTTGCCACTCAGGCGACGCAGATGACGCACCTCTTAGTCAGGGATCTTTGTTTCGCTGCAAGCCACATTCTCGATGGTAGCGTTGGACCAATGGATGTGTATCATTTACCTCTTTCCGGATAGAGTAATTTGCTTGGTCTCTGTTTCAAAAAGACTATAACGGAGGCACTTTGTTCGCAAGAGTTCTGTTGCTTAGGAAGATGCAGTTGAAAAATAGCCAATGGTTGGATCTTTCCCTCGGACTCTCTGCGGACTATAGAGACGGTTCGCTTGATCCGATTGAGGCTGGCATATGGCACGGTGATTTTTCGAACCGTGTGGGTTTCCATGACAAAGAGAGCAGTTGCAGCTTGATTAGCAAGACCATGATTATTCAGTAGATGTGTCTTGGAGCCATTCGAGTGGAAACCGTGAGGTCGCCGGGCTGAGCATGTGGTCATCGATGGTGGTATAAGAGGGGACAGGCGGTCTTGTATCATCTGTTCCATCAGGTGCAACAATCCTGACTGTTCAACCAAATCATAATCCGAAAACAACTGCCTTGTCCAAGCAACTCACCATGGGTATCGACTTCACAGTCTTCAAGGGGTCCGACTCCGGTGAGATCGTGCAAGCCAAGGGTCATCGTGAGGTCGGCCAGACACAAGCTCTAGTTGCGCTGTCGCACTGTGGAGTTTGCGGCACAGACACTCATTATCGCCATGCCGACCAAGGATTGGGTCATGAAGGAGTCGGTGTTATCAAGGAGGTTGGAAGTATGGTTGAGAAGCTCTCAGACTTGAGGGTCGGTGACCGTGTTGGAATGGGATGGATGCAAAGGACATGCGGCTATTGTAAATATTGCTTAACTGGTGAGTGGCTCATTATCCCAGGACTGACTCTGCGCTTGCGAGCTTCCCGACGAAGTCTGCAGATTTGGTCTTCTTAGACGGAGAAGCCTGAAGCTAACTCCAACAACAGGTAGGCAGTTCAAGTGCCTGAACAACGAACAGTTTGGGACAGCCAATTTGGACCAAGGTTGCTTTGGTACAGGCGTTGCTTGGGACGTCAGCACGCTCTTCAAGATCCCAGACGAAATCTCTTCCGAGTCCGCTGGGCCATTGATGTGTGGTGGTGCCAGTGAGTTTACCAACCTGACAACTTCGGCTTTCCACCTTTGGCGAACTCGTTGCTAAGGAACGTGTTGAACAGCTGTCTGGGGCCCGCTATACGAGCAGGGCTTCAAAGCAGGTGATCGTATCGGGATCGTAGGAATCGGTGGGCTCGGACACCTGGCCATTCAATTTGTATCGAAAATGGGAATGGAGGCTGTTGTCTTCTCGGGAACCGAGTCCAAGAAGGAAGAAGCGTTCCAATTTGGAGCCAAAGAATTCTACGCCACCAAGGGTGTCACAAAGTTCGAAGGTATCGAGCCCGTCGACGGCTTGTTGATCACGACTTCGGTGCTACCTGATCTCTCACTGTAAGTTTCAACACCAGCCACATCAGGAATTCGAGGAGAATGCTTACGCTGCATAGATATCTACCTGTATTGGCGCCATATGCGAAAATCTTCCCACTCACCATCAGCATGGACAGCTTGCCAGTTCCGGCTATGCCACTCGTAATATACGGCTACTCGATAATTGGTTCCGGCGGAGCTCAACCCCAGTCCATTCAGGCAATGTTGAGATTCGCAGCACAACATTCCATCAAACCTGTCACCGAGAAGTTCCCAATGACACAGAAGGGCGTCACGGATGCAATGAAGAAGCTGGACGAGGGAAGCGTAAGATACCGTGGAGTCCTTGTTGTATAAGGAAGGAAAAGGTTCTCCGAACAGGAGTGCATGAAGTACCTTGTATAATGGAACATTATGGAGAGTGAAATGGAAACTGAAGCATCGTTTATGTGAAATGACAAAATGACACAACGACGCGTCTGGAGCGCGACGCGTTCACACAATTAATTATCGGCACTCAAGCTACTCGACGTACTAGGTTCATCTGTGCAATCCATCTCATTTCTCTTCTCTCTTCTCAAATCCTGAACAAAGAGGGTCCTCACAGGGCTCTGATGGCAAACTTGAGATAAATTGCCAGAAACTGCTGCATCAGCATCCATCATGCAATGCCCGCTCCGAAATCATGGCTGGAAGAACTAACACTGAGCAAGCTACATCGACTCGCAACAGCACTGGGCACGCCATGCTCAGGAACAAAGCTTGCACGTATAGAAGCCATCCGTAACGCAACTTCGAACAGTGTGCAGAATGGAGACAGCAGGGGTACCGTGTCCGACTTGAGTCTTCTGAGCATAGATATGGGCATCAGGAATCTGGCCTTTGCACATCTCACAGCACCGGCTGAAGAGGTCACGAGACCGCTCAAGCATATACGGTACGGAAGGCCGACGCTGCGAGCATGGCGTCGAATAGCAGTGGCAGAGTCTTTGGATGTCACGACGAGCAGCCACCGGGATTCGGCATTAGAGATGTCGACGTCCGCGGCAATCGAACTAGTTGCAGCAGCCAAAGAATCATTCGAGCCCATTGATTACGCCCGGCACGCCTACAATCTTGTCAAATCCATATTACAGACTTACCAACCCAATCATATCTTGATTGAGAGACAAAGATTTCGATCAGGTGGCCAATCGGCGGTTCAAGAATGGACCCTCAGGGTTGGTGTGTTTGAAGGCATGCTTTATTCCGTCCTGCGGACTCTGATCGAGGAGCACAAACTGCAGCTAAGCATTGAACCAATGCAGCCTCCCCGCGTCAATCGGTACTGGCTTGAAGGCTCCAAGGACTTGCTAGGCTCGAAAGAGAAGAAGATGGTCGGTCGCGAGGTAAAGAAGGCAAAAGTTGATCTTGTTGGAAATCTGCTCAGAGAGGGAAGCTCAGTTATCTGTGTTGGCAAGGAAGTTCAGCCGACAGCTCTCGACTTCATATCGCGCGTTAGCCAGGCTTCCAAGCGTGGGCGAGCTGATACTACCAATATATCAAAGCTAGATGATTTGGCCGACTCGCTCTTGCAGGGATTGGCATGGATCCAGTGGCAAAACAACCGAAGGCGCATCGAAGCCCAGGGGCGAGATGCAGTCGATATGGCGTCTGGAACCTTGTCGTAGGTCTCTTTTCGGTTGACCTGGTGAATGACAACATTTTTCCATTTGGTTCCCGACCCAATGGCTCCAATCTTTGTGCTTCGAACAGCCTCTGGGCACACAGACGTTTACCCGCGTCTCCTTCTAAAGCAATCACATCAGCAGCGTTCTGAGAAATCACACTATGGAGCTTTGCTGGACGGCAAGTCTCCGAAGAGGTTACTGTCATCTTGTGTTCTTGTGTGCCTCCCTTCCCAAGAATAAACACTCGAGATTGCAATCGATATAGCCTCGTCGCATTTGAGGACGATGTAGCCGACTGAGAGGGAGTGGATCAAACTGCACCACATCCTGAGTCCACTTCCAGACCCACCAAGCTATGTGTTGGATATCAGGAGAAATCTCGGAGCAACCGCGAGGTAGAGCAGCACTGAGCAGCGATCGAGGATAGTGAGGGTGCTGGACGATACGCTCGAACTGGCGGGGACGAGTGGAATATTACGAATCGGCGTGTCTGTACGAGTCGGATGGGATATGGAACATGGCAGGTTGCTGTGAATGGAGCTAATGATCCGGAGCAAGAATGTAACTGTTACACGCCAGAAGGATCCAAAAGGTCGGTTCAAGACCAAAGATCAGACGGCTATCAACAGCAGACATCGTTTCAAGAGATGCAGAGTCGCACCAGATCTGATGAGGGAAAATGCGAGGTCCCGTCGATACAGCGGAGGGGAATGAGAAGGTGCAACCATCCTAAGAGTAGAAAATCATCTGGCCACCGTTTTGTCATATATCTCTGGGACTGCGCTTCATTCTCACCAGCGCCAACCTCTTCTCGTGCCAGAGTTTCTGATTGCGTCTTGTCCAACTCGTTTCTGTCCCAGATCGACAAATCTTCAATCATGCTGCACGTTCTGTCTCTCGTAGCCATCTCTCTCTTTTCCGCCCTCAGCTTTGCCTCGCCTCATCCACAAACAAGCACCACACCCTGTATTTCGGAGACAGACGGTAATGCCGGCGCCAGTGACACCGTCATCACTGTGGCCAGCACTCTGACCGCCACCGTCGTCGCATCGGGGTCAGCCACTTCGAGCTCTAGCACTACCACTGCTGGCCCATTGACCACTCCAACCTCATGGCTCACCGTCACTGCTTATCGGCTTGGCTCGCCAATCCACCTTCTGCCAATGAATGCTGCCGGCTATCATTTCTATCTTGGAGGAGACACAGTGTCATACTGTCCAACAGAAGTAGAAGAAGAGGGTGGCATATGTCCACCAGGAAACCAGACGGTGCTTTCTCTTTGCTCGATGGTGAGGTGATTTTGTCGACGTTGGAGAGCTTCACTAACAACAGACAGGGCACTCTTGTCCCTGGAAGTCAATATTTGTACGTGACACCTAGCGGCGAGCTCGGCTACACCCAAGCACATTCAGTTTCCATGCCTGAAGGGTCAGTCCAGTGTCCTTTCACGTACTCCAAGGCCCCCGGAGCGACAATTGGACGATTGGATCTAAGAGTATTCGGGGCCTTGGGCCTGGTCGCATGTCCTACCTATGGAGGAACCTGGCAAGTTTTCGCAAACCTGGTAAGTCGTCCTCCACGATTCAGTCCATAGTTGGAGGAGCCATCATTACTGCGCGTCAGCGTTGGAACAATCTGATCAGTCATTACAGAAGAACATTACGGCACCTCGAGGCAATGTGTCCCAGTGCCTTGGGTTTGATCCTTTGGCTTTTGATACTCCCAATATTGGAGCGTGGCAATACACGTAAAAGCATGATCTGCTCAGTGTCTTCACGATTCGGGACAGATCGGGGATTCTGCTCAGCGTATCGGATGAATTCGCGCCACTGCTGGTACATAACCGCAGGGCACAAGAAAACCAGACGAACCTCGGCACTTCAAAGGCTCTGGTGGGATGATGGCGTCGGAACACATGTGCATCTTGGTTGCTCCAAGGCTTCTGGCAACGTGGGAACAGCGTGCGACGGTGTAATGGGCATCCTGTCACCATCGATAACATGATGGCAAAGACTTCCGAAAATTTCAAAAGGATCTTCAAGCCATAAGGGCAACAGAGAGACAGATAGACAGCCGGAGGAAAGGGAAAACAAAAGCCCAGCCAAAGGGTGACGCCTTTACCCCACACAAGACCAAATGATTTTGTCGTCGACTGATTCTTGTAGCTGATCTTACCCACATGCCCCGGTTCCGAAGGCCAAAGGAGTCTCATTCCTGGGCTTTGGCTGGATGGGCGGAACCCACTGGAAGCTTAGTGATTGGGCTGCATCTCTAGGAACCTGCTCGGACCTCTCAACGGGCACATCTCCTCCCGGACAAGTCGTCGACAAGGTGCCTCTAACGATTTCGGGCATTGCGCTGCTCTGGCTGCTCTGACGTATAGTATTATATCAACCTCCCCCAGCTCTTGCCTCGGTGGCCGCCCTCTGACCAACTCAGTTCCTCTTCCTCGCTTTCATTCTCCTCGCAGAAATCCGACCTATCCGCCAAAATGGCCAGCATCGAAAGCATCAATGAAGGAGTCGCCATCAATGGCGCCGTCAAGGACTCGTACCGCAAGATCCTTACGCCCGAGGCCACTGCCTTCCTCGCTCTCCTCCATCGCACCTTCAACGGCACCCGCAAAGCTCTGCTCCAACGACGAGTGATCCGTCAACAGGAGCTTGACAAGGGCAATTTGCCAGATTTCCTCCCCGAGACCAAGCACATTCGCGACAATGACGCCTGGAAAGGTGCTCCTCCGGCTCCCGGCCTTATCGACCGCCGCGTTGAGATCACCGGACCAACGGACCGGAAAATGGTTGTCAATGCTTTGAACAGCAATGTGTGGACTTACATGGCTGACTTTGAGGGTGAGATATTTGACAGATACCTGCTGAAATCCGCAGCTGCTGACTCGTTCTGCCTGTAACAGATGCCCAAGCTCCCACCTGGGACAATCAGGTCTCCGGCCAGGTTAACCTCTACGATGCCATCCGGAAGCAAGTCGATTTCAAGCAAGGGGAAAAGGAATACAAATTACGTACAGATCGCGTATTGCCAACGCTCATAGCTCGCCCCAGGGGGTTCCATTTGGAAGAGAAGCATTTCACTGTCGACGGCGAGCCCATCTCCGGTTCCTTGTTCGACTTCGGCCTGTACTTCTTCCACAACGCCTTTGAGCTGGTCAAGCGTGGCACAGGGCCATACTTTTACCTTCCTAAGATGGAGTCCCATCTCGAGGCGAGACTCTGGAACGATGTTTTCAACCTATCTCAAGACTACATCGGCATGCAACGAGGCACGATCCGCGGAACCGTCCTTATCGAGACAATCACCGCCGCCTTTGAAATGGACGAGATCATCTACGAGCTCCGTGACCACTCAGCTGGTCTGAATTGCGGCCGTTGGGATTACATCTTCTCGGTCATCAAGAAATTCCGCCAAAACCCCAACTTTGTCCTCCCAGACCGATCCGCTGTCACCATGACTGTGCCTTTCATGGACGCTTATGTCCGTTTGCTGATTAAGACCTGCCATCGCCGCGGCGTCCACGCCATGGGTGGTATGGCCGCTCAGATCCCCATCAAAGACAACCCGGAGGCCAATGACAAGGCCATGGAGAACGTCCGACAGGACAAGTTGCGCGAAGTTCGGGCTGGCCATGACGGGACCTGGGTTGCTCACCCTGCACTAGCAGTCATTGCCTCTGAGGTGTTCAACAAGCACATGCCTACCCCCAACCAGCTCTACAAGCGCCGTGAAGAGGTTTATGTCACCAAGAACGACCTTCTCAACATGAACATGCCTGGAACCGTGACGGAAGACGGCATCCGAAAGAACCTCAACATTGGTCTTGGATACATGGAGGGCTGGCTCCGCGGCGTGGGCTGCGTGCCGATCAATTACCTCATGGAGGACGCTGCCACGGCCGAAGTCTCACGTTCGCAGTTGTGGCAGTGGGTTAAGCACGGAGTCAAGACTGCCGAGGGCCATACTGTCGACAAGGCTTACGCTCTTCGATTGCTGAGGGAGCAGGCAGAAGAACTGGCGTCCAAGGCGCCGAAGGGCAACAAGTACCAGCTTGCGGCCCGATATTTCGAGAGCCAGGTGACTGGCGAAGATTATGCCGACTTCTTGACAAGGTATGTCCCATTTGTCTTTCTAGCTTCCGAGTTGTACGTCATGACTAATACTTTTGTTCTCAGTCTCCTGTACAACGAGATCACCACTGTGGGATCGTCCCAGCCTGTGGCCAAATTGTAAGCCATGTGATGACTGGACAGTAAAAGACGGGAGTTGGATAGGAAACTCAGCCCGGCAGAGAGAAAACAAGGGGCGAAGTCAGCGTCGACTTGATCTGGCTTTGGCACGGAGCGATCAAGAGAAGCGGACAGTGTACAGAAGTCAAATGCAGACCAAAAAGGGTCGAATTCCTTACTGCGCCAGAGTGCCAGTCAAATGTATGCCTTTATGTAGTATGCAAATAGTTTATGTGAAAAGGACTAGCAATGAATTTTGACAAGCAGTGAGATGAGATCAAGTGTAAATTTGGAGCTCAACATGGCTCGCCCCAAGATGACCCGAAGCTTGGTGCCCCTCACCATCGTTCAGCCACCGGCGCAATACACCGGCGTCCCGACCACCTTTCTCCAAAATATGGAGAGATCTGGATCACTGTAGGTATAATATAACAGTATCTGACGGCAGGAACCCCGTGACTGTGTTCTTGATGAACGTTGTTGGTTTTGAAAATCACACTGCTTGAAAAATAATATATCTGTGAGTCCAAGAGACCGAGTTTAATCTCTACAGGGACCATTAAGACCAAGCCAAAAACCCATCCATTTGCTCTCGACAAACCAACACCGAAGTCCAGGTGGACAGGAAGACACAGAGACGAGGACAGGATACTCGGTTCACAGTTGAAAACGACAGGAGCCTCCGACAACACACTGTTCGCTTTTTCAAGATGAAGATCCTCATCACCGGGGCAGGCGGCTTCCTGGGCCAATTCCTCGCCCGCGAACTGCTCTCCAACCCGGACAACAAAGTCGTCCTCACAGATATCATCGACGTGCCCGTGCCCAAGGGGGCCCAGAACCCGCAAAACGCGACCTGCGTCAAAGCGGACCTGCTGAAAGACCGCAGCGTGGTCACGCCGGACCTGGACGCGGCATATATCTTCCACGGCATCATGTCTGCGGGCTCCGAGGCAAACTTCGATCTCGGCATGAGCGTCAATCTAGAGTCGACGAGGTTGCTTCTCGAAACGATCCGAAAAGTTCGGCCGGGCTTGAGAGTCATCTACTCGTCCAGCGGCGCCGTCTACGGCCGGCCGTTGCCAGAGGTGATCACAGAAGACGTCCTCCCCACGCCGGAAGGGTCCTACGGCGCCGCCAAGTTCATGTGCGAGATCCTCATCAACGACATGACCCGTCGAGGCTACATTGACGCATTCATCATCCGATTCCCTACCATTACTGTCCGACCTGGGAAGCCCGCTCCGGCTGCTTCGGCGTTCATTTCGGGCATCATTCGCGAGCCCCTGGCGGGCAAGGAGTGTGTTTTGCCAGTCAAGGACCGATCCTTTCCCAGCCACGTGTGCTCGCCAAAGACTTTGATCACCAATCTCATCTACACGCTCACCTTACCCTCGGATGCTCTGCCGAGTCACAAGCGCGTGGTGAACGCGCCGGGACACGTTGTCACGATCCAGGACATGCTCGACGCGCTGGCCAAAGTCGGAGGCGAGGATAAGCTAAAGTATGTCAAGGAGGAACATGACGAGCCCATTGCCAAGATTCTATACACGTGGGCGGTCAAGTACGACAACTCGTTGGCGTACAAGCTGGGCATGAAGAAGCCGGATAGCTTTGAACAGTCGGTGCGCGAGTACATGGAGTATATGGAGGAGCAGGAAAGGTTGTCCTAGGGATGAAGAGGGAAGAAGGAAGAACGGGGATCTGAGGCTGAGATGATACAAGGAGGACCGTAGGAGGATGGAGAAACCAGGCTTGCAAAAGGATGTAGTTAAAACGTATGCATGCACATATTGTGTGTTTGAAGAGAACCCGTCATCTCACAACTCTCAGTTCACAACATATGGTATACCGTACCTATTCTTCTTTTCTTCCGCTCTCAAATCTTACCGCTGACCTTCGACCCCTATCTGCAAAGTCTTCTAGAAGTCCAAATCCATTCTCAGGAGGCTGCACGAAGCGACGCTGTGATGCGCGACCCTCACCCGCCCTCTGTCTCACGTCTGTGTCTCGCCGCCTGGCTAGGAGCAAGGTGCACACTCAACCGACCCGGTTGCCACGCATATGGATCCATCCCAGTATTGCGGGCAACTGTATACCTGCCGAGACTGCCTAGTAATAATATCCGCCCCTTTCATGGTTCCATCGGCGTCGAAGCCGGTCTTGGCCGATCGAGCGCCCTGCCAGTGTCCTGTTCTGCGAGCTAAGCGGGCGACGTGGGGGATCTCAGTGTCTTCACGGACAGGCAGAGGAGGGGGAACTGGCCCTGGAAGTATCAGGCTCTTACGCCCTATTCTACAGATCTAATAGAAAAGGAATGAATACCTAGTACTGGGTAAAAGAAAGAAGCCCCTTAGGTTGTCTATGCCATGTAATACGTACTTGGTACCACGTACCTAGAAAAATAAGGGTCAGAATTGCCCCGCGCCAATATTTTGTCCGCCGCCCTCGCGCCATGCCAGTGCAATGCAGTGGTGGTTTTGGCTGGGCGCCCTCTCCCCCCGCATGCGGAGAAAACACCGAAAAAGCGAACATCATTCTTCCATCACAGAAATCCATTGGGAAATAAAACAACCCAACGGTGTGTGGGTGGATTGGTTTTTAATTAGTTTTTTGGAAACTCTTTGCCCCCCCATAACGGCATGTTGCCGACCTGACTTGGGATAATACCGAAAACCAAAAAAGAGCAGAAACCCGCGTGGGTTGATCTAGGGGTTTCGTGGTTGGGAAAACAGGGCTTTTTCGGCAATTGCAAAGAGAGAGAGAGAGAGAGAGAGAGAGAGAGAGAGAGAATCTTCAATCGATCAAGCAGAAACGGGCTTTTTTTGCTAATCATCGCGGAAAGCAAAGAACAGACCTTGCACCTCTCCATTCTTAAATCTCTTTTTTTCTCTTCTTCTTTCTTTGGGGGTGAAACTTTCCTACCTAGTACTACTGCCCATCGCTGCTACTAGAACGAGAATCACCTGCGCTTGTTGGGAAGAGATCAAGAACCCTCTCTAGCACAGACCAGAAAAAGGAACAGAACTGCTACTGCGGCACTGGAGAAGCAACCGTTAGAAACGACGTGCATTTACATTGGAAATCGAGGTCCCCTGTGCTGAGAGACGCAAGCCAGGCGAGTCCAAAAAGCGATTCACACCCCTCCCGTCTAATTGCACAACCTCCTCTCACCTCCTCGGTCCTTCAACACGAGAAACGAGAAAAATGCCGGACCTCTCACAAAACATCTCGGTGCGGATCCTCAAGGCCGCCGAGGCCGGACGGTACGGCGTGCCGGGCGTCGTGTGCTACAACCTCGAGGCCATCATGGCGTGCCGGAAAGCGGCCGAGGCCAAGAACTCTCCCTGCCAGATCTTGTTGTTTCCCTGGGCCCAGGAGTACGCCGACGACAACATGGTGAACCTGGCGGCGGACGTGTGCCGATCCGCCAAGGTGCCCATGAGCCTGCACCTGGACCACGCGCAGAGCGAGGAGGCCATCAAGCGGGCGGCGCAGACGGGCAAGTTTGACAGCATCATGGTCGACATGTCGCACTACGAGAAAGAAGAAAACCTGAGCCGCACGACCGAGCTGGTCCGGTACTGCCACGACCTGGGCATCGCGACCGAGGCCGAACCGGGCAGGATCAACGGCGGCGAGGCCGGGGTGCAAGACACGGGCGATCTCGAGGGCATCCTGACCACGCCCGAAGAGGCTCTGCAGTTCATCAACACGGGGATCGACTTCCTGGCCCCCGCCATCGGCAACGTGCATGGGCCCTATAACGGCGTCGAGAACATCAAGCTCGACTTCCCCCGCCTGGCCTCGATCCAGAAGGCCTCGCGCGGCAAAGTCACCCTCGTCATGCACGGCACCAACGAGTTCACCGCCGACATCTTCAAGCAGTGCGTCGACGCCGGCATGACCCGCCTAAACGTCAACCAGATCGTCCTGTGGAAGTACGAGGAGTACGCCCGCCAAAAGGCCGGCAGGACCCCGCTCACCGAATTCATGGAGGACGGCACCAAGCTGATCCAGGAGAGGATCGAATGGATGATGGACGCCGTGGGGAGCACCGGTAAAGCTGGAGATGTCAAGTTATGAGAGACGAGCGACAGAATGGAGTGCCTTCGGACGGATGTAGGGGAAGTGGCCAGATGGGAAACGCGATCCATATAACTCAGTATAGGATGGTCGGATGGTAAAGGTCCTGGCAATATGGTCCGAATCATAAAGCATCTTCGCCTTCAAAGTTTCCATTGTTTGATCAGTAAAATGCATTTGGATCAGACCAGGTTGGATCGGATTGGATCAGTTCTATCATTTCATCATGGCAGTGGGCACTCCGCCCTTCGATCTGATGTGGGATCGGTCAAAAACGCTTCTCATTTCGATGCTCTCTCCAAAAAACAGCCGTATTGGACCTTATCGCCCTCAATTCGACGTAAGCCTACATGATTCACTTCGACTCTGCTCCAGGAGTTTCCTTTGTCGCTCCAGGTGTCGCATCCTTAATCTGTGCCTCTTCGCCACTGGTTTTCTTGTCGTCCTTCTTGACGTCTGTCTCGTCGTCCTTTAATGTAATTACCTTGGCATCTTTCTCCTCGTCGCTGTCGCCCAAGCTAAATGGGTCGTTTTCCGCAACAGGGCTCGGGTCGATACTTTGCAGGGGCTGCCATTTGCTCGATTTTGTCGTCGACGCTGCCGCCGGTTTCGGCGACGCGTTATACATGTCCCTGATCTCTTCCGGTGGGCCGTCTTGGAAGGACACCTTCCGATTCGTGCCGGGCGACGGTCGACGATCTGGTCCCTGGACGCCCGCGGGACGGAAAAGGTTCGGATTAGCCAGAGGCCGGCTCGATGTACGTGGCGGCGCTTCACCGTCACGGAGCTCTAGCTTGGAAAAGTCATCACCAATAGGTTGCATATCGGCATCGTAGCGTTGGAGGTCTGCACTGCGACGCATTTCGGCACTTCGGCGACCCGTGAATGGCGATTGTGCAGACGGCCGGGCAGGGAGAGGTGGTTGACCTTGTGTAAACTCTGCATCATCTTCTTCGCCATCGATCTTCTTCTTGAATGCGCTGATCCAGCTGTTCACGGTCTTCTGCGTTTCCATGAAGCCCTTCCTGATATTGTCACGGATCTCCGGTAGATCGTCTGTTACGATGTAAGCATGTGTCAAAATTGCGAATGAGCGCGGACTAACCATCAATAAAGCTCCGCCACGGGACATCATCAGGGTTCGGGCTTGCCCCTGGTCGACCTACTCTTGATCCTGGCAAGTTTTCATTGAATCTTCCCCCAGAGTCCCGACGCCTTGGTTGCTGTCTGTCGAAACCGGCACCGTTATTGTATTCCTGAGCCAGCTGTCTAGCGTAAAGCTCATCTGCTTCTAGTTGGCTAAGCTTCGCAGGTGTGGGAGATTGTTGCCGGGCGGGACGAGGAGGTTTGGCCGGGGGTAAGGGTTCTGGTTCTCGCTGTGATTCAGGGTCTGTCATCCCAAGGAGGGCATTGAATGCGGGCTCAATCTCTCCTCGGCTTGCCGTGAGAACAGCTCGAATAACGCTGGTCTCGATCGTAGGAAAAGCCTCTTTCAAAGTGAGCTCTGCCTGTTCTCGCGGAGACATTGGTCGCGGGGGTTTTGGTGGTGGAGCAGCTTCGTCTTTGGGAGGAGGTTTGGGCTGCGAATACAAATCTGTCTTGCATGCTGCAGTCGTCTCGATGGTGCCGGTCTCTTGGTCGCTGTCGAAATCCAGGGGCCGAGCAGTAGTTGGAGATTCGGGAGGTCCATCGGACGGTTTCAGTGGTGAGACAGGCGACGGCTGCGCAGTGTTAGGAAACATCACAGATCACGGACGAAACAAGAGCTGGTATATATCTCTTACCGGATTGTTGCTGGCCATGCTGAGGGATGGAATTGATCTTCTGTAGTTGTGACTTTAGATGGATTTTCCCACGGAGCAGGGAGTGAATGCTAGGTATTGTCTCACTGGCAGGCAGCTCAGTAAATCAAGACCTGAGACGACACATGTGTCTGAGGAGCAACTGGCACCCACCGGCGTGGGGTCGGAATTGCGCTTGCCTCGAAGCTGTGCCGCCGGTGCTGGTGACTTGGCAGTGGCTTAGATGACGTAATTGTGGCGTCACTCCCAATTCGGGTCTATCTGTCTGTGGCGGTGCAAGCATCAATTCTTGCCGGCTTAACGGCAGCCCGTGTTTCGTCGCCATAAATCAAAAGCTGCCTCGCTGGACAGTTGAGGCAGACATGATTCGTTGGGGAGCTGCCACTGGTCATGATCTCTCAAGCCCGTCACCACCATGTCGGATTTTGATTTGTCCTTCATCCCGGCATTGTACACGCCCCCAGCTCTACTACCCATCTCCAGACACAGAGCCAGTCTACTTTACACCATTGAAACACATCAGGTCACTGTGCTAGTAGGTCAGACAGGCAGTGGGAAAACAACTCAACTACCTCAATATCTGGAACAGGCAGGATGGTGCTCCAGAGGAAAATGTATAGCGGTCACGCAGGTTGGTACATTGAGTCTTTCGACCGATCCAGAGTGTGTTGACCAGCGCCTGTAGCCCAGAAGAGTCGCCGTCACCACTGTGGCCACGCGAGTCGCCGAAGAGATGAGATGCCAAGTGGGTGAACAGGTTGGCTATTCAATACGTTTCGAAGATGTCACATCCGCCAAAACCAGAATCAAATTTCTGACCGACGGCATGCTGTTGCGAGAAGCCTTGGTCGATCCGTTGTTCACGAGATATTCCGTCATCGTGATCGACGAAGCTCATGAACGGTCACTCAGCTCTGACATTTTGCTTGGTCTACTGAAGAAGGTCAAGAAGCGACGCCCAGAATTGAGGATCATCGTCAGCAGTGCCACCCTCGAAGCCGAACGCTTTGCTGATTTCTTTACGGATCATGACGCTCCTGACAGTGAGCAACAATGTCGAATCGTCAGTATCGAAGGTCGGACATATCCCGTGGATATTCTCTATCTCGATCAACCGACCGACGACTATCTGGAGAAAGCCGTACAGACAGCCTTCACAATCCATCAACAGGAGCCGCCTGGTGACATTCTTGTGTTCTTGACGGGTAGAGAAGAAATCGAAAGAGCCACACAGAAGCTCTCGGAACTAATATCAACACTACCCCCGCAAGCACAAGCTCTCCAGCCTCTCCCGCTTTATGCCGGCCTCAGCACAGAAGATCAAATGTACGTCTTCTCCGAAGCGGCGGAGAATACCCGTAAAGTCATCCTTGCTACGAATATCGCAGAAGCATCCGTCACCATTTCAGGTATCGTGTACGTCGTTGATTGCGGATTCGTCAAACTCCGAGCGTTCAATCCAAACACAAACATCGAGACATTGACCCCCTTTCCCACGTCCAAAGCCTCGGCGACCCAACGAGCTGGCCGCGCAGGACGAACCCGACCGGGCAAATGTTTCCGGCTCTATACACAGCAATCCTATTCATCGCTCCCCGCCACAACAACCCCGGAGATCCAACGGTCGAATCTCGCCCCCGTGGTCCTCCAACTGAAAGCACTCGGCATCGATAATATTGTCCGTTTCGACTTTCTGTCACCACCGCCCTCGCAACTCCTCATCCGCGCATTCGACCTGCTCTATTCCCTGGGCGCGGTGGACGACTATGCGAAGCTCACTTCACCGTTGGGAACACGCATGGCCGAGCTTAGCGCCATTCCACCCATGATGGCTAAATGTCTCCTTGCTTCCTCCTCGCCACAATTCGACTGTCAGAACGAGATGCTCACCCTCGCGGCCATGACCTCGTTACAAGGCAACGTGTGGTTCCATCACAGCGGGGAGAAACGGGCCATGGACTCGTCACGACGGAAATTCGCTGCCGAGGAAGGCGATCAACTCACGCTACTGAATGTTTATCGCGCGTTTGTGGCCAAGGGGAAGAAGGAGGCGAGATGGTGTCACGAGAACCATCTCAATTTCAAGTCCATGCAAAGAGCTGTGAGCATTCGGAATCAGCTGAGGAGATATCTGGAGAGGTTGGGCGTCAAAGTGGACGACTCAGACTCACAGGTAGCAGCCACGTCTGCCAACACCCAAGGAAAGGACAAGACCAGCAATATCTTGAGGTGCCTGGTGACGGGCTACTTCTCGCAGGCCGCAAAGATGCAGCCTGATGGGACGTTCAAATCCGTGTCGGGAAACGTCACCATGCACGCCCATCCGACTTCCCTCCTGTTCAATCGGAAAGCAGAATATGTGGTCTTTCATGAGTTGTTGGAGACCGGAGAAAAAGTATACATCAAGGACATTTCAAAGGTAGAGAAGGCCTGGCTTGTGGAGTTTGGAGGAGGTTATTACAATCTCAAGAGTTGATACTTTGCTAGTGCTGTTTGATCGTTGTGGACAAAGACATGTCTTCATCAGCCACTTGGGCATTGTGCATACAGACGTCCTTTCTTGTGCCAGTGATCCTGGACCGTGAGAGGAGTATTTTTTAATTGCACTCAATACCTGACCATTAGCAGGGTCCGAACCTCCGTTTTTTTTATCGTATCAACGCCTTGCAGCCACAGCCGACATCATATCTTATGGGGTATCAAAAGTTCATCAACAGTCGTGGGTATCATTATTCGGATTCATAATCCGGAATTGGTTCCCTCTGTGTAAACTCCCACGCCTCCAACTCCTCAGCCAGACCCCGTTCCTTGCGTTTCTTCAGCTTGGATGGCCCCTCTTTGCAGACGTCGCACGCAAAGTGACACTCGGCAACGCTACTCTTGTCCCCGAAATACCGAGAGACCAGTGTATGGCGACAGAAGTCGGTGTTCTCGCAGAACTCGATGATGCTGCGGAGCGACTCGAACCTTGACTCGGTCTTGGCCTTGCTCTTGTCCTTGGCTGCCTCACATCTTGCGCGATACTCACACCGCTCTTTGTCTTCTCGGGTGTACATGATTATGCTTGATGCGGCCTTGTTGTCCCGTCCGGCTCGTCCTGACTCTTGCGTGAACGATTCCATGCCCCTCGGAAGACCGTAGTGGATCACGAACCGGATGGTGGGGACGTCGATACCCATGCCAAAGGCTGTGGTGGCACAGATGATGTTGAACGAGTTCGTCACACTTTGGTCGTCGTCGACTTGTAGTAGATGAGGGTCCGAAGTGGCATATCTGAGAAACGTTCTCTGCACTCTCTCCCTGTTTTTTGTGTCTAACCCGGCGTGGTAAGCGCTTGCTCGGATCCCGCAAGTGGTCAGATCTGAAGCAAGATCATCTGCTGTAGCACGAAGCGGTACATAGATAATGCCCGTGATTGGGGAAACAGCGGCTGTTGGAAGCTGCTCTTTCCGATGTCTGAGCAGCATTAGCCGCCTCTGATACATGAAATTCAATTTCGACAGAAGGTATGGAAACATGTCATCGTTTGGATCCTTGGGGTGACATTCTGAGAAGTATTGAACTTCGTAATGAATGTTTGGTCGCGCGGTAGAAGTAGAGAAGCATTTGGTCTTGTCAGGATCAAGACCAAGGTATGTGAAAATGTCCTCTCGCACTTGTTTGGTCGCAGTGGCGGTTACTGCTATTATGGGCACCGTGGGACAGGTGAGGTTGGTCTTGAGCCATACCAGGCTTTTATAGCACGGACGGAAATCGTGGCCCCATTCACTGATACAATGTGCCTCGTCCACCGCAATTCGCACCAGCTGACCCTGGCGGTGGATTTTCATGATGAGTTTCCGGAATCGGTCCTGTGCGCAAAGCTCCGGGGTGACGTAGAGAAGTTTGGTTTCTGGATGTCCGCAAAGGAGATCTGTCTCAATTCTGACCTTTTCAGACCATTCAGTTTTGCCATTGATACACTCGACAGCGATACCCAAGGACTTGGCTGCTTGGACCTGGTTGTCCATCAATGCCAGGAGGGGTGAGATAACCACAGTAACCCCAAGGGACACAACTGCTGGAAGCTGGTAGCATAGTGATTTGCCGAAGGATGTGGCTGCGCAGAGAAACACATCATGTCCACCAACAACGGCGGTAATGATCTCTTCCTGGAGTGGCCGGAACGAGGCCTTGCCAAAGACGCGTCTCAAGGTAAAGCGCAGATCTGTGATACTTGCGGTCCGTTTTAGTGGTCCTCGTGGCATATCGCCCTCGAAGGGCATTCGGCGCCGTCAGTAAGAGATTTCGGTGGTCTGAGACACACATACCTATCTCTGAAGGTAGTGGTGGCGGTGCTGTGAAGGTCAAGTTCGGACATATCGACGCGTCAAGCGCTGCCGTCGAGGCCACGGATGCGTGGAGATGACGCCTTGTGCTTAAATAGTCCACAGTAGCCAGCCGCCTATTCACGTGATCAGTGTGAAGAAGTGTACGGCGGAGCAACAACCGCCGTTGCTTCGCCGCCAAGTGGCCCGCCGAGCCGCTTGAACTTGGCGTTGGGCGCCTGACAATGGAGGCCTCCTTGTACCTAGGCCTCGTTGGAGCGGTTTGTCCATCGTTGACGCCATTGAATGCCGCCACTGACGGACTCCCTCTCCATCATCCCTCTTTATGATGACTGGATAGGTACCTAGGTAGGTATGTTCAACAGTGACCAAGGCTGACTGCCACAATAGACGAAATGGTAGTCAAGGACATCGAGCGACAGGAGACGCTACGGGCGCATTTCGCCTCGGCCTCGCCATGGCGACCCATCATGACATCGCTGAACGGTGACAACTCATGGCTGCTATCTTTCCCCCGCCCAGAGCCAGAGCGTGCATCGACCGGGAAATGTTACTATCATATTCTGTTCGAACCCTGGCTCAATGGACCTACGAGCCTTTTCAGCTCTTGGTTCATTCACCTCGCTCACCCTCAATCACCAGCATTTGCAGGTCCCGAAACCGTGAATGCTTGGGTGCGTCAGATCGAGACTGAGGCGGCCGCTGTTGCTGGCCTCTCTAAGCAGGCAGGAAGCAAAAACGGAGGTGAAAAGGAAAGGCCCGAAGTCGACGCCATCCTCCTAGGCTTCCATTACCTAGACCATTTGCATCAGCCGACGCTTCTCCAGTTCGACCCGAGGATCCCCGTTATCGCGACGCCCGAAGCCAGGGCAGTCCTCGAGCCCTGGGACCATTTCAAAACTGTACTGACAATCCCGAGCCTTGACCCCATGGCCAAGTCCTGGAGGTCAGACGCAGCTCACCCCGGAGATCCGTTTCCATCGTGGCTCGCACCAGTTCGTCTCTTGGGCCACCACGAGCTCAACTACGTCACGGCGCTTGTCTGGACGCATGCGACCAGCGATGGCGGCGACGTACACGAAGCGATCCTGCAAACCCCGCACGGTACGAAGCTGGACGTCGGACCGCTCCAGGCCTTCCTCGACTCAGAACCTAGGGCGGAAAACCTGGCGCTCCTTCATGGGCTCAAGGAGAGTCGGGCGATGGGGAGCATGAACACCTTCGGGGCCGCGGGTGGACTAGCACTGTACCGCAAGATCGGCGGAGCCAAATACTGGTTACAGACTCACCATGCAGCCCTCGTGTATTCGGGCATCATGATGCGCCTTTTGTGGGTTCATGATACGCCGAAGACGATTCAATGGGCGTTGGAAAAGGAGGCACAGGAATCGGGCAACGACGTGGAACATAAGGGCGGGAGGCCAAATGTCATCGAAGTGGATAATGGAGGTTGTTTCGTGCTGGCGTAGTATTATCTGTGGTGACCAGCTCGAGCGTTTTCGGGCGTGTGTTCCAGCCCTTTTGCTGAGATGCATTTGTGGGATGATACCTAGGTACCTTTGTTATTTAAATACCTCCTTGCCTCCTCGTCTCTTGTATTGTGCCCAGAAGCTCAAATCCCCGATTGGCTCGCACAATCATCTCTTCTCGGTCTAGTCGACAGCCACGAAAACCGCAAGGCGAACCAGGCGTTTTCCCCTTCGGACCACCCGCTGTCGATGTCAACCTCTATTCTCGAAAGGAATGAGGTCCGCCAGGACACCTTGCCAGGACACGTCTCATTCGTGTAGCAGGACTAGGGTTGACAAGTATTTCCACCGACGAATGCTGCCTAGCACCCCACCTCTTTCTTTTCGCAAAATGCTCCAATTTCTCCCAAGTGCATCTACTGTACATTGACGACCGCAGTATCTCCTTCACAATTCTCACTGCGACCATCACAGCAAGACCCAAATACGTCTTTTGCAAGTCGGCCTGGGACTACAAGCAGACACCCCATGGTTGGAATTGCCAGAGCTCGTGGCTGTGGGACCTGCAGGAAGCGGAAGATAGCGGTAATCCAAGCCATTTTTCTTAGTACCGACGAGGAGTGCGTCGCTGATACCCATCACCAATAGTGTGGGCTGGAACGGCCTTCCTGTGCTCAGTGCATTAAATCGAACAGGATATGCACTGGATACCGCAAATACCCCATTTTCATCGCTCATCAGCCACCGAAGGGCGACGATTCGAAGCAATCGCGGCATGAGGAATCCACCCCTGATTCGACAATACCTCCCCACGAAAGTCAGCAAACCCTTGGAGATTGCAATGGAGTGAAAAGTGATTCAGCATCATGTGGTCTGCATCTCGACCCAACCCAATCTCTCATTCGATTGGGAGCACAAGTCAACGCCAATCCAGCTCTTCGACAGCGCCTTTTGGCTTTATACCTGGATAACCATCTATCAAGGAACAGGCTTGGGCCCATGCAACAAAGAGTGTGGCTGATACAAATTCCCCAACTTCCTGATCTCACCCCAGCGTTAGAGGTTTCGATGATGGCATTGGCTGTCGCCAAGCTGGGCGAAGTCTATCATGATGACGGCCTTATTCACGAGAGCTTGAAGCTTTACCGCGAGGCTCTGCATGAAGTCCAATTGGCCCTGTGGGATCGAGACATGATGCTCCACGATCAAACTCTTACTGCCTGTGTGGCTCTGGGCATGTATGAGATGAGTCAATGTCCGAATCAGTCCAAACATGGATATATCAGTCATACACTCGGCTGCCAAAAGCTGATCCAACTGCGCGGTCCAGAGGCACACATGGATGGGTTGGGACATTCGGTTTTTGTGCATTTCAGGATCCAAGGCGTGAGTTATCTGTGACAAAGACCCAGTGGCGATCAGCTGATCAAAGTCAGATTCTTTACTCGTTAGACCTGTCCCAGCCTTCCTTCTTAGGAGAGCGGCTGTGGCAAGAGGTGCCCTGGCAAATCAGACCGAAAACTCCGTATGATCGGATTTACGACTTCCTCGCCTGCGCACCAGAGCTCCACAGACAGGGCGAGATGCTCGAGCATATGGACCCTTGCGGCAAGTTGCAGCTTGCGACGGAGATGATTTGGAAATGCTGGAAGCTGGATGCCGAGTTACAGTCTGTTTATGATTGTATGGAGAAGAGCCACGACGGACCACTCTATTGGCCAGAATTGGCGAGAGATAAAAGTCTCGATCTTGGGTCGACAGACGGCATGCTATTTCCAGTGGCATTCCATTTCCCCAATCTCTCCATCGCCAACACTGTCATCATTTACTGGGGAGTACAGGCTATATTGTGGCAAGGCCTGTGGCTGCTCTACGGGGTTTTGGCGGAAATCCAGAAAATTCAGATGGATCCAGCAAAGGCCGGAGGCTTCGGTCAAGAAGACGCGGATGGTCATAACAAATCTTCGGGAAATACAGTGGGCAACATCTGTCACTTCCCACCATTAGAACATCGGGCAGACTTTGCCGCGCCCTGTCGCAACATACTTCAGTCCGTTGAATACAGCCTGCAAGACGACATGTTCGATCAAGGGCCAAAATGTATTGCGGCTCCGTTGAGGATGGCGGTAGAGACTCTGCTGCCCTACCCACAGTACAAGCGAGAGGTGGCTTGGGGAGAGAGGGCGATAGAGAAAGTGCAAGAGCGATCTCTCCGTCTACTCATATACTACATCCCCAGAAGATAGCTGTCCACCTGAAATGGTATATTGAGCCGCCCCTTTCCATCCAGCTACCGACCTTGGTACCTAGGTAGGCAAGTAGGTAGGTACGTGTGACTGGCCATATTATGGTTGGGCTCAGCCTCGCGCGGTGTGGATACAGCCTCGCGACTAACCCCATGCCGCCAAGGCCAGCCTGGCCTCAGCCTACTAAGTACCTAGTGACTGGCACCCACGGCTTCAGCCTCGATCTCAACTCTCTTCGTAGGTCTGCTCCACCGAGGACCTTCTTATATTTCACCCTTCCAAGGCCTTTATCTTCCTTCTGTACAGTCCTCACTCGGCTAGATTTGTCATTCTACACCGATCTGAATTTGCCCTCCTTCCCAGACACGCGCAAAACGCAGTCATGGCTTCAGAGCCCGGACCCCTCATGGAGTTTCTAGGCCAGGTCGCTTACCATTATGAAAGTATGCGACCACTTCTGCCGACATACATGCATCTTCTCGTGTCGGCCATTTTCCCCATCTACACGGCCGCTCACGCTTCGTTGTCTAGACCACCGTCGGCGGCATCCAAGAAATCGAAGAAACCCGCCAAAGACGAAGCTGAAGAAAGCGATGACGAGGATGCCCACACGAGAATCGAAAGCCTGACCCCTTCTGACGCGATACTATTTCCCATCTTGGCCGGTATCACACTGGCATCGCTCTACTTTATTCTCAAGTGGCTCCGAGATCCCGCTTGGCTCAACTGGGCCTTGGGCATTTACTTCTCACAGATCGGCTTGTTCTTTGCGATGAAGTTCTTGAAAGATGGCTTCTCTGTGATGCGGTCTTTCGTGCTTCCAAACGAGTATTCTCGTTCAGGAATGCTGTGGAAGGTGGACCAGCAGCAACAGTGTTTTAAGACAGAGAACGGGTTGCGCAACGGCTCACCGTTTCCGGGGATGGTCGGGCAAATTCCTCTTCCCTCGTCACTTGCACCACTTGTGTGGGATCTACGTGCGATACTGTACACCAAGGCCCGCCTTGAATTCCACGTCCACGAATTGATTACCGTCAAGACGTTGGTCGAGATTCTTGACCTCATCAGTCTCGTGCTCTCCGGTGTCATCGTGTACATCCACACGTTCGTCTCGAAGCCATGGTTCCTTACCAACATCCTTGGTTTCTCTTTCTGCTACGGCTCTTTGCAGTACATGACACCCACAACCGCCTGGACTGGCACCCTTGTGCTGAGCGCCCTCTTCTTCTACGACATCTATTTTGTCTTCTTCACCCCGATGATGGTCACTGTGGCGACAAAATTGGACGTACCGATCAAGTTGCTCTTTCCTCGTCCCGATGGTTGCGTGTTCCCTGTAGGTGCGCCCGAGGGGTCGCCGGCCATGGAAGAGTACTTACAGTGTCTGGCGAAGAAAAGAACAATGGCGATGCTAGGGTTGGGGGATATTGTTGTGCCAGGGATGATGTTGGCCTTTGCTTTGAGGTTTGACTTGTACTTGTTTTATCTTCGACAAGTCAAGAAAGGACAGCAAACGGATGGAGATACATCGAAGCCGACATACACTAGCGCGACAGGATGCTGGGGAGAACGGTTTTGGACCGCTTCGAAGCTGTGGTCCAAGGAGATGAAGGCCAAGCGGTTTCCCAAAACCTATCTTCGCGCCACTACATTAGGATACCTTGCTGGAATGATCGTGACAGTGGTTGTGATGCAGGTTGCACAACATGCGCAGCCCGCATTGCTCTACCTTGTTCCTGGGGTCCTGCTGTCGTTCTGGGGCACTGCCCTGGTCAAGGGGGATTTGAAGGAGCTTTGGCGTTACAATGAGAGCCCGGAAATTGATGACAAGAAAGCTAAGGAGGCAAAAGAGGACAAGGGGTTATTGGCGTCCACCCGCAAGGATACTATTGATGACAATGCTGCCACTAACGGTGCAATAACCAGCGAGGATGAGGGCGCAGACCCTGCCAAAACGCAGGAGACTAAATCTGCGAACGAAACCCAGGCGGCTGCTAAGAAAGATTCCGAAAAGGCCTGCCGACGTCTGATCCATTTTTCAATCACATTACCTGATCCGATTCACGAGGCAGCATCGACCTCGCTCAAGTCGGTAACCGGTGATGACAGGTCGGAAAGAGCCGTGGCGGCCCAAGACACCGCGGAGAATCAAGACTCGGGCAGAAGTTCGGAGCGAAAAGATGATGGTGAACCACCCGGCAAGCGTGCCAGGAAATCATGATGAGATCAAGGGATACCACAGACTTTCCGAAAACAAATCATTCAATGCATGGCGCTGGACCTGATACGGTGTGTGGCTTCGGATGGAAAGCATGGAGGCATAGCGGTATAGCGGCTTAGTTCGGCGCCAGCACAGGGCAATAGCAGAGACGTCCTCGTGTCTCAATGATTTATTCCATTCCTATGAGAGGGCCCTGAGTGTGTTCTTTTCCATTCACCCATTCTTTTACGTTTACCTTTACCATGGTGGATCGTGTTCGTGCCTCTCGTTGCTGATGCAGAGTTTATCTGTTCATTCTTTGTTCATCTTTTGTGCCTGAGCCTTCAATTCCTCCTTGCTCTTTGTCTCAGCAGGAATGCCTACCAGGAGGGACCAGGTCAGCTCTCTCAATCATCTCACAGCGACAGAACAGGTGATGTACTCACTGTCGGAGATCTGAGGGCCTTTGCCCTGATGATGATGAGCTTGTGCCTTTTGCTGGTCCTGGTGGATGGGGTGATCAGATGCGGTGGAATCGCTGGACTCTTTGGCGACCTGGTCAAAGACGTGAGAGTCGGTGTTTTCTTCGCTTGGGTGGACAGGCATTTTGACAAGTTTGTGGATGATGACAGGTTCTTCCAAAAACTGGTCTAGGATGAGGAGAGCACAGAGGGTTCAAGAGGCTTATATAGCTGTGATATTGAGTGGTTGCGTGACCATGACACTGCTCGACTGTCAGGCTCCTCCGTCTGCAGTGTGCAACTTCTGCACGGTGGCGATGACGTCTATGATGTGGGGTGCTGCAAAAGGAGAGAAGCATCAGTGACGGAAGCAGGCCGAGCTCAGCCAATTGCAGGGTGCCGGGGCCAAGCAAGAGGCCTTGACGGCTCGACGGCAAACAGGGGCGACCTAGGGCACGTTTAGGGTGGGTGCTAGGTGACACCAGGGACGACCTCTTAACTAAAAGCCTTGGGGCTTGGGGTGTCCGCGGGTGTGACCCCGCAACGACTGCCCGAGCTGCCCTAGTGAGATTGATCCGAGCCGGAATGCCACGCGGCTCAGCCTTTCTCTTCTCGTCTCCGCCTTACAACAGACTCCAGAGAGCACTTTGTGACTTTGGGAATTGCCTGCGCCGTTTATTGATCACCTCTCTATACTTCCATGTCAGTCTGTTATCCTCGACTCAACCTGAGCTGTTTCTGTTTAGCTCGACTTTCCTGCGCAGAGGCAGGTCACTCCCTTTTTCAACTCTCGGTTTCTCCTTTTGTGGACTGCGAGCACTATCACTCGCTCTCGCTGCGAGATGCCGTCCATCCTCTCCGACGCTGACAAGGAGACGGTGAAGAGGACTGTGCCCAAAGCCTCCAACAAGATCCAGGCCGTTGCTGTCGCTCGTCTCTATGTCTCTCTCCCCAACAGCAACCGATGGACCTATACTGGTCTTCAAGGCGCCGCTGTCCTCTCCAACGACCTGGTGGGAAATACCTTCTGGATCAAGCTCGTCGATATCTCTCCCGCAAACCGAGGCGTGATATGGGATCAAGAAATATACGACACCTTTCAATACAACCAGGATCGCACATTCTTCCATTCCTTCGAACTCGAACAATGTCTCGCCGGTTTATCCTTTGTCGACGAGAAAGAGGCCCGACAATTCAAGAAAAAGATGGACGAGCGCGAGAAAAACGCCAGCAAACATACAAAAGCCCAGCCTTTCGCATCTGCCGCTGGAGGAGGCCAGATCCACGTTCCCGGAGGCTCTCATAAACACCACAGTCGAGTTAGCAACCTGTTCCGTGGTCACCGGCATAGCTCTGCATCACAACAGCCACCACTTGCCCCCCAGCCGATTTACAGCACGGGGCTTGCCCCGGCAAGCTACCCCCGGGGCAATGCAGACACAATCGATCTTGCCGATCCAAGCTTGAGGCCGATCTTGGATGAATTGGTACAAATGGGCATCACCGAAGATCAGATTGCCCAAAACGTCGACTTTATCAAGCGTTATGTGCAAGAAAAGCAGGCAGAAGGAACCGGCTATGGAACTGGTTCGGCCATACCGACAGTGACCGCTACCGAGACGAGATCAAGGGCACCGCCGCCACCGCCGCCTCCGTCAGCGCCCCCGTCGAGAATTAGCCCTGAAAATACTGGCTCCTCGAGCCGGAGAGGCCCTCCTCCAGCGCCTCCGCCGTCAAGAAGACCTGTGGGCGGGCGAGCACCTTCACCTCCTCGTTCAAGCCCTCCTCCACCAGCAAGGACGCCTTCACCTCCCCCCTCAGCAAGTCCCCAGCCTAGATTCCGCGCTCCTCCACCTATCGCCGATGCGGGCAAGTTTGCTGTTAAAGAAGGTCCAGCACTTCACCCATCTGGCCGAGCTCGAGCTTCTTCAGGCTCCCTTGCAAATCCAGGTCCTCCGCCTCCGCCTCGTCCCCCGAAAACCCCGATTGAGGAGGAACAGCCCCAGGGTGGTTTGTTTAGAGTCCCGCCACCATTTACGGGGGAACGCAAGTCTTCTGCGCCCCCACCTCCGCCGAGTCGTGGACCTGTTCCTCCGCCGCCACCTAGTCGTGAGACACCAACTCCTTATGCTGGGCCACCACCCCCATTACCGCCCAAAGCAGGACAAACGCCGTCGCATTCTGCGTTGTTCATTCCTCAACCTCCGCCGCCTCCACCAGCGCGCAATAATGCACCTCCTTTGCCGCCTCCGAATACTCGAGCAGTCCCTCCTCCGCCTACAGGTGCTGTTCCGCCACCTCCTCCCCCACCACCACCTATGCCCTCTTCTTCCGGTCCGCCTCCACCGCCTCCGATGCCTTCCTTTGGCGGCCCTCCCCCACCTCCTCCCATGCCGTCCTCTGGCGGGCCTCCACCGCCTCCTCCTATGCCCAGCTCTTCTGGACCTGCTCCTCCTCTTCCTCAAGCAGGAGGCGATGGCCGTGACTCGCTCCTGGCGGCCATCCGCGGCACAGGTGGGAAAGCTGGTGGTGGGCTACGCAAGGTCAAGGACAGCGACAAGCGCGACCGTAGTGCGGCCTTGGTCCCAGGCTCAGAGAGTAGTGCTCCTCCACCGCCTCCAGGAGCTCCGGGATCTCCCTCCACACCAGCAGGGGATCAAGGTGGTCTAGCTGGGGCATTGGCGGCAGCGTTGAGCCAGAGGAAGAAGAAAGTTAGTGGCAGCGGTAAGTTTGCCCTTGTTTGCCTTCCTTGAAAGTCCAACACCCTCTCAAGATAACTTGTTTTTCCCGTCACCCGATCCATGGATGCTGACTTTGATGGAACAGATGACGAGAAGGATGACGATGACGATTGGTGATCCATCCTCAGTTCTCCGAGAGTGCGAATACACTTGTAGCCTATGCGAATGCTCTCTTGCAACATTTCAGGATTGGAAATGGGGAATTGTGGTGGTGGTGGCGGTGGTGGATGAACGTTGGACATAGCTGGCGTGGGTGTATGCGAAATCCTCGATAGACACAAACAAGGAACCTTCCGGCGATTGTAAAGAGCAAACAATCGAGGAGCCGGCCGATGCTATAGTACTGCCCTGATTACGCACCAGCGGGCAGCGGTTGGAGAAACAGGACAAAAAAGCACGGGCATACCGTGGCTGCTTACCTAGGTACCTATGTACCCAGAAAAGAGCGTTCGAAGTTGCCAGTGACCAGAGCAAGCATAGCCATGGGAAACAAAGTTTTGTCCCATACAATATCCCGTTTACCAAAACTTATGGTTCGATGTATTAAGGCACGAATAGACATGCTCCCGCGTTCGGACGCAACCACATACTAGGTATATAATTATACCTAGGTATTTATATGCACTGGGGTACAGAAATATAATATGCACAGCGAGTTCTGCTTTAGATGTCCATACAAACCACCACTCACCACTCACCACTCACCACTCGCTCAAGAGATGAAATGAGATGGATTCGTCTTATATGTCCCGCGCAGTTATCAGAGATACGGAGTTGCCTTGGTCTTTTATGAAAACCCTGCCAACACCGGACCAGTCTATCATGTGCCTCCCGAAATACAGCTGTCCCGATACATGGATGAATGCAAGAAACCGCTGCCCTCTCAGTCCTCGCTTGAACGCTCAAAGGAGATGAGACCAGCCATCTATATGCCAAAAAGAAGATGAAACCCATCGCATATCGTCACATATATTCTACAGAGCCACGGGAGAGGACAGCTTTGCATCACTTCCTCTTCTATGCCTTCATTTGCTCCTTGGTCATCAGACCTTTCTCCCTCTTTGCGTCAGCCTTCATCTTAGCCTCAACGTTGTCGACGTCCTCGTGGATCGTCATGCCAGGGGCATTCGATCCCGCGTTGGCGTTCGCGTCCGTGTTGCTGTTAAAGACTCCACCCTGCTGCTGTTGGTCGTCGTTTTCGGTATTGTTGAGTTTATGCATCCCCAACCCATCCATACCAGGCCAAAGCACACGGCCAGTCTGCGCATTCCCTCCCGCTTTCAGTCTGGCGTTTTTATGCGCTTGGCTCTCCACGGCTTCATTGCGCCAATTTCCTCGATTTCCTACCTTGCCGCCGCGGAAGCCCATGCTATGATCGAGTCCTTCGCCCCACATGCGCACCTTTTGCACTTTGCGCAATTTGCGCATGCCGTAGATGCAGATCAGCCAGGATAGGCCGAAACACACAACGCTGACTGAGCCAAAAGCCAAGTCCGACTCTTCGACAAAGTTCTTGAGGTTCATTCCATAAAGCCCGGCGATGAGGGTGCCACCGGCGAGACCGAGAGTGCCAATGCTGAACTTGATCTCGAGCAACATGAGCTGGTTGCGATTGGCATCTAGAATCGCCCGGACCACTTCTTCCGTGTTTCTGATGTTGCTAATTAGATTGCCCGAAATCTCAACAATTTCATCACAGATCTTGTGATAGGATTCGAGGAGCATTTCAACGTCTTGGTGGTCGTTTTCAGCGCGGGACTTGCCGGTGGCCTTTCTTTCAGTCAGATACATGGCAGATAGATCATCGTCCGCTTCAAGGAGATCCTCGATGGCATCTCGCACCAGTCTTGCCTTCTGCTCGAAGGTTCCCAGTTTCTTGGAATGTATGAGCAAGTGCCGTAGTTTGTCTCTGTCGATGTCTTCTTCAAGCTCTCTTAAGATATGCGTGACCGGGTCCCGGACCAGGGCAAATTCCGCTTCCAGTCCTGAAGTGACCGAGATGAGGACTGCTTCGAGAGCTCTCAATTCATACGGGAGGTTGAGGGAGCCATTTCTAGGGTCTGCTTTTTGTCGCAGCTTCCCTTCCAAGTCGTACATGAACAAGGACTGAGTATAAGAGTCTGTGCTTCCAAAAGCGTCGAAAACCAGAACTCGATCTGACTGGATGAGGACTCGGAGGTGGAGTAAATTAATCAGGATGGCCGAGGGACGGACGAGGATATGGGGAAGGACAGAGGAGTCGATCTTGCGGAGATCTCGAGGCAACAGCCCATATTTGGCGATAAGTTCCGATTTCTTGAACTCGCCTGATACCATTGTAACGGAGCCATTGGCGTCAAACTCGGTGCAACGGAGCTTCATCTCTGCACCGCTCGTGTTACGGGAAAGGGCGCGGGAGAGGTTGAAGAGCTGCGCCGACGTCTCGTCGTAGCCGTAGGGTGAGGATGTAGTTGGAGCATCTCGGGGGTGTTTTGAACGGGATGCAGCGACTCTATGACGGAGCCATCGTCGCCAAAAAGTTTGCTTGTGACTTTCTGTGCTTGCGCAACGAGACTGTGGAGGGTTCGGGGGGCTATATCTCGGAGGAGGAAGAGCTTTGCATTGCTCTCGTACAGGATGCCATTTGTCCTCAATTGAGGAGAGGCGCTTGCGAGGGGGAGTTGTAGATAGAGCTCGAGACGGCGTCCGAGGACGTGTTGTGAAGTGACTGGAGTTTGCGAAGAGCGAGTCTGATTGAAGTCGAAGATAGCGCAGAAGTCTTGGAGAAGGCGCAATGGGCGTCTTCATCGCCTGCGCCTCGGTACGCAGCTAATAGTATGTTAGCGAGCGCCAGGAGTCGAGCAAGACCGAAAGACTGATGCTGGAACTGTACGAGGTAGATTTGTCTGCGCTTCGATGCTTCATTCGTACGATGCGGAAAATTGTCACATTTTCGCGAATTTCTTGGCGGGTCAAGATCCGACGAAATTTACTCTAATTAAGCTATTAATACGTGCCGCTTTTAGAAGTCCATCTGCGATCAATTCCGGGCATTCAATTTGGGCATGACAAGCATATGTATTAATACCTACTTCCACTCTACTACAGTAGGTAGGTAGTTCTGCGTTCACGCCAATACCACCGCTACGTGATAAGGATTGGGATCAGCACTAATGGAGGATAACGAATTTAAATATACGCCACTGGAATCAGCTTCCCCAGAAATCAGAATACTGTCTGTAACAAGGTCTAGTGCGATTGAACTAGAGTGTCATCTTGAGCATACTTCTCTGGAGGACGATTCAACTTACGAAGCTCTTTCTTACACCTGGGGAGACCGCTCTGACATGTTATCGATCAAGCTCAACAATCGCCATTTCAAAGTTGGAAGAAATCTTGCAAGAGCTCTTGAACATTTATGCGAAGGAGGAAGAACCCTCAAAATCTGGGTTGACGCGGTCTGCATAAACCAGCAAGACGAAGCAGAGAAAAGCGTGCAAGTGAGTCAAATGAAGAAAATTTACGAGAAGGCGCAAAAAATCGTCATTTGGCTAGGACCAGAATCCGACGATAGCAGCTACGCGATAAATGTTATGAATAGCGTCGATCGACATTGGGCAACGCGAACCTCCCAGCTGGCGACACATAGCATGCCAGTACCAGCTATTAATGAAAGAGCTCTCCAAGCGATAATCCGGCTTCTCTGTCGCCCCTGGTGGCGCCGTGTATGGATCATCCAAGAAGCCACTTGTGCTAGTGACACCTACTTAAGGTGTGGCAAAGATCAGACAGAGTTCTGGAGAGTCGTGGCAGTGGTAAAATTTATAACGCAATACACAATCCAACATATCTTCAAACAAGATTTCAAGCACCTGGACATTGCACATTTCCTCAGAGTCATTGCTCTAGATCAGCTCAAGCTCACCGGGAGACGTTCAGGACATGGATCGAATCTTCTCGTGCTCCTCGATAACGCGCGAACGTGTGAAGCATCAGACCCGAGAGACAAGATTTTTGCATTATCAGGCTTGGCGGTCGATGCTCACAGAGAGGCTGGGGAACCGGACTACACCAAACCAATTGACGAAGTATACATGAAATTCACGTATGCCCTGATCACATCGGAGCGGACTTTAGATGTACTTGGTCACTGTCAGGCAGCTGCACGAACACCACAATCTTGGTCTAACTTCGACTTCCTTCCTTCATCTTTTCACCCCAAGTGCACTCTACCCTCCTGGACCGCCGACTGGACGTTGGGGCTGGAAGCTACACCGTTGATGAAGAATACAATACCCTACGAGGCTCTCTCCAATAAGGTATACAAAGCAAGTGATAATTATGCTCCGTCGGTCAAGCTTGCTGATGGCCTGCGAACCTTGTTTGTACGAGGTGTGGTAGTCGATACAGTCTTAAAGCTCGGTGAAGCGTTTGACCTTCCATTCAACCCATCGATATTAGGCAAGTGGCATTCCTGGGCTGAAACAGAGCTTGGGAAAGTATATCACCGAAACGAGACTACGCATGAAGCTTTCCTCCGCACGCTTGTTGCTGACACACGTGTAGAAAGGGGCCGATGTCTGCGTGATTCTGCTGCACCTTGGCCTGTTCAAAACAAGCAAGACGGCAAGGAATCTTTTATTTCCAGTAGCCTTATCAATCATGCGGTCAATTCTAGAGGGTTCTTTCTCTCGGGACAAGGCTATATGGGGTTGGCTCGTTACGATGTGATGAAAGGGGACAAAATTTGTATACTTCATGGTGGACAAATTCCCTTTATCTTACGACAAGACGGGAGATATCACTTGTTCAAGGGAGAATGTTATGTTCATGGGTTAATGGACGGAGAAGGCATGAGACACCCATGGGTTTGGCAAGACTTTGCCCTGCGTTGATCATATATAAGTACTGTCGTACCAGGGCATGGCATTACGGCAACAGTATCAATAAGGGAGAGCTCGTCGAGACATCTAACACTGAACAGTGGACAGAGTCCGCAAGGCCTTGGGTATGCATGCGGATACGGAGCTTCGAGATATCATCATGAAAGCATCGAGGAGGAGAGCAATGGCATTCAGTTGAGCTAGGATTTGTGCGTTCAGAATGCTACTTGTTATTTGTTAGTTCCACCGAGTTGTCCAAACAGGCGTGATTAATGGTTCTGCCCCATCTGTAGAACCAAAAGACATCTACATGAGATATATACCAGCAAAGGAGCTTGCTGGAAGGAATGAAATGGCAGCAACAACAGCGTTACTGTTGCTTATCAACAGGAAAATGCAGGCGACAGTGTGCCAGCCCAGCTGAAATAAAATAAGCGGATCCTGTGTGCTGGACAGCGAGGGATAGTGCCGATACTGTTTACTTTTGGTGGAATCCATGTCCTAGCCCGGACTACGAATATTCAGTTTGCCACGAGCATGCTCAACGAAGGTGCAGAAAAAGACTATAGACTGGTCAGAAAGATATCCACAGCCTCGCTCGGCAGGAAGAGAAAGGCCAATCCAGGCATGAAACAGCAAAGAAAGGGATTGAATAGCCGCATCATGTTTCATACAGCTAGGTAGATCCTAAGCCCAGAATTGAGTGGTGTAACTACGTGTGATTTGGTCGAGATAAGATGCCCAGAAATGGGACTTATTTCTGAGCAGAAGGCACTAATTTCTTCGAGAATCGAGATAATTGGTTCCCTTGCTGACACTTTCCTAGGATTCCATTCGTCTTAGGACATGAATTTCCTATATTGGAAGCCATGCTGAATCGCATCGATACGGAGGAGGTTCAGCACATCCGTAAACTCACTCATATCGCCTGCCCTTCTCCAGATACACCGGATATCTCATTGGCGATTCTGATCCCGGTGCCATTTCACCAAGACCTTGCTCTTCCTGGATGCGGAGTGCGACTCTCATTGATGGTGGCGGTCGTGGCACAAGACTCGGACCGCACACATATCACTCAGACGCTGTGCCCGGTACTCGTCCTGCGAAATAAAGCGCGGGGGAGGATCGCAGTCTTCGAGCATGCTGCATACCCAATCATACGAGCCAGGAGGCAAGGAGAATGGGTTGTGGGGCGGGACTTGCGTGTCGGAAGGACGTCTCTGTCTCGTCCGCGACGGCATGCACCATCTCTTTGAAGCTGTTGAGATTGAAGCGTCCCAAGAATGGTGCCTCGACTGAGTAGTTGACCTGTATTAATACGCCCACCCATAGCATGGTCTGCCTTCTCAGCAGGGAACAAGCTGTGCCGAGGTTGACTTCTCAACAACATTGACTCGTCCCATTGCAAACTTGGCAGAATCTCCTCCGTGGCCTTGAAAAGAACTAGCCCATCCAATGCGGCAAGGCTGCACTGGGACAAAGAGCCAGGACCTAGTCAAAGCGAAGTCGGGTATTTGACCAGAGCACGCCAGGAATGAACCCATCAAAAAGCTCGGACATATTTATGAGGCCGCCATGCGCCTTGGTTCGATGCTCATCGCTTGAAAGTTGTGGAGATTGAACCCAAGGACCTTGGGAGGGAGGCATTCGTGATACGTCCAAATCCATTTCCTCAAAATGGTATAGCGATATCTTCTCCACGCCTTAAGTCGACCTCCGCCATGCATCTCGCGACGTTTGTCCAATCATGACGCCCACTATCCCCTGAGATCTACTCGTCGCATGCGATATGCAATCCTTCTTCCCCCGCCGCCTCTTTTCATTTCTGCCGGATCTATACCGGGGGGTTCCCAACTTTCCCTGTCAATGGCGATTTTCCTTACCAATAATGTCTTCGCCTTGGCTCGGTCCGGTTGTCAACGTGGTGACTGTGGTGAACATATCTGCCGATCTTTGGTCAGCCCAGCACAAAAGGGGCTCCGCTTCGATAACTATTACAGAAGGACGGCCACAGGCGCGGTGGGCGGGCGATCCACCTCGGGGTACTCCATCCTGGAGGTTGAGGGGTTGATCTGGGGAAACTCCTGGTTCCACCACAACCACAGAATGGGAAAATCGCATCTCTGTGAGTGCGTTGCTGGTCGGGCTGCCTGCTCGGTCCAGGCCCAAGCTACGGTATCTACAGCCCTGTTTATTGCCGACAGCCCCGCAACAAAGCGAGATGCAAGAGTATTTCATATACAACCGATACCACAAGTCGCTTTCCGTGGCAACCCATTCTTCGAAGACCTCCCCAACCTCTGATCTGGTCTTGTCCTTTAGCTTTGGAAAGCAGCTGCTCAAGAGAACATCGATTCGAGGGGTGAGCTTTCTCCTTGAGCAAAGGACAACATGGGTCTGGGAATCCTCGAAGACCGCCATCTGGACCATGTCCCGGGCACCGCGTTGCTCGCGGACATGATAGATGCGCAGCATCATCAATTCCATGGTAGGAGCCGCGCCCTTCAGCTTCTGTGTCGGGTCGAAATGTTGACAAAGACGTCTAGGACGAGATACTTCGGGTTTGAAACATGCCACTGGGCGCAATTCCGACATCGTGCTTGTGCCTCAGCCCAGCGAGTCTCCCCGGGACCCATTGAATTGGCCCAGGTGGAAAAAGGACCTTCTGTTGCTCATCATCAGCATCGACACGGCCGTGGTCGGCGCATGGGGACCCATGATCTCTCCAGGATTTGCGGAAATGGCAAAGGAGTGGCATATGTCCTACAACACGCTCAATGGCGGGCTGGGGTGGGCCATCTTTGCCATTGGCATTTCGTGCTTCGTCACCAACGGCCTTTCGGTAAAGTACGGTCGTCGACCGGTCATCATCCTGGGAAATCTTCTGTTGTTCATCTCCTCGATCTGGGGATACTTTGCGCACAGCTACCACAGCTTGCTTGCAAGGTGAGTTGCCACTTGATCTGGAGAACCACGCCTTCGTTTGAAGAAAGAGCTCGGTTCTTATCTGTCCTTGTAATTCTCCTGGTCGCTTGCTAACGATGATCTAACAGCCGGATCTTCGGTGCCGTTGGAATGTCGCCCTTTGAGGTGCTCACGACAGCCATCATTGGCGATATCTACTTTGTGCATGAGCGCGGTTTGCGCCTGGCCTTCTGGGGTCTATGCTTGAGCATCGGGGTCGGCGGAGGCAGCTGCATCTCCGGGTACATTATTCAGGTACGTGTCCAGAACGCCATATGTGGGGTTTCAAGAAGGCTGACCTATCGAGCAGAACATCGGCTGGAATTGGACATACGGCATCTGCGCATGCTTGTACGGGGTATTCATCATCTTGATCCTCCTCTTCGTGCCGGAGACCGTGTACAAGAGAGATCCCGCGTACAACCTCGACCTGGGGACGACAGACCACACGTTCGAGACGCTGGACGTGCGCGAGGTCAAGGGCGAACACATGGAACACCTCGAGACAACCAAGTCCGGCAGCAAGGTCAACAACAGAGAGGTGCTGTATACGGGAGCCGACGAGCAACCTTGGACGTTCTGGGAGGAGCTGCGGCCCTGGCGCGGCGCCGAGTCCGACGAGAACCTGCTGTACATTGTCTTCCGGCCATTCGGCATGCTCCTGTTCCCGCAGGTTCTCTATGGCTTCATCACATACGGCTTGTCGACCTCGTGGTTGGTGGTTATGATTTCGGTTCTTGCGCAGCTCTTCACTGGACCCCCTTACAACTTCAGCGTGTCGGACGTCGGGCTCATCAGCATTGCGGCGTTGGTGGCCTCGTTGCTGGGCTTCGTGGCTGGGCCGATGAATGACTGGACGGTCAAGAAGCTGGCTCGATGGAACGGAGGCATTTATGAACCGGTAAGGGCCAACCCCCACTCGGGCTATGGCATTGGTGAAGAGACAGGTGGAAGCTGACAATCCTATCTCGCACTCCTAGGAATTCCGACTTTCCCTCAACATCCTCACTCTGATCCTCGGGGTGGTGGGCTTCTTCGGGTTCGGGGCCACGCTGCAAAGCCAAGCGCCCTGGGCTGGGCCGGTGGTTCTGTACGGCATCATCTACTTCTCCATGTCGTTCCTCAACATTGGCATCTATGGCTACATTACCGAATGCCACCGGAACAAGGCGCCGGAAGCGTTTGCGTCGCTCAACCTGCGCAACATCTACAGCTTCGGCATGAACTACTTCATCAGCGGTAAGTCATCCTCACTGTTGTTGCTGTGTCCTCTCTCCCTCCCTCAAATGGCAGTGTGCCGCAATCATGACTGATTAAACTGACCTGTGTCTTGCCATCAGACTGGATCACCAAGCAAGGACCCCTCGAAGTCTTCTCCACCATCGGCGGCCTGCACATCTTCATCTGCCTTCTCACCATTCCCATGTGGATCTTTGGCAAGCGATGCCGGAGCTTCACGGCGCGGAACCCCATCTTCCGCAAGATCCAGGAGTCTTAGTCTTGAGGTGTAGGGACCGGGCGGACAGGCCGACGAGCCAGATAACGAGCTAGTGCCAGTCGTTCAGTGGGTTTGTGGGATAGAACAGGGACAAAAGAGCAAAAGGGGGCCCTTGTAGACCTCCAGCCCCCAGCTATCTCGATGGAGATCATCCTCGTCCATCAGCAGTGAGTATGTAATTAGCTGAAAATTGAGCGGCTTTCTGCACATATTTGAGAGGAGGCTCGAAGCCATTCTCATTCTGTCACCCTCTTGTGTGAAGAGGCATCGTGTGTCTATCCACCAAGCAATATCGAGGGAGTCACTGGTGAGTCGTAGCTGTGACAAAAGGGGGCACGTGAGGACGTGTCGAGGAGGCGTGTTTTTCTACTGGCCCGCAATGCGATTCCCGTCACACTGACTCCATCACCCCGCCAACATTTCGTGACATGCCGCTTTCCACTGATGAACTGCGATGGACGTGATGCATGCGACAATAACAGTCCTCTTTCCACCGGTTCAGCATGCCAGCCCATCATCCCAAACAGCCGCCGCCTCCTCAACCGACGCGCGTCTTCTTCGACCCGTTCAACTCGTCCTCGACGGGCCACCAACGCGCCGAAAATCGACTGTCGGGATCCACGTCGTGGCGCGATTCTCGGACCTACAAACTCTCACACCAGTTCAGGGACGCGACCGGTCGCGGCGGTCATGAGCATCTCGCCGATCTGGTCGGCGCGGGGAGCGAGAATTTTGGTCAGGATGGGCGCAAGGCCAACGGCGACTGGCGGGAGGGGACGCAGGGGTTGAGGGAGAAAGGACGGCAGGATATCCGAGATTTGATGAGTGGCACGAAGAAACGACCGAGTAGTGGGAAGATATTAATAGTGGAAGACAACACCGAATCTGCAAACTACAAGCGGCTAAAGACAAGCCACGATGGCCCCCAACTCCGCCACCACAAGGATGAGGCAGAACCTCCTTCCCTATCACATCCGCGACAGCAAGACGACCGAGATGACAAGAACACTATTAGCAACACTGCTTCTCTTCCTCTTCCTCTGCCGCCGCCGCAGTCTCAACCGCCCCAAATCTTCCGCAACTTGACCATGTACCTCAACGGGAGTTCCTTCCCCGTCATCTCCGACCACAAGCTCAAACACCTCTTTGCCCAACACGGCGGCAACACCTCCATTTCCCTGGGCCGTCGGACCGTCACGCACGTCATCCTGGGCAGCAATGCCGCTGGCGGCGGCGGCTTGGCGGGCGGCAAGATCCAGAAGGAGGTGGCACTCGTGCGTGGCAAGGGCGTGAAATATGTCACGGCACAGTGGGTGGTGGACAGTGTTGCGAGGGGCGTCAGACAGCCTGAGAGCAGATACGTGCCCCACGGTGTTGGTGCGAGGATCGGAGGGAGCCGCCAGGTGAGTGTGAGGCAGATGTTTCAGAATATCTAAAGCATCGGATGAATTGAGATGGGACGAAGTAAATTGCATGGTTGGTTATGGACACGGGGCTGGCAGGATAGATTACGACTTTTGCATTGAGAGGGCAGGGGGGAGTATTTGCATGGATGGGACACGCCATTGGATGAAAAAGGGGCGACACAGCACCCTCGACGGCTCCGAATACATCTCTCGGGCATGAAACAGAGGTTACGACTGGATAATCACGGACAGACAGGGAACGAGAAGCTTTTGCGGAGTTCTTGAACGTCATGTACTTATATGCTTCAACACCAGGATACAGGCGGACTGTTGGCCTTGACAGAACCCAGAACTCGACCTTGAACGTGGCGGAAAACAGAAACGCCAGATAAAGAAAGGAACGAACGATGACGAACCACTCCTATGGTGAAGCTCCTTTGTTCAGTTGGTGCTCAGATTGGGCCACTCTGTTCCAGAACACGATATCTCATCAGCATGGGATTCGATTCCAACTTCATAGACGAACATCAAAATGGATGGATTGACCAAATTAGAGAAGAAGAAAGAAAACCACTTACCGAACTTTGTCCTCTCACTATTCCGCCGCACAATCCTCACCTCGTCGCCGACCTTGATTTCAGCTGCAGACTTGCCTTCGGGGACTCTTGCGAGAAACCCATACCTCCCAAACACGGGGCTCCATTTCGCACCCGGGTCCACGCGCCGGTCACTCTGCAGCTTCTTGAGGATCTTGCCGGATTCCCCTTGGCCGACCTTGCCCGTGGTGTAGTCGACGTTGAGCGAGTTGCAGCGGGCGCAGTTTTGGGTCAGGATGATTTTGGCGCCGTTGCTTTCGTCCCCGTCGCCGATGAGGATCTCGGCCCAATAGTCCTCCTCAAACTCCTCCTCGGCGCCCTCGACAATGATGTTGGGCCGGAACTTGGAGATGTCCATTTCCTCGGTGTCCGGCAGGCGGCGTTGGGCGTTCTCCCACGACTTGGTCGATATGACCAGGTAAGGGGCCACGTCGGCGAAGGAGATGCCTTCGTCTATGCCCTCGTATAGGTTCTCTTTGTCCATGTCCGATTCACCTCCTGCTCCTCCAGTGATGGCCCGTGCAAGCGAGGTCGCCGTGGACGTTATACTGCCCAACCACGAATTTGCATTCGACTTTGTGGCGTTGGACTCCCGAGTAGTACCGCCGCTGCGCTGCTGTGCGGCGACATTCGGGGGCATGTTGCCCAGCACTTTCCTTTTATTTGCGCCAATGTACAACAACTTGACCTCGTAGCCGAACCGCTCACTGAACCAGCGATTATATTCCTCGCCCATGTCGTACCCGATGCACGGGGAGGAATGCATGGTGACTTCGACCTCGTCGAGACCCGCCGTGTCAGGGCTGAGCGGCACCTGGAGCGGCTCCGGGGTGACTTTCTGGTCGGGATGATCAAAGACGTGGTCTTTGGTATAGGTCACAATGACCTTGGGGTCGGACCCGCTGCCGCCTTCGCCCCCAAAAGCGGTGGTGAACAGACACATCTCGGTGAAGTAGGCGACCGCCATGTTCTTGCCCTGCGCCACGTTGTAGAGCATGAAGCGCCGGTCGTGCGGGAATCCCATGTACGTCGCTGGCATCGAGGAGAGCGAGATGCCGCGGAGGGACTTGATCGGGTAGGTATAGATCTGCCAGGGAGGGAGGAGATGGACATGTCAGTGACAAGCGAGTCGGTGAGGCTGAGTCAAGGGTCGTTGGCATACACCGGGTTGCCTTCTTCCCTCCTCCTCCTTCTCTCTGTCTCACATATACGAGGGGGAATGGATGGATGGATGGATGGATGGGTTGAGGAGGGGACGTTACAGTACCTGTTTAACGCGCAACTTGCTCGGTGCCATTGCGGCTCCTGAATCCGCCTCTGCCATCTCCAAGACTTGTATATATCGTTATTTTTTTGCGAGGCCGGCGAGGAACAATATCCCAAAACCACACTAGACGAGGTTCAATCAATCAACCCCCAACCAGGCTTGAAACCAGCCTCCACAACCGGGTTTCCAAAGCCAATATTAATCAATGGACTTCCGCCTGACTTACTCCCTTCCGCCTACAGGATTGACTTGCTTGCAAACTGTGCGGATTTCAAAGTTCCCTTGTGGTCAGAATATACCGGCCCTGACAATAACTCTTATCTCTCACCCTCTTTACCGCTTTTATTTCCCTCTCGTGCGGCTCGCGCCCTAACACAAGGCGAGATGCGGAGAAGCGCGATCTCGGATTTGTAAGAGACGGGGAGGGGAAGAAGGCCAGGACTCAACGACGAAGAGGCCTTTTCTGTGGTTTCTTGAGAGGATGTGGGTGAGGCAGTCTTGACGGGTGCGGTAATATAAAAGAACAAGAGGGGGGAGGGAATGGGAAGGGATCAGGCAGTGGCTAGGGGACCGATCAGTCCTTCGTCGCTTCAAAGTTGGCCGGACAATCAGACTGAGTGAGGGCTAGGATGGACGAAGAGCGACAATAATATCGGGAAATGGAGATGATTCCCCGGTTCAGGCCCAACCAACAGCCACAACCTCCACCCCGCATCATTCCATGAATTAGGCCGAGACCGAGGCCAAAGCCGCCCTTGATGAGTGCCCAGGTGCCAGGCTCGCCAGGTGGTTATGAGCATCGCGGCATACCAGATTCAAGGGAAAGGTACGAGGTACGGGGTGCTCCGTAAGCCATCGAGCCATCTAGTCTGTCAGACACAGCAGGACTTGCGCTTGACAGCCTCGTCACCTCTTCTGCACGAGGTCGTTGAGGCTGTCGAGGCTGTAGAGTCAGTCGAGATGCAACACCAGGTCCTCTTCTGCCGAAACTCGTACAGAAGCCTAATCACTTGATGTATTGTGTTGAAAAACTGACGTACATCTCTGCCATATACCATGGCTATCCCCCCACCGAATTGATCCTTTCGTCTGTCTGGGTTCAGAGCCAGCCAAAAACGCCGATGTTAAGATCGACTTTTGCCAGCCCCCATCGCTACAGTGGTATCATGTTGAAAAACACTTTTGTCATCAGCCATTTCGTTCAATCAAACCTCCTTGACGCCATCTGCTCAGATCAGGTTGATTGATCGAGCTCAAAGTTCAACCCCTCCCCCAAACCGTTACATGGTCCGTTAATTGCCTTTGGCATATTGAGCGCGGAAGCTCTTCGCTGCGTTGACCATGTTAGTCAACGCAGCCTTGGTCTCTTTCCACTGTCGGGTCTTGAGCCCACAGTCAGGATCGATCCACAGTTGCTCCGGCTTCAAGTATTGCAGCATCTCTGCAATGCGATCGTGAATTTCCTGTTCGGAAGGAACACGAGGAGAATGAATGTCGTAGACACCAGGTCCAATGTGACGTGGGTAAGCCTCATCGACGAACACTTTGAGAAGCTTCGCGTCAGACTTGCTGTTCTCAATCGAAAGAACATCAGCATCCAGTGCTGCAATAGCATAAAAGAAATCCTGGAACTCAGAGTAGCAGAAGTGGCTGTGAATCTGAGTGGCATCCTCAACACCCGCGGTTGAGAGGCGGAATGAATCCACGGCCCACTTCAGGTAGTCGGTTCGTTCCTTGCCTGCGCGGAGCGGAAGACCTTCACGCAGAGCAGGCTCGTCAACCTGAATAACATAGACTCCTGCCTTTTCAAGATCGACAACCTCATCGCGGAGAGACAAAGCCAGTTGTTCCGCTTGGACAGATTGGTGAACATCGTCACGAGGGAACGACCATCTCAAACAGGTGATAGGACCTGTGAGCATTCCCTTCATAGGTTTGCTGGAGATCGAAGCAGCGTATTTGGACTCTTTGACCGTCATAGGGGCAGGTCGAGAAATATCACCGACGACGATAGGAGGTCGGACACACCGGGAGCCGTAAGACTGAACCCATCCATTGGTCGTGAAAGCATAACCCTTCAGTCGCTCGCCAAAGTATTGGACCATGTCGTTGCGTTCGGGCTCACCATGGACATAGACATCGAGACCCAATTCGTCCTGGATCTTGACCACGTCCTGGATCTCCTTCTCGATAAACTTCTCATACTCCTCGGCAGTGATCTCGCCCTTGGTAAACTTGTTGCGTTGAATACGAATTTCCTTGGTTTGAGGGAAAGATCCGATGGTCGTGGTGGGGAAGAGAGGCAGGTGCAGACGCTTCTGCTGTTGGCTAATGCGAACAGGGAATGGCGATTTGCGGTGGTACATTTGGGGGGTAATCTTGCTCTGCCGCTCCTTTACCGCCTGATCATTGGTTCGGCTTGAGGAAGCACGAGCTTGCATCGACTTGGCGTTGGCTTCGAGGGCTTCTCTGACGGAGGCCGGACCATCTGTGACAGCCTTTGCAATGACGGCGAGCTCTTTGGCTTTCTCGCAAGCGAAGCTGAACCAGTCGGCAATCTCTGGGTCCAAGCTCTTCTCACTGGCTAGAGTGTGAGGAGTATGCAGGAGAGAGCTGGAGCTTGCAACGATGACTCTGTCCTTGCCCAGTTTCTGAATGGCGTTCTCAACGAGCTCAATGGCTTTCTTGAGATTGGTCTTCCAGATGTTTCGACCGTCAACAACGCCCGCCGACAGCACCTGCTGGGGCCCCAATGCAGAGGCGACGGTTTCAAACTGCTCTGGGTTGCGTACGAGATCAATGTGGATAGCATAGAGGTTCTTTAGGTAGCCCAGAACATCGACGTTGTGGACGATATCGCCGAAGTAGGTGGCAAGAACTATTTTCGGGGCACTGCTTCCAAGTCCACCGAGCTTCTCATACGCGGGCTTGAAGGCCTCCTTGACGTGCTTAGGCAAATCGAAGACCAAGATGGGTTCGTCGATTTGCACGGTCTCAGCACCTGCATCCTTCAGCTGCTTAAGCAGGTCTTCGTAGAGAGGAAGAAGCTTGTCGAGGGCCGAGATCGGCTCGATACTTTGACCGCGGTCTGCCTTGCCGAGATAGAGGAAGGACACAGGCCCGAGGATGACAGGGCGGGTAATGATACCAGCTTCTTTGGCTTCGCGGAACTCGACCACGGGCTTGGGGTCTGAGGAGAGCTTGAAGGCTTGGTTGTCTTGGAGAGTGGGTTTGACGTAGTGGTAGTTTGAGTCGAACCATTTGACCATTTCCTGTGGTACAGATTAGTCAACGATTGAAGCCCGCCAGTGGATTCACTCACCAGAGAAGGCACATCGACAGCGGGGGAGCTATCGGTGGCAGGCTTCTGGAGACCTCGACCCATGGCAAAGTACTCGTCAAGGGGAGCCAGATTGTACTTTGTGTAACGTTCCGGAACCACACCGAAGAGCTCGATGTGGTCGAGGACCTGGTCGTAGAAGGCGAAGTCATTGCTGGGGATGATGTCGATGCCAGCATCTTTCTGGATTTTCCAGTGTTCCAGTCTCAATCTCTTCCCCTCGGCAAGGAGCTCATCCTGCGAGATCTTGCCAGCCCAGTATGCTTCGGTGGCTTTCTTGAGGTCACGGTTGGCTCCCATGCGCGGGAAACCGAGAATCGAGCTGGGTCCTAATCAGCAGCTGTGTTTGTTGGGTGGTTGCGTTGCTTGCACTTACGATTGAACCATCTTTGCAGGTGCCCGCGGGAACCTTGGACAAGGTGTGAAGGAGGCAGTCCGGACAGCAGCTCCCCAGTACGTCCTCAGGATGGATTGAGAGGCAGAAGAGAGCTATGAAAAGACCAGGACAGGAAGAAAAGACGAAGAAGACGAAAAGACGAGGGCGGTGAGAAAGTGAGAGGGCCGAGTGTGAGTAAAAAAATCAAATGTGTTGCGAGCGAGTGCTTGCAGTGACACAAAGCGGGCACCTTTTTAGTGGCTGGTGGTGGGATGCCACTGATGACTTGTGCCTCAATGTGCTGGGCTGTTGGGCGCCATGGGCACCTTGGCCTCCGAGATTCGCTCGCCCTGCATGACTACGAAAAGTCGCCGCGTGAGTAAGACCAGGATATACTTTTTCACGGAGCAATGCTAGCCTTTCCCCCTGCTGCTGAGTAGTACCTAGGTATTTGTTCCTGGCCATCCGAAGACACCCATGAATCACGCCATCTACAAGTAATTAACCTCCAGAGTAATCATGGTGGCAGTCCGGTCTGTTGGGTTTGCGTGCGCCTGCCCGAGAAAACCCCTGTTGGCTCCTCAATCAGCAGTATATTAATAGAGGTTTTATCATCACAGCCTGATCGGTCCAGGGATTGCTCCCGCGCGTCCTCCAACAGCCCGTTTGCCAAACTTGTCTTCATACCACTGCCGGCCAGTCACTGCGCGCGGTAGCATGGTCACGACTTCGCAAACCACAAACCACAGCGCAGCACTCTCACCACCCCATCCCAGCCCCCATACCCCTCCAAGCAACCAGTAACCCGTCCATTCGAGCCACTCCAGGACGTAATGTGGGTGCAAGATATGCTTGAAGAGTCCCTCAGCTGGCGGGATCACATACACTTTGTCGTAGCTAATCGTCGCTTTGCCCTCGGACTTAGCTTTCCTCTTGGCCGCACCGCGTCGTAGCTCATACAGCGTCGTCTCTGCCCAGATATTGCCCGCCAGTCCTAGGAGGAAGAACAAGACCCCAATGACTGAACTGAAAGAGATGATGGAGCGGCTCTCCGTATTGGCAGTCAGCGTCGAGTACACGAGCCAGCAGGCAATGTTGGTCGAGTTCGTATACTGAAAGACACTCATAAACATCGTAACGAACGGATGGATGGGTGACATGCTCGGGTTCAAATAGAGCGGACTGACAAGGGCGCGGTTGACGTAGTGAAGGAGATACAAGCACGCTAATATCTCGTTCTGAGCAGGCAAGCCGGTGCCTAGGAAGCTCCTCGCGGCCTGTGGCTGGGGTCTGAGTTTTGCTGGCAGAGTGTAAAGAATGTAGAGCAGGTTAAGTGGCCCAACCATTTCCGCCGCCACCCATGCATAGCGACCGGGGAGACTCAGGCGAGACTTGGACGAGGTCTTGCCCATCGCCTGTAGCTTTCTCAGGGGCGTCCATAGCGCCAGCGAGATCTAGAATCATGCGATCCTGTCAGAAGAATCCTCATTTGAGCCTGGCTTGGCCCCGTCTCTACCACAAAGGAAGCAAGAAGAAGACTAGAAACGAGCGTTATAAGCTTACAGGGATGTACAGTCTGAAGATGTTGAGGGACAATTTGGCTGCGCGTGGTGTAGGAGGAAAGAATTCTCCCAGCGAAGGCAATTCTGCCAGATAAGTCGCCATCGTTTGTCCAACCAAGACTAGGAGTGAGAAGGGAGACGAGATCAAGGCTGCATTCGTAGATTAGTTGCTCTTTAGTGTGTCAACGTTGTAAGACCAAATGTTGTGAAGTCATGACAACCTGGAATGCTGTCTGAGAATATGTCGCTGTCGTGTGGCCGTTTGCTCCGCCGAAGGCTGCTTGTGCGCATTATCCTCGTTCAAGGCATTGAAGACACCCAACTTGTGGCTCAGAATACCTTAACAGAGACCTACGAGTCTTACAGTGCATCGTCAGAACCCCTTCAACAGACAAGCGTCGACCATGAGGAAAGCCACTTCAACTTTCGCGAGCGACAACGCTAACTGAGACCCCGCCACCAATTTTGTAGCTGCACACAGTCGGTGCTATCAAAGCAATCTGCTGAGGCTGACCGGCCGACTGGGTGTCCTCTCCTTATTCCTCGAAGTAGACACTCTTCTTGGGGGTCCTCCACCGCAGCTTTGATGCAGTCCATTTTACTGCGGACAAACCTCGAGTGCTCGACTGCCAGGCGATGGCCAGAGTCAGGGGTACAGCGCAGACAACGTAGATCCAAATAGCAGGACTCGCGACTAAATCGTCCGAAGTAACGTGGAAAAACGACATACTGAAGAAAGTCGCCAAAAAGGTTGCCGGAAGAAAAGCTATCGTCACAAAGGAGATGCGCCGCATGACAATTGTGTCAACTCTCGAATCTGTTGCAATCTGATAGTTCAAGCTGTTATTATGCTGAGCCATGAGTGCACTGACAATTTTCCATTGAGTATCGAGGCGGTCAATGAGACCTTGAGCTTGGCTCTTTTGGTGCCACTGCTTGCATGCTTGCTGCACGAAGGCGTCTTTAAGCTGGTCGGGACGGAGGTTGACGTTGTAACCATCCGAGGGGATCGCGCGAACCTCTCTTGACAAGAAGGAGTAGAGTTCGTCGAGGGACTCTGAAGCGCGCACCACATGGGACAGCGCGTCTTTGGTAAGTATCATGTCTTTGCGGAGGGCGAGCTTCTCGCGAGGCAAAGGCTTCAGTTGGGTATGGCCGACGGTGGACCACCCAGTGTCCGACTCAAGCCGCTGTGTGCTGAAGTCTTGCTCCCACACAAATTCTTCGAGGTCTTTCGTCCATGTGGTTGCAAGGGCAAGCAGGGCGGAGAACAGATGCGGCTGCGTTGCTGGCCGGAACTGCGACAAGACACGCTGTCGTTGCGCGTCGAGGGATGTGCCAACGACGACTAAGAGCTTCCTCCTCGAATGGAAGTCATGACGAGCGTAGACAAAGTGCTCTTCGTTCCACCATGGTCGCGGCTTCATCCAGATATGGTAGGCACAAAATGTCTCCCCAAGCAAGTCATTGGGAGTCTTGGTTCGACAAGACATGCCTTTGACATCGGAGCAGAATGATGTATGGGCTCCCCAGCAACCGTTGTTCTCGTGGAGTACCTGGACTGCATCCGGAGGTATCTCGCACGAGGACAAGATCTTGAGCCAGGTTGAATATTTGAGCCCGTACCTGCTTGTGGTGTAGTTCTTGAGACACAGCCGTTTCTGCGAAACAAAGAGGATGCGCGTGCTGCCGTGGGAGAGATCAGACAATCGTAGCCTTTCGTCGAATCGACTGTCCGAAGAAATGAGCACGAAAGAATGTAGTCCGGTCTCTGTCAAATCAACGACCGTGAAGCATTCTGGGCTATCACTCTCCTCAGGATAGAACTCAGCGTCGCGCTTTAGTAAAGAAGTCGCCGCTTCTGCGTTCATGAGCTCGGGGACGAAATATCTGCAGTTGTAAGGCCAGTTCGAGAAATGACCCTCTGAATTGACTCCAAGCGCACCGAGGTCTTCTATAGTGAGGAATCGCTTGGGGGTTTTGATGGTGTGACTCTCAATGGACAGGGAACCGCCCCCCTTCTCGCTCTGATCTCCATCCTTGTTGAATCTGCGTCAACAGTTAATTGCTGCATGATCAAGGTGGCTCCAGTACTGACGGCAAGCAAAGTTCATATTGCTTTTCGACATTAGATGATTCCCAGGCATGATTCGATCCCCGTTCAGAAGATGCGCTGCTCAAGGCGCCTTGCGAACGGTTGTCGGGGGCGGCATGGGTATCTGCAGGCTGGATCGTGGCCTCTCTGGCCTTCTGTCGTGCTACGCGTCTCTTGAGGATGCGATGGAACTGTTTTGGATTCACGTATAGTGGTGAGTCGCCAAGGTTGTCGAGAGGATCGACGCCTGAGTCAGGCTCCTCCATGCTTCAGCTCTGCTGACCGAGCTTGTATATCGAGCAGGGATGGAGGACTGCGAAGATTGATTCAATTAAAATCTTAGGACTAGTAATAAGTCAAAAGGTGTTGTTCGCTAACTTCAATCCACGAAGACGAGGCTGAGAGGGTCTAGGCCCCGCCACCCAGCACAACCCATACCAAGGTACCTAGGTACCAGGTAGGTATTAAGACTAAGGTAGTGTACGAGATGTTGGGTAGAGGATTTTGATTTGTCCATACCATCAGTTTCAGCTTGATGCCGTGGAAAACACCATTGTTTTGTGGGATCATTGCTAGTGTCCATCTCGCTGCAACTTCGATCCCTCGAAATGCCAGAACTCATACAGTCCAGTATGTGATCAAGAATAGCCTACCTACTCCAGAATCAAGAAAAACAACCTCATGTAAGGGGCGCCTGACGCTATTCCAACATGATGGTAACATAGAACATTAACCAGGAGGTAGGGTACTAGCGTCGACGACATCATCAGCCTCCCGCACGTGCTCATCGTTTGGATCATAGAGCGGTGATCGGGGAAGGGCCATCAATCCCGTCCTAGTTGACTCGAGAATGCCAAAGGGCGAGATCAACTTCATGAAGGAGTCGATTCGGCTCGGTTTCGCAGAGCTGCCTTCACGTTAGCACTTTAGATGCAAAAGAATCGACGGGAGACACTGACATTTCCACAATGCAGTTGTTTGTGCTGATGTCCAGGACCTTTCCACCAAATTGGTGAGTCAGATGGGTGATGGCCTCGAGGTGTTCATGCTTATGTCGCAGAGCTTGACTGGCAGCAAGACGGCTGGGATGGTAGCTGGCACCTTGACCCAGCATGTCTTTAGCTCGTTGAACGAGAGATGATTCTTCGGGCCGATTTCCTTCCAACTCCTGCAACCTCTTGTCGGCATTTTCCTCTGCATTTTCTACATCCGCTAGACCTTGATCCGAGTCGGGACTGGTCATCTCGCGATGGTGCTCCATCAATTCCTCGTAAACCTCGGGGCCAAGAATAGAGATCTTGGCCAGTAGCAACTCGCGCTGAACCAGAGCGGCAGTTGTATAGTCCAGCACAGCCCACACAGGGACCAAATCCTCTAATTGTCTTCGAGCTTGTTCGACAACACCATCTTGTCCTTTCAACACGATGGTCATGCGACTCAGGTCTTCTACCTCGGTGTTACACACCACCAGGGAGTCAATGTTAAATCCTCTGGCCGCGAGAATGCCGGACACGCGAGACAAGACACCGGGCTCATTTTGCACGAGGCAGTTCAAGATGTGTTTCTTGGGCGGGGCCTGGGAGGCTACCGGGGTTTCGTAGAGGATGGAGGAGACAGCTGCTGCGGCGCCATATTGGGGAGAGGTGTCTGATACCGGGAGCGGAAGGGGTGACCTCCTGTGAAGAGCCTTATATGCTAGGGCTGAGGTTGAGTTTGTACTTTTGGCTCGTCTCGAAGCGGGGAGGATGGAATCGAGGAACGAGGTGCCAGTTTGCGCTCGGCGAGGATGGTTCGCGGCCCTGCAAGCGAGAGATAGGAGATTGTGCCGGCCTGCCATGATGGCGGCGAGGGAAGGGCGTATCGAGCAGACAAACAGGTACTACCTCATCAAGGTCAAGGGGAATTGAGCTTTGTATCACATGAAGGATGAGTCACAGCAATACAAGGGGACAAGCTCTGCAACAAAAATTTTGGGATCAGCGCAGAGGAGAAGAACTCGCAGACAAGCGATTTCGGAGGTTGCCAAGCTGCACTGGATTGGGGATGCGATTGATGCTGCTTTGTAGTTGTGAGTGGTCGGGCGGATAAACCTGCCAAGTCCGTGTGGGCCTTACAGTTGAAGTATGATGGGATATCACGCTGCCCTGAAGGACCCCAATTCTCTGCTACTAGTACCTTAGATAGGTACCTAATGTACCTACCTCGCTACCTAGGTTGGGATGTTCTCTCCTTCACGACCTCGGCCCCTCTCCGTCCCTTCAAGCTTCTGTTACATCTTCGCAGGAGGAACTAAAGGTTCACCATCCTGCTAAACTAATCCGGCAAAAATGCAGTCAGCTCGTCTATCGAGGTCTTGGCTTCCACCTCCTTCCCAATGCATCATACCACATGGATACAAAGATCTGCCTTTCTATTAGAGCACGTGGGCTGCCGATTCCTCCTTGATTCGTCTGAGCAAGAAGGATTGAAGCTTTCCAAGCTTCTCTTGAGAATCAAGCGAGCTACAAGTCCAACTTCGTCGAACCCATGAAAAATGGGAATGTACCTAGGTAGGTTTATATATACCGTCAGTGCTCGCACAGACTCGGGTAAGATAAGATTTTGGGAACGAGCCAGAAAGTGCCGGGTTTGAATATTACTCGTGGAGAGCTTGTGATCCATCAACATCATGCTCCCAAACGCGTTAACTCTCCTGTACACAATTGGCTTTGCGTCGCTCGCATGTGGCAGCAATTCATCGACCATTTACTTTCCTCAGGCCGCCACGACTTCCGTATCTTCCCCTCAAACAACGCTTCCCTACCACAAGAATGCTTCCAATCCGTACCTGGGACAAGCTCCCCCTCAGGCCGCTTTCCCGCTCTCACCGTCTCCAAGCGGACTCACGTGTGTTGTGACACCTTTGGGCTGGGGTCAGGACGATTCGTCCCAGATTCTTGCTGCTGTTCAAAAATGCGGCACCAATGGGACCATTACACTACCGGCTCCGTACGTCTACACGATCTCAAAACGGATGTACATGAAACTCCAGAATGCGCGCTTGGAGATCTTCGGTACCCTCTCTTTCGCGCCAGACCTGACATACTGGATTGACAATTCCTTCCGCGTTGAGTTTCAGAACCAGTCCACGGGGTGGATTGTTGAAGGTAACAACTTTGAAATCGATGGAGGGGGCTGGATGCAGGGCGGGGTCAATGGCAATGGACAGGCATGGATGACCCACGCCGCCGGACACAGCAACCAGTTTGGCCGACCTATTGTTATTTCAATCTTCAATTCCTCCAATGTGATTGTGACCAACTTCTCCATACGCCAGCCGATGTTCTGGAGTTTCTGGATCCAGGACTCGTACAATGTCGAACTCAGCAAGGTGTATATCAATGGTACCAATACAGATCCATACGGAAATTCCTCCAACTACGAAACGAACATTGATGGCCTCGATTCCCTGCGAGTTGACCATCTTCTGGTAAGAGATTGGCAATTCCACGGCGGAGATGATTGTCTGGCTCCGAAAGGGAACACGACCAACATGGTAATCAACAATATGACTTGCGTTGGAGGTGGGATTGCGTTTGGGTCAATCGGCCAGTATGTTGACTCACCGGACTACATTTTCAATGTGACAGCCACAAACATCTCAGTCTCACAAGATATCAATCCACGGACTGGAGGGGCTGCAGTAGGGGGCGGAGCTTACTTCAAATCGTGGGTAGGCAAAGCAGAGGGTCAACCTCCACAAGGTGGCGGCGGCGGCACGGGGAGAGTTTCCAATGTGACTTTCATGGGACTAACGACTCACAACACAAGCCAAGCTGTCTACATCAACAAATGCTACTTCAAGGTGCCTGATCAGGCCCATTACTGCGATACCAGCACTCTCGAGTTCGAGAATCTACTGTTCTCCGACGTGTCTGGAACCGTTAGCAGTAAGGTCGGAGTCGCCTTGAACTGTTCAGCAGCAGCACCTTGCACGAACATCGATTTCAAGGATGTGCACTTGGTGGATTCAGCCACCAATAAGACTGCCAATTTGACTTGCGTGAATGCAAAGAATGTCACCGGGTTAAGTTGCAACGCTACATTGGCAACATAAGTGAGAATTGGGAACGCTAGATGGGACTTCAGTTGAGAAGACAATCTGTACATATGTATATATGTTACCGTAAGACTTACCAGGTCAGAGTGCTAATCTAGAGATAGGCCTATAGTCCCAATGAGCAAGCTACTTTGGATAGAGCTCATTACGCAACTTGGCTGGATGAATAATATTACACCATACTGGGTGATGATTATAGTCGAGACATTGTCTACCAGCTCTGAATCGCCGGCACAAACTTGAAGTCAAGAACAAGCACTCGGTTCTCCGAACAGACGAGGCTGAACTTCAGCCTTGTGTATTGTCTCGGCAAAGTTCCCACAACATCGTCTACAAAGCTTGGGAGCACATCCAATACTGACAGCTGCGCACAAACAGTAAATCTGTCTATCCCGCATGTCCACCGAGTCTAGAGCTTGTTGAACAGGGAAGGAAACTCTCGACGCGCTACTTGCCCGACTTTTTCTGGCGCCACCATTCAAGAGAAAAGCAAGACACCCCCGCACCCAAAATGCCTACCAGCCGATCATGCAGCAATGTCAAAAGGAGTACATAGTCGGCTGCAATGCTGGTCCCGGCGCCAGTTTCCGGATCCTTCTGCCATTCTTTATTGAAGCGCTGAAGCTCTCATGAACAAAAAAGGACACAAGGTTGGACGCCAGAAGTGAATGTTGGGGTAATCTCTTTTCAGTACGAGGTACCTCGTACGGCCCAGCACATACGGAGTAATTAGTCGGTACTGTGGAGGTGGCCCATCGTGGCACGCCGCTATGAATCTGGGCACCATTGCCACTGTCGCTAGCCATACCTAGGGAACAGTCAACGCGTCTTGGTATTGATCTCGCTTCGATCCAACACATCAGTCAATTCCATGAGGAGTCAGCCTACCAGTAGGACTATCGAGCGATCGGCATGAATTTCTTCAACATTGGTCAAACCAGCAATCTACGAGAACGGTCACTCGGAACTCGGGAAGCCGCCGTTTGCTCAATAAATTCTTTTTTGAACCGGCGTCGAACCACTCCCTGGCTACTCATACAACGCTCGAGCCAACCGGAAGCGAGTCATTGAAATTGAGACTGGATCCTCCGCGGGGCCTCTAGAAGGTTTACCCGCCCAGCACCTCCTGCTTCGGAATGCCTCATCTTTCGTCAGATGCGGGCTGAAATGAGGCTGAGAGGAAAGTTGGGCGGCGAGGAACGCCATATACCCCCATGTCGAGAGTCTCGGCCTTTCAGCGCTTCTTATGGGGGTCGAGCTCATTTTAGCATTCATCATTTAGCCTTTTCTTGGACTTTCTTGGTTGTCCTGTTTCCGCCAGCTGCGGACCATCCGCCAACGGCCAACGGCCACGCGTTGCTCCCCTGAAATGCAACGAGTGGCCCGGAGATCAGTTCTGGGGGTAGCGCCTTGCTTCCTTTGACCCAGCGGAGCGTTCCGGGTCGACTTGGCTGTCAGATATAGCTTGGCGCCCAGGTTGCCGTTGCATGCCTTCACGATCTTTGCTATAGCTTGCTGTGCTTGTCATGCATTGCCATTGCTGATCTTATCTCATCAGCCGGAAACTTCTTTGTCGTATCCCTCCGTCAACGCTGGCTTTGGAGATCCCAAGACGCCGTGTCGGACTTGGGGAGAGTGCTGTGCAGCACGCCTCGCTCGCATGCAACAGCTGAGTCGCCATTGGCGTCGCCTTTCACCAGAAGGGTTGTATATTTAGCAAGCGCGGCGTCGAATCCAGTATCTTGCCAGGCGTTTCAGCAAAGACGAAGCATTACGCTGCTGGAACCAGCAAGTACTTGGCACTTCCGTGTGCCTTCCCGGAGTACGAGGTAGGCTGGTGAAAAGACGGGCTCTCGATATCCTCGCGCCCGTGCCCGCGTCGACGCTGGCGTTGATGGCCACATAAAGAGAATCCTTTTCCCCATATCAAGCAACTCGTCAGACCTTCACACTCCCTCACGTCCCTACCTTCTTTCCTTTATCAGTGCCTACCACTGTCTTCCATTTCGTTTCACTAATTTCGCAATACTGATTATATGGAGTAGTTATTTTAGCATGTTGTCGTCGGCTATGATTTTTTCCATTCTCTTCTTTTCTACTCTCATTTCGACAGCCTGGAGCTGCCCAAAGCATGATAATTACCAATCTCATCCTCATCTTGGCAGAAGACAAGTCCGAGTCGACAAAGGCCGAGTACCAAAGGACTGGAACTACGCTCTTTCTGCAGATTGGGCTACCCTCAAACCTGGTAACCTTGACGTTATCCCTCCCCCTTTTCCAGCCCTACTGACACCTCTGCAGAATACGCCCTATGTCAATCTGGCACTCATCAATCGCCTATCAACATTGCTCAGCCGGAACTATCTCAACATCACAAACCTACCTTTGACGGGTACACAGAGAATGTCACTATTCCAGGTAACTTCTTCAACTGGGAGTTCGCACCAGCCTGGACACCTCATCATCCGGAGGGAGTGGTCACCGGACTCCCCAGCATGAAGTTTGACGGCCAGGAGGTCTACATGATCGGGTGGCACATCCACGCCCCATCCGAACACCTCATCGCCGGCAAGCGCAGCCGCGCGGAAATCCATCTCGTTCACGTTACCGAGGAGGAGCACGAAGCCGCCGTCATTGGCATTCGGGTAGCAGTGGGTGACAAAGAATCCGCATTCATCAAGCAACTGGGCCCAATGATCCACTACAACGACACAGCGCAGCTTGAAGGTTTACCCGTCAACATGCGTCTCGCTATCGATGAGGTCGGCGGCGTCGAGGAATTCTGGACCTACAAGGGCAGCTTAACCACGCCACCTTGTAGCGAGGGGTTGCGATGGTTCCTACCCAAGCAGGAGATGATCGTCAGTGAGCAGCAGATGGTTGAGATCCTGGCTGCTAGTCGGTTCTCCCACCGAGTCGAGCAACAGGTTTGGCTTCACGACGTCAATCTGTGAATGCGAAACCTGTGGCAGTGTGTACAGGTTCCTAGATATCCGGCAAGAGTGTACCGCCTGGCTTGTTCGAAGAAAAACTTTCTGGGAGAGTGAGTTCTGCATTGATAGCACAGAGCGTGGAGTTTTGGTTATAGTCCATGTTTGCCATTACGCTTTTTGGAGACAAGACTTACTGCTATGTTCACAGTCGCTACCGCGGATTGCATGCTCTTTTAGAAGATATACCCGAACCATTCTGGTCTCAATGTGGGAGGAATATTACCTTTTCCTGCCATTGCTCTAGTTTAAGCTCCATGTGCTTGGAACCATGTAGTCATTCACACCTCATTACCACCACCGAGACCACAACAGAGTCGTCGTAGGTGTCTCTCATCAAACTGCGACACAGCCTTGCACATCACATGCTCAGCCTGATGGCAGCTGGTATGACGGAAATCTCTCCTTGATTGGCCAGCCTTGCTCCCCACGGTCACAGCTCGATGACGCGCATGAGCGACTCGGACATCGGATACGTGACACGCCGATTGTCAATGTGTTCTCGGTGTCTACCTAGTAAACTCGACGTGAAACTTGAAATATACAAAGACAGTCGGCAGCTAGAGTTTCCAAGCATCGCGAGTGCTTAGCAATCCCGAGCAATAGACCCTCCGACTCTCCGACATCCTAACAGCGCTTCAGGGAGTCTGATACCTGCTTGTTCTCTCTCTTTCTGTGCAAGAAACCTCGGTCTTCTTGATCCACGACTACCTAGTACATAGCTAGGTACCTACTATATACCTAGGTACCTACCTGGCAGGTACAAGGAACCAAATGAAGGCCGCTCTGGATCAGGCCTTTGCAAGGGTACGCCATCGTCCCGCTCCTCTGCCTCTGCGTCTACAAGCCTGTCGTGCACCTCCGATTCCCTACATCCACCCTTTTCGTGTTCCGCGGAGACATATGGTACATGTACTAAACCGCCGCCCTCGTCCCTCTTCTGCGACACAGGTACTCCAGCTGCAGTCCGCGTTCCAAGGCTTCATCTCGCCCTTATTCTACTCAAGCAATGCGACCTCCGTTGCGCAGACGATAACAACACCACAAATCTCCATGGAACACCAACAAGACATCGCCTGCGTGCTCGACTACTGGTTCCCGCCGCCCTCGGCCGACAGCAATCCGACCACGAAGTGGTTCGCGCCACCCAACCCAGAGGTCGTTGACGCGGAGATCCGGACCCAGTTCGCGTCGCTCGTCGAGCAGGCCCGCAACGACTCGCTGGACTCGTGGGGCTCGACTCCCCTCGGCTCGCTCGCCCTGATCGTCCTCCTCGACCAATTCCCCAGAAACATCTACCGCGGCTCGGGCCTGGCGTACGCCTCGGACTCCAAGGCCGTGGACCTGGCCGTGGCCTCGGTGGCCAGGGAGTTCGACCGCTCGACCGCCGACCTGACGCCGCTCATGGCCATGTTCTTCTACCTGCCGCTGATGCACGCCGAGAGCCTGGTGCACCAGGTGGCGGGCATCTCGTTATTCGAAGGCCTCGCCGCGAGGTGCACGGCTGGCTTCTGGGCATCGTCGCCTTCGCCTCGTGCGGCCGTCGAGGCCGACGAGGCGGCCAAGTTCGTGCAGTTTTCCTGCGACTTTGCAAAGGCCCATCGCGACGTCATTCTGCGCTTCGGCAGGTTTCCCAGTCGGAACGAGGCGTTGGGGAGGCAGAGCACCCCCGAGGAGGTCGAGTTCTTGAGCCAGAACCCCGCCGGGTTCGTGGTCTCCAAGCGATAGCCCAACTCAAAGTGAGAGTGGCATCAATGTGTCAGCATGGGGCGTGGTTTTATTGGGGGTTTCTTTCTTTCTCTCCCGCCGAGCAAGCAAATGAGACACTGCTTGCTGAAGGGGCATAGAAGTATCTTGTCCTTTTGATTCAACGCCTGCCGATCACTCACTCGCTTCGACTTCGAAGGAATCGAGAAGTGCCCCACAAGCACAAATTAGAGCGAGGAGTCAATGTGTGCTTGAAAATGTGGATCTGAGAATGGAGAATATGCTCCAGTCATTATATACATGTGCACCATTATCAATTATTTGGCTGACGACAATTCTGCCATGGCTTGGGCATCCGTCCAGGCTGTCTGTGAAATTTTCTCTCTCATCTCTTCAAACATCTTTTCGTCTCGACACCGGAATGTCAAACCGAAGCCCCAATCTTGTTCTTGGGCAAAATAGCAAATACAGTCCCCAACACCGCCAGGCAGATGCAAACCACCAACAAAACCCAGTCAAGAATCTTCTCCGCCAACCCAATCTCCTTGCCTTCGGAGCTGAAAATCACTAGATAAAAGCTGACGGGCAGGATGATGCAAATTGTAAAACACAAAGCCGAACCCATGAGGGCCATAATGCTGTCAAAGTCCGGAAATCCAATAGCGATGCCGAGTTGGACCACATTCGCCAATACACCGATGAGGCCTCGTGCAGTACGGTGTTTGAGCGATCGTTCACTGTATGCGCGCGCCTTGGCATCCATCTGGCGAAGGTCAATGTAGAATTTTTTGTTGAGTGTGTCCATCACAGGCCGGTTTGAAAGCGGGATCTTGGTAATAGGGATGATGGCGATGAGAACGACAATGATCACAGATAGGACGTGAGGGTAGGCGGTCGAACGGAGGATATTAGAGGTCACTTCGTCGCGTACCTTGTCGCCGAACATGAGGTATCCTAGCACAGCCATAGTCAGGTCAAGGCCGTAGGTGAAGAAGTAGGTGTACTTCAAAGCGCGCCCGTATTTGTGTGGATGTCGCATGTCCTTGTATATGGCCGGGAAGACGCTATGGCCACCCCATGGAGCCATGAATAGACCCAGGCTGAGCGGAACGGTTCTCCAATCTTCGGGAAATGCCCAAGTCTTAGCCACTTCCCTCAAAGAGCCAGGACTTCGAGGCTTGATAAGGCCATCTGCAAAGACAATAATGATGATGCCAAGACAGCAGAAGATGCCAATGACACTGGTGAAACTCAAGGTCTTGAAAGGAACAAAATTCAATGGAATCAGGCCCAGAGAAATAATGACCTTCCACTCAACCACGGAAACACCGGGTATCAGAGAGTTCATGCTGTCGGCGAACAGAATGATCAATGCGACATTTGCAGCCGTCAGCTCTAGGATGAACAAGGCTTCAACAAAGTGTCTGCCCCAAGTATCAAATGCCAAGTAAGCGATGTCTCCGTACGTTGTTGAACCGGTGTTTGAATCCAGACATTTTGCCAATAATCTAGCCGTGTACGAGGTGCCGATGGCGGCGAGAGTCAAGAAAGCGAGACCCATGACCCATCCAGAGTATCTGATACCCAGTGGCAGGGCGAGGATGCCAACTCCAATCAACACATTCGTAGAGTTGAAGACAGTCATAGGAACGGTTGACTCGCCGACTATTCGCTCCATGACCTCTCCATCAGGGAGAATCTCCCGTTCAACATGTCGGTGAGGTTGAGGTTCTTCCTTTAAGGTCTCTGAGTCCTGCCGTGCTCGCCTGCTGGCTTCCTCCTGTTCCATAATAAGGATTGATGCGCGTTGCCGAGCAGTTGCCGTCAACTTGGAGGAGATACTTCCATAGCTTGTGCCCAACTCGTGCGGTAGCAGTGAGCCTGGAACGAGAGAGCCAGTCGTGGATTTGAAAGTTTGGCGACTTTCAACAGGCAAGAGCGCTGACTCTTCTGTCGGCTCTTGATTATCTGGAGCTCGTTCATCCTGCAGGGCGGAATCATTTTCGGCTCCAAAATCATAGTCTTGAAGCTGTTGTCTCAGGAGGGACCTGTTGGGGGCTGCTGTGCTCTGTTCAGCACTGGCTGGAGCTGCCTCTTGATCGGTTTCTGAGAAGCTGACCGAGTTCCTCCGCACCGGTGTGATCTCACGAAATCCCGCAGCTCTTTGAAACGACTTTGCAAAGTTGTCGATACTATTGGGTCCACCCATCTGCATCAAATGGTCAATTCTCTTGGTAAAAGAAGATCTCCGCCGTAAACTTCCGTGCTCTTGACCTTCCCCATGTAATGGAGGGATATGATGTGTTGCTGGGGTGGAGGAGGAGAGGATGTTCTGCTGCTCGTCTTCGGGTACGGACTCGAGGGAACCAAAGGAGGATGCCCGACCACGCTCATAGGCATCCCAACTTGTGGGAGCCTGTCTGGCTTTGGCGCTCATGGCGAGTAAAGAGCAGAGGGCGGATTCAGAGGTAGCAAGGATGACGTTAGGGGTCTTGTATCACAATCTGTCAGGTCAAAGCATGTCTCGCGGAGATCTTTAGATACACAGTAAACAGACAAGCAATCCGCAACACAAGACCTCCCAGGCTCAAACTGACAGACAGTAGTACACGCAATTCTTCAGGTAAAGGAACGTTGGACCGAAAGGAAAGGAAATTTTTCCATGGGATACTGGAGGGATAGGAAATCTACTGCAAATCATGAGCTAGTGGTAGATCTTGGAAACATTCATTAGGTAGGTGTGTTAACCGACGATAACCAGTGGCGGCGAAACCCAAGGAAGCCGTTGTTGATAGCAAGTGGGCAAAGTGGAGTGAAAGCGCAGGTTGGTGGCGGCGGGGGGATTTTTCTGCCTGATAAAGGTGAACGGGTGTCGCACGTGACTCGGGTTCGCCTGGGCATGACTCGCAGCGCCTGGAAGAATTCACCGAACGAAACACTTGCAGCCCAACGGGGGCCCCTTAACCCAAAGCAGCGGTGGGCAGCAGCACCACAGTGCTTAACGCCTATTACTGCCAGCGCAGCACCGCCTAGCCAGTCCACCACCCACTCCCACTCTAACAGTCCAAGTAGTGACTTATTTCGACGCCACTTTTGTTTTCTCAGTCGACATAGACTGTGATATTTAAACATTGCTTCGCCTTTTCCTCCCGTTCTCTTACCCCGTACAGTTCTGCACTCTCTCGCATCACCAGGCAGGCCGTTTCTGCTCGGCCTCCGCCCGCAAAAATGAGCGCACCTCAACCCAACGAGGCGGAAAAGAACATCGAGATCTGGAAGGTCAAGAAACTCATCAAACGCCTTGAGGCGGCCAGAGGCAATGGCACCTCCATGATCTCCCTCATTATCCGTAAGTTACACTTCTCATGACAGTGCATCTTCTGGCTGAGTGCTAACTCGCCCACAGCACCAAAGGACCAAGTCTCTCGCGCTGCGAAAATGTTGGCTGAAGAATTCGGTACTGCCTCCAACATCAAGTCGCGAGTCAACCGTCTCTCCGTCCTTTCCGCTATTACTTCCACCCAGCAGCGCCTGAAGCTGTACAACAAGGTTCCCCCGAATGGTTTGGTGGTGTACTGCGGTGAAATCATCACCTCGGAGGGAAAAGAAAGAAAGATCAACATAGATTTTGAGCCCTTCAAGCCCATCAATACTTCTCTCTACCTCTGCGACAACAAATTTCACACCGAGGCACTGAGCGAACTTCTTGAGTCTGACCAGAAATTTGGCTTCATCGTCATGGACGGCAACGGCGCTCTCTTTGGGACTTTGAGTGGGAACACCAGAGAAGTCATTCATAAATTTTCCGTCGATCTTCCCAAGAAGCACGGTCGAGGTGGTCAATCTGCCCTACGTTTCGCCCGTCTCAGAGAAGAAAAGCGTCATAACTATGTGCGAAAGGTAGCAGAATTGGCTGTTCAGAACTTCATCACAAATGACAAGGTCAACGTTGCCGGCCTCGTCCTTGCCGGTTCCGCAGATTTCAAAAACGACTTGAACCAGTCCGACATGTTTGACGGTCGTCTTCAAGCCAAAGTCATCAAGGTGGTCGACGTCTCTTATGGTGGTGAAAACGGCTTCAACCAAGCCATCGATCTTGCATCTGAGACCCTTGGTAATGTCAAGTTCATTCAAGAGAAGAAACTGATCGGCAAATACTTCGAGGAGATCAGTCAAGACAGCGGTCGCGTCTGTTACGGTGTAGAAGATACCTTGAAAGCTCTGGAACTTGGTGCTGCTGAAACACTGATTGTTTACGAAAACTTGGATGTCACTCGCTGGGTTCTGAAGGCCTCGGACGGCTCGGAGAGGATTTTGCATACCACCAAGGCCCAAGAGGCCAATCGCGAACAATTCATGGACAAGGATACCGGCCAAGAAATGGAAGTTGTCGACCAAAGTTCGTTCCTTGAATGGCTTGCCGAGAAATACAAGGATTTTGGTGCCACCCTGGAATTCGTTTCGGACCGGTCTAGCGAAGGGAATCAATTCGTGAAAGGGTTTGGTGGTATTGGTGCCATTTTGCGCTACAAGGTCAACTTTGAACAGTTGGTTGATGCTGACGACGAAGACGAATTCTATGATGATTGACAATTCGACGACCTCGCAGGAGAGCGCGAGGAGCATACATCTCCAGGCTTAGTCCAACAACAACAACCCAAGTTTGTTGACGGTAGCTTGACGGCGGCTCCGCGCTCTCCTGGGCGTCTTCGTGAGGCGTCCGAGTCCCACCAGCAGCAGCAGCAAAAGGGGACGTATGGGAAAAGTGCCAACATCAATGGCAAGCAACAATCTACACACCTCAACAGGTTGGGCGCCAAAGATAGTGCCTTTAACCTCGCTGAGCGAGCGATGAAACCGCCAGCAAGGCAAACCCTTGACCTACTCCACGGTAAGCTAACTTCTGACATTCACTCGAGGACTTCGTGACACCTTTCTGACCTTGAACCGATGATAGGACGTTCCAGCCTTCGGAACATGGTCATGGTCTGAAATGACCACGGCATTCAGACCCAACACTCACCACCGTCTTCTCGAACCTCATGCATCCCGGTCAAAAGCCCGACTGAGTTGCAGACGCACAAGGGATCGGATCTGATGTAAGCCCGAAATGACATTCAACGTTTCAGACAGCCGCGTACACCGACAAACGAATCCGCATTCTGCTTCACTTTCCCAGAAAGGAGTGTGGAGACGGACCAGAGATGCAAGAGGCTCTTGAATCAGCTTCTGATGACAAAACTCCAATGCTTTACAATACTGAATCCTTATTCGACTGAGCTGGTCATTCTTTGCACGTCAAGCTCGACTCTTGTTTAGTCCTTACCTGAAGTTCGCTCTCAGGCTTCACTTTCGCTGTTTCAGAGGTCAGCAAGTCGCCTGTATTCCTTGAATGGAAAGAGGCCCAATATCCATGAGGCTGGAGGCATCTTAACAGCAAATAGCAGTCCTGGGCAACACAGACTTTGTTCCTTGCAAGCAGATTTTAGATAGTCACTCCTTCCTCAAGACCTGCTCCTCAGGTCTTGAATGCGATTCTCTTCGGCCTGATTGATGTGCTCCATCACCATCACCCTTCTGGTTCATCTTCTTGCTGGTCCCTAGGCAATCGATCCACAAATCTCCCAAGATATCTCAAAGTCTCAGTGAACTTGCCTAGCTCTTCGAGCATCTTGATAAGATTGGTTTTGCCTCTGCCGTCCTCGTCTCCAACCTGTACGTCGTCCCTAGCCCTACGGACGTGCGCAACTGCACGGTTAAGTTGACTTGAGGTGGCCTCCTCACACTCCACAAAGAACACATACTGCCAGTTCCGCGTCCTGCTGGGCCGGGTGTCAATGCTCGTCAGATTAAACCCGTAGTGTTTAAAGACCGCCAATGCATCGGCCAGGCTGCCTGGTTGAGAATGTGGGATAGTGAAAGAGATAAAGGATTTATATCTTAAATCGGTAACATCGTTACTGTGCAGAAATAAGGAGGCTTGAAATTCTTCGGACTGTCTCTGGTCCTTCCGTTTTCGCACGACAAGGAATCTCGTCGTGTTGAACCCTGGCTCGTCCTCGATATTCTCCGCCAGGCAGAGGAGCTTATGCTTTTCTCCAGCGAGCTTTGGACTGATGGATGCACTGATCCCCTCGACCGTGTTGGGCTTGCCGCTCTGGGTCTGGGCTTGGGACTCGCGAGCAACCAGCTGAGCAGCAGCAGAGGTACTTCCCACGTCAATTCGCTCCACGACGTTGGGGGGGAAATATTTGGAAAGATAACGGTTACACTGACCCCAGACTTGTGGATGAGTGTACAGTGTGCGAACCGAGTGGAGCAATCCCTCCTTGAGCTCGTCTAATTGTTCCGAGGGCTGAGAGGAAGTTGGAAATGGTTCTGAAGGAGGCGAGACGAACAAGCAGTGGTGTACAGGAAGATAATATTCCGCACAGACTTCCAAGTCAGGGTAGAGAGTTGGGGAGTGACCGCACCGGGCCAGCAAGTCAAAGACCTGGACGACAGACCCGTTGGTGCTGTTTTCTATAGGGACGACCGCAAAATCATAGCGTGCAGTTTGTTCAGAGTCCTCCGTGGATTGAATTGCCGAGAATATGGCCGAGAAGGAAGGGAGTGGGTGTAAAGAGACGGCATGGCCAGACGATGGTGAGGTTTGAAAGACTTCAATGGCTGCTTGGTGGGAGAATGAGGCTTCGGGGCCAAGGTAGGCGATATTCAGGGGCGTGGTGTGGTCGCTCTTCGCCATGGCGAGACTCTGAGGTTCTCCTTTGGTCGCCTTGCCGGTTGAGTTTCAGTGGTGAGGCGGTTGAAGTAAATTTAGTTGGATGTGATTTTGCATTTATTCGTCCGGCACCGGGCAGCCCAATATTGTATTTGGCGGGTAAAAGTCCCACCGTACTGATGTATGTACTTGTACGCCCGAGTACGGTGAACTACGCGATCTCGATATGACGCTGCCACAGCATCTCACTTCAACAATTACAACGACTTCTGCAACGACTTCTGACCTTCTCAGCGTCTCCGTCATACCCAGAATCTAATGCATTTGCCCGCTGGCATGGCAGACCAAAGGGAGCCCGGTCCCAATATGGATTTTGTTTGATGTAATAGCCTCAGGACAAGGCAGACTATCCCAGTACCGTCAAAACAACATGCCTCTATCTGAAAGGTGGGACCTGGCGTGCGCATCTGGGCTCTTGTGCCAGAGACCGCCGGAACCAGACACTGCAAGAAGAATGCAAGACCCGTCAACAATGTCCCGAGAGCTCTTGCTTAACCTATGTGCAATTGCCGCCTTCTCTTGCTGTTCGCTCTGTACGAGATTAGTTTGTCCTCCTTTCCTTGACGCATTGCTTCGACTGCGAGCAACATCAATATTATGCCTCATAAATCAGTTAGAAGAACTCTAGGTTTTACCCCACACGACCTTTACAGGGAATACTGGCACCCCGATCGCGACAACATTTTCCGCGAGAAATGCAAAGTCCTCTGCAGGGAGCAGAAAATTCTGATATGTGAGCTTCTGGACAGCGCCCCGTCCTCGTCCGCTCGAAACGCATCTACCTCGTCATCCACCTCTCCTCCCAAATGGCTCTCTTTCTCCACCATACGGCGCTTGTTCAAGGAGAGGACACGTACCTGCAGTGTCCAGACCGCATCCTCTAAAGGACACCAACAACCTAACGAGGACCAACGGTACAAGATTATCGGCAAAATCCACCCGGATGACAAGTCTACTGGCGTCTTCAAAGGCGTGCCCGCAGCTCTAATGGCTCTCGAGTCTCCAGCTCAATGTCCCCCCGGACTAATCCTTGACGTGCGAAACTATCTCGCAGAGCGTCCGCACGGGAAAGAATGGAGGATCAGGGGAGCCTTGCCAAAGTCTGGACAAGCGCCTTCAATCACCACCAGAACTGACAGAGGTCAGCCATTGCATTCTCGAGAGGCCGCAACCGCCAAGGACTCATTGCCTCAGATTGCCGACTCATCTGATGCCCGTGATCAGCGCCGCTTCGTTCTCCTTGAGCACCGCGTCAGATGTAATTGCGAGGAATCGTTTCACCCTCGTCACCGTCTTCGGATCTTTTACAAGCCAGGGTATACGCCTGACCCACAAAAGATTGCCGAGGCGAAAAAGAGGGCTGAGAGGAATCGCGATGTCGATTGGGTGGTGACTTCTGCTGCCACAAACGCCGCCGTTTGCAGTGCAGCAGTTGCCGTGTGTGCAGCAGGTTGTTGAGTGTCACGGAATATCTGCATCGACTGTCCCTACGATGGATGAGCAAGTGCAGGCCGCCGGCTCTGTTGAAGGCCTCGGAGTGGACACTAGGGAACCGGGGAAGAAAGGGGATGTGTGCGAGCCAGGTAGTTGCCACATAAACAGCCTCGACGGAGTGGCTAGACTCTGACTTCGTCTCTCTCCGCCTCGTGATAGGTGGCCCTTGACTCTATTATCCTATTCCTACCACCCCGTCCAGTCCATGACCAATTGCTCTGCCTTTCCTTCAATAACACTCGCTCAAACGAGTGTTCACCGACTACAAATACAACACAGCATCAGGCTGCTAGATCGCCGAGGCGGCTCGGGCCAGCCTTAATCTGCCGTTGCCCTGACACAAACGCTTCTGTATCAGAACGGAGCAGTCTCCCTCTTCAACCACCGTGTGGTTCTCTCGTCCTTCTCGAAAAACCCACTGGTCTTCTCCCACACTTCCTGATGGTACTCATTCAGCCACACCTTCTCCTCGGGGTCCAGAAGACAGGGATCGATCAACTTCCGACACATGGGCACCATAGTCACATGCTCGAACCCAATCCAAGGCTTATCTCCAAACTTGTGATTCGTCTTGGCCTCGCGAGCCATGATCATGTTCTCGATCCGGATCCCGAAGTTGCCATCTTCATAGTAGCCAGGTTCGTCGGAGATGACGTTGCCGATGCTCAGAGAGACCTCCGTGTACGCGGCGCGGGTGCCGATGCCGATGGGCCCTTCGTGGACGTTGAGGTAGGAACCAACACCGTGACCAGTGCCGTGGCGGTAGTCGAGTCCCTCGCGCCAGAGATGCTGGCGAGCGAATGCGTCGATGGCGAATCCTGTTGTGCCTTTGGGAAAGACCGCGCGGTCCAGAGCGATGACCCCTTTGAGCACCAAGGTATACGCCTTGATCTCCATGTCTTTGGGGGTCCCGAAATGTAACGTCCTCGTAGTGTCGGTGGTCCCGTCGAGATACTGAGCCCCGGAATCACACAGATAGACGGCATTTGCATCGATTTGAGAACAATTTCCCCTCTCGGGCGAGTAGTGAATCACGGCGGCGTTTGGCCCTGTAGCTGAAATAGTGTCAAAGGACAACCCGACAAAATGCTCACCCCTTGATCTGATTGCCTCGAGTTTTTCTGCTGCCTGGACTTCATCGATCCATGATCCACTGTGTAGCTCTTCTTCCAGCCAGGCAAAATATTCAATCAGCGCCGCACCGTCGCGGATGTGACATTGTCGCATTCCCTCGAGTTCGGTGGGGTTCTTGATAGCCTTCGCATCGGCGATAGGGCTTCGAGACTCTTCGACTTTGTCTTCGCCACCCAGACCAAGGTAGAGCGCCCAGGACGATGTGCTCGACAGCAAAAGTCTATTAGAATGGGATTTAGCGACTCCGTTAGCGACTCCATTAGCTTGAACCTCATTTGCTGCTGTTTCGGCGATGCTCGTAAGATCACCAAAGAGGTCATTATAAGGTTTGATTTCGACTGTGCCTTCGAGGTGTTCTCTCACTTCCGTCCCTATCTTGGCCGAGTCGATATACAGCGTAGCCGAGTTTGGAGTGACCGCTGCGTAGGAGTAGAACACAGGGTTGTACGGAATGTCACTGCCACGGAGGTTGAAAAGCCAGGCGACCTCGTCAAGCATCGATACAACCATCCCCACAGCCTTCTTCTTCTTCAACTCTTTGCGAAGGTCATCAAGTTTCTGTTGATAGGGTTTTCCGGCATACTTGTCAGAGAGGACAATAACCTTCTCTGCCGGCCTTGGTGGCCGGTCATCCCAGATCTTATCAACCAGGTTCTCCGAAACTCCAACCAGTGTTGCATGTGACTTCTTTTTCAGCGTTTCACTGAGTTTGCGAGCATTGGTGGCTGTAATCACGGTGGGATCGACGCCGACAGTTTTGCCGCCCTCTGCCTGCTCTGTAGTCCTAATCTCAGCTCAGTCTTGCACATGGCCAACGCACATGGTGTTCGCACCATTCCTGCCACGTAGGGACATCTTCCATGCCCTGTTTCAGCAACAACCAGTTGTCATCCAGCTGCTTAGAGGCTTGATTGAAGTAGCGGCCATCGGTCGATAGAGCTGCCTTATCGAGCGTAATGACAGCCGTGCCAGCGGAGCCAGTGAAGCCAGAGATATAGGCTCTCCTCGCATCGCAAGGTGCAATGTATTCTGACTGGTGACTGTCCTCCGAGGGTACAATGTAGACGTCGAGTTTATGCTCCCGCATCAGATCGCGCAGCCGCGATAGACGCTTTGTGGTGTCCACCTTTTCCATATCGACGCTTCGTAGCGATCGTGAGAAAGAGAATGACCGGATAGATCGAGAGGGGGAGAGCGTGGCTGGGGGCGTTTGCGAGTGAGGCGACGTGAGACGCAGCAAAGACGGGAGACGAAGAAATGACCAACGCATCGAAAACGAGGCACTACGAAGAAAGGAACATACAAACGCAGCTGTCTCGAAGCCAGCCCATGTGCCGGACCTGCAATGGCTCTCCGTATCGTTCGTGGCACGCATTGACTACCACCTAGTACGGCCCAACTGGGCAAGCGTGCCGAATTTGTCATTTGCCGACGAGGCTGCAGCCTCGTGATGGGTTTGTACCTCGACCCTCCTCGCCTCTTGTACAACTTTGCGCAAGTCAATTCCGAATCGCTCACCACCTCGCCAAGCCTTTGGTTGTGCTATTTGCGACCTTGGGAGATTACAGAAACATATATCCGCCGTGCGGTATCTGCTTCCCTGAATTCCTTGAAGTCAAGATCAGCCATCAACCTTTCGCGTGGAGATTGACTTGCTCGACTGCACGAGACGCTGGCGTGGCCAATGCACATTTATCTGTCATAGCCTGCATTCTACGTCCTTGCTTTTGGAAAAAACTAGGCCTTTCTCCGCTTAGAGCAGGATGTACTGTTTGATGCCGCCTTATACATATCATGGAGCAGTTAATACGTGAACTGTACCAGCCTTCCCATCAATCGTCATCCGAGCGCATAAATGAGATCCAGAAACAAATCCAACAGCTCCAGCGCGAGAGGTCAGCATGGCGGCAAGCTGTGGACCTTCTTCACAATGGAGACGACACCATAAGATTTTATGGTGCCTTGACCCTGACCATCAAGATCAATGCTGACTGGTAAGTGTCCAAGATGATTTCCACTTTCGCATCACCAAAGTCGCTGAAATCATGTCAGGGACCGTGATGGGTTGGGCGACAATGAGAACGTGAGGAGCTCTCTTCTTGAAGCGCTAGTGGGCAACTACATACGTCTAGTGAATCTTCCCGATTCGCGCTTCGTTCTCCAAAAGCTCGGCTCGACACTTGTCAGTTTCTTTGCGAAGCCAGATTCAAGCTGGAGCCTCCCATTCAGACAGGTATTGGCCTGTTTCCTCAGCGAGAACTATGTTTTTGAAGAGAATCTACCGGAAATGGGTCAACTGCTGGAAGCCAGCAAAGACCGCTCCGACAGTGTGCTCGAGGGGGTCCTACTGCTCGCTACGATCATGGCGGAGGACTTGAATAATCGCTCTTCCAGCGCTCTGGATAAAGGGAGACTCAATGACCGCGTGGCTGCTAACTCCTTGGACGTATGGCTCCTCTTGAGGTATTGCATAAAGCTTGTGATCGGTCAACAGCAGGCAGAAGCAGCACCAGAGCAGGCACGGGCCCAGCTTAGAGACATTCTTCAGCTGGCCATGAAAGCGATCCCGTATTGGGCCAACATGAGCAAATACGCCGAAGATACCCAAGCCCAACGCAGTGAAGGCATTGCCAGAGACTGCATCGCTGCAACAGTCGACTTTTTCGAGGACGATTCCTACACAGGCTCAGTGCTTCAAATGCTCATCTCTTTGGAGAACTCTTCAGCAAGACTCCTTCGCGAGGCTTTGCCAAATTTCCCAGCTCGCCTTGTCAATTCTCCCAAGGCGAGAGAAATGGTGGATCTCCTGCTTCGGGGCGACTTCATTTCCGACGGCGTTCTCTATGTTGATCTGCTTGAGTCCATCATGGGTCACATAGACATCACCAAACCCGACTTCCTGGACAATCATCGGTACAATGAGGTAGTCGTGACTTTGCAACGGCTCCTCTCCTGCAAGGGAGTCGCCGTCATTGAGGACCCGGTGTGCCAAGTCGTCTTGGAGAGGATTGGTGAGATTATCGAGGGCTATATTGACTGGGAAGACGATAACGAACCGGCCCGGCTGTTTCTTAAGGGCGTGACGGTCAGGGTATGCGAGGCTTGCCTCCTTAAAATCCGAATACCTCCCGAAGAGATGTCCAGCGAGACCCAGTCTTGGGACGCTGATGACCGAGCAAAATTTCAGGACTTTCGTTTCGATGTGCAGGATTTCTTCCACTCGGCTTACATGGTGCTTGGGAATGCGTTGATAGAAGAAATTGTCGCCAACATTCTTGGGCATGGTGCATCCCCGGACTGGAGCATCTTTGAAGCCAGCACTTTCAGTCTTCTCGCATTCTCCGACACCATGACAGCCAATCCAGACAAGTACGATACCATCATCACTACGGTCTTGGGGAGCCCGGCGTGGAGCTATCTTCTTCAGACCGCCGACAACGTTCCAGATCGGGCATTGCGGACTGCTATTAAATTCATAGCAGAAAACGTGGCATACCTTCAAAGACATCCAGACAGGCTGGTCGCAATCCTGAACTTCCTCTTCTCTTCGCTCCACCTGCAAGCATCGACGACTGCTGCCTCGCGGGCGATATACAATCTATGCGACTTTCACAGAAGCACGCTTGGAGAAGGACTGCCTCAGTTCATCGACTCGTTGGTTTCCATCGGGGACATTGGCGAAACAGAGCGACATCGAATATACGCCGCTGTCGCGGCCATCATCCAAGCATTACCGACTGAAGAAGCCAAGGTCGAACCACTGTCACGTCTTCTTTCGCCCGTTGGCCATGCATTTACAATCCTAGACGGCAACAACATCGATAAAGCTGACATCTTGAGAGGCTGTATTGACATTATGCAGACCCTTGCCTCAATTGGCAAAGGACTGCGGTCCCCGGCCGATGTCCCGGTGGACTTGGAAGCATCGAGTGCGAGTACCTCGGACTTTTGGACGAGCGGTCAGGGCGCCATCGTCCAGCAGAATGTCCTTGCCATGTACCACGCTATCCTGCAAAAGGTCCGACCCTACATCGACAGTGTATTTGTTGACGCCTGCTGCGACTTTATCAAATCCGGCTTCACCGAAGAGCATCCGTCGCCGTTTAAGTTTACAGACTTGATCGGGCTTGAGCTGGTCAACCACTTCATCAATCTCGACAACCCAAGCATTGACAATACGATGGCTTGTGCATCTAGTTTCCTGGCTTCCGTAAGCAAGAAGAATCTTCAGGCCAGCGTCAGCGGCCTCTTGTATGCAGTCATCTCCAATCAGCGGCTGATTCTGTCAACATACCATGAAACAAAGCAACTCCCAAATAATGATTTCCTATCTAGTTCATTGGACTTTCTCAGCCGCTTGCTCAACAAATGTGCTCCAATGTGGTTTGGCATGCAAGACAGTCAAGATACAGCAGCGGTATCGGTGGAGATGGGCTTGCTTGTCATGGCAGACTCGGACACGCTCCCACGTCGATCGGCGGCAGGATTTTTTGCGGCCCTTGCAGAGAGCAGTGGCCCTGAGAACGGGTTTGACAGCGAAGCGAATGCACGTGTCAAAGGCCTGCTTCAAGACTTTGGGCCGCGGATTCTCTCACTTGTTCTCCGTCTTCTTGGAGGAGAATGTGCGCGTTCAGAGATCGACAGCCTGACCGAAACACTCAAAAGATTCGAGCAGAAACAAGCCATGCTGAGCAAAGCGGTGCTCAGAGAAGCAGTCAAGGAGGAGACCGGGGTCATGAGCGAAAAGGCCCTCAATGCGACAACGTTGGAACGACGCAATCGTTTTGTGTCACAGGTGGCAACGTTACGAGGCGCCAGGAAAACCAACGAGATTGTGAAGGACTTTTGGATTGACTGTAGGGGAAGCGGATTTGGGTATATCGCTTGATCTTGCGCCCACTTGAGTGGGGGAGGAGTAGAATTCTGAGATAAAGAGGATCAAGACGTTGAGATGCAACAAAGAAGTCTTCTTGAGAGGCGTAGAAAGTATGGAGTTGTACGAGTCCAGATAGTATCGTATCAATATACCTCGTAGATGGATGGATACGGCCCCAATTGGAGGAACGAGAAGCGTTGACCAGTGGGTGGGTGACCTGCGTCTCCGACTCCCCGTACAAGTCGCGATTCATCTCACTCTCCCGTTGCGACTAATAAGCTCCTCATCGACATTGTTTCACCTTGAGGCTGTCCTGGCTAGTGCTTCTTTTCCTTTGCATCTGACCAAAGATGCGACTCCCCTGCACTGTGCTTTGCAATTTCGGCCAGCATGAGCGGTAACAACCCGTATGCCGTCAACGGCGGATACGGGGGACTTCGCCAGTCCAACGACTCCAATCCATATGCCCCTACGAATGCTGCCAACTCGGTCTCCGGCAGTCGCTATGCGGACCCGTACCTAAATCAGCAGAACAACGGTTCCTCTCCATCCGTCAACAGTTTCGGACCTCAAGAGCGCAGGCGCAGATCAAATCCGTATGACCAGCGCGATCGAGATTCACCAAGCCCTCTGCCCTCAACGCTGTCAGGTACAGGAGGAGGGAGCATCTCGGGGGCCTATGGGGGAATGCCGCGTGCAAGATATGGGGAGACTGTTTCTCCTTCGAGGAACGAATACGACTATGGAAGAGCAAGGGACCCTCAAGAGTACGAACAGAGGCAGCCGACGCCCTCATTCCGGGAGAGGGAGAGAGCTTACAACGAAAGCCAGAGAGCATACAATGAGGGCAGGAGTCGAGATGGCAGGGAGATGCGAGGACAGATGCCTGCGCCGTCCACCATCTCTTCGAAACCGAGTCAATCCGGTCCGAGCCAACAAACGCCCACGAATGGTTACACTGCCCACCAGAACTACGCTCCTCCAGACACTGCCAACCGACATTACTCTCCCCGACGTCCGGCAAAGAGCATGGACCAAATTCTGCGTCACATACAGTCAGATTGGAAAGATATGGAGGGTGACGATTGTGTCCCTGTGAAGATGGCCCTCAGGCTCATGGATCCCAGTTCCCTGGGCCTTGCTGATAAAGAGGGAGACTTTGCCAACACCCACATGGACCTGCAGAAGTGTCTGAAGTCCGTGGTCAACGAGCACTATGCCGACTTTAACAGCGCCGTGGGCACTTATCACAAAATACAGAACGCGATTCGGGACAGTCAAAGTCGCGTGAGACATTTGAAGCTCGGCTTGATGAACGTCAAAGACGGCATGCTAACGATGCGGCCGGAGCTGCGGACTCTTGCCGAACAGAGCGGCGAACTCGATGGCATGCTTGTCACGTTGGGCAAGATAGAGTCTTTCAAGCTCATTCCGGGGAAGCTGGAAGAGAAAATCAGCGAGAAGAAATTCCTCGGGGCCGTCGACATTTTGATGGACAGTCTCAAAGACATTACGAAAAGCGAGTTCGACGGTATCGGCTCCATCTCCGATCTTCGGAGCTATTTCACCAACCAAGAGAGCACCTTGTTGGATATCCTCATTGAGGAGTTGCACGAGCATCTCTATCTGAGAAGTCCTTATTGCAAGGACAGGTGGAAAGGCAAGAAAGCCAACGGAGAAGATAGAGATCCAAAGGACAATATGATGGCCGTGGGAATCAATGCTTGGGACCGACCCTTCAACCATTACTTAAACAACGTCGACCTCACGGCGCCTATGGTGGAGGATCCAACCAAGAACCCCGAAACTGACACGTTCTATTATATACACATGATCATTGAATCACTCAACAAACTGGGTCAACTTGGCGAGGCCGTTTCGAGGATTGAGCAGAGAATGCCTCTTGAGTTATACAAGGTCGCCGACAAAACCAACCACGACATAGATGCCAAATATCCTAGTCATCTGAGAGCCCAGTTCAACAAAGCAAATCGAAAGACGTACTCATTGCAAGCGAACGATGGGAGGGCACAAGTCTTGTCCGACTTCCTGTGGACCCTTTATTCCAAGTTTGAAGCCATCGCCGAAGGTCATCGGGTGCTTCACGAAGTGATTGGAGGTATTGCTGCCAGAGAAAAGGCGGCCAAGCCAGACAAGTACACCACCGGCTTCAAAGAGCTATGGAAATTGTATCAGCTGGAAATGCGGTCGATACTGCATGACTATCTGGCCACCGACGGCGACCACACATCTTTGCGCTCTGGATTGTCTGGCACTGCCAGCACCGACATTTTCGCTCGGCCCCAGCGGGACAAGAATAAAAAGATGTTCCGGCTTGCGGAGATGGACCAGAAATCAGAGTCCATGAAGGCCGAAGAGGATGAGTTGAATGAAATCCTCAAGAGCTCAGTACCCGGTCTCGTCAGCAAAGCCCGCGCGAAAGATGGGGCCGATGTGCTTACAGACCGCAGTGGACAGGACAGCACTGTGACAGGCCACAAGTTGTTAATTGAGCCAGGCGTCTTCAACATGACCATCTTGTTGACTCCGTCCCTGACGTTCCTGCAGCGTCTGAAAGACATTGTACCTTCGACGGCACATATTCCCATGAGCACGTTGACCACCTTCCTTGACGACTTCCTCATCAACGTATTCCATCCTCAGCTCGAAGAAGCTGTCACCGAGCTGTGTGCGCAGGCCATGATTGATCTAGAAGCATTCTCAGAAGACCCGCAATGGTCGAAGCACTCGCCGCATCCGATCTTCAAAGGGACAGTATCTTTTATGGCACTAATCCGTGCCTTTTCGGCAATGCTGAGCTCGATTCCGCAAGATCAAATATTCACACAGCTCATCATCGACCAGCTGGTCACGTATTATGATAAGTGTTACGGCTTCTATAAGGCTCTAGTGAGCCGCGTGGCGTCTCCAGATCCGAACCAAGATGGCAACAACACCTTGTCAACCAAAGCGGCTGCCTCGCTTGCAGCATCCGGCGAAGTCCACGATGCCGCGCTGGAGCTGCTGAACTACGACAAATCGACCAACAAAGAGGCGTCTCGATCCAGCCTGATCACCAAAGAGGTGCAGAGTCTCCTTTCTGCGACGAAGGCCAACCCGCTCTCCGCCTACGACATTATCTCCGACCCAAAATCAGTCCATCAGCTCTCCCTGCTCTATAACAGCATGCAGTGGTTAGGCGCCGCTCTGGCACAAATTCGACATGTCGACAGCAGTCTACATACAGGATTCTCACATGCAAGAAGTGGTTCGCAAAATAGAAACGCGCGGCGATGGACGTTGATCACCAGTTTGCGAAGTGGCGGACCCAGCAAATCGCCCTCCCACGCTGGCGCCACGGCCCCAGTTTTCTTACCTCTCACGTCTGAAACAGCCATTCCTTTTGATACGGTTGTGTCCTCCTTCCGCTCACTGGGTCAGACGTGCCTGTTGACACTTCATATCGACATCCGTTGTGGGATTATCCACCAATTATCCCGCACCTTGCGAGGGCCTGACTACAACAACAGCCCGACCACCTCGCCTGATAACCGAGACTCTGCGGGTGCTCCGCCTCTGGATTCAGGACTTTACCCTTACGTCCTATCTTCTCCACCGTCTTCAGCGTCTCCGTTAATCCTCGAGCTCAACAACGATCTCATTGCTTTCGACTCCAACATCGCATCGTTCCTGGGCACGCGAGAGAGGAATTTCATCCTCAAGGGGCTATCGCAGCTCGTAGATCGCTACCTTGTTGCCGCCGCCGATGTGATTGGAGTCATGAATGCCAATGGGGCCGAGAGGGTCAGGATTGACACAATGGTGGTGCAGCAGAATTTGAGAGCTATCCTCGCGAATACAACGGACAAGAGACGGAGCTGGACCAGCAACAGCAACAGTAAGGAGCAAACTGGCCTCGGCATTTCCACGGCCGACGACTCGGAACGCGACGAAGACGACGGGCTTCTTATTTCCTCGAGTCGATATTTCGACCTGTTCCTCACCGGACCGGATTCGATCCTGCAATACGTCCGGGACTGCAAGGCACAGAAGAAGGATGTCGGATACACCTACGACGAACTGCGCACGCTGGTCGAGTTGTATTTCAGCGCGAAACTGAGGGGCGAGGACCGGGAGGAGGCAATCCGGGCGAGGAAAGGGTTGCAAGACGCACTGCTGGGTTTGGGCGAAGGGATGTGGGATAGCTAAACAATCGCCTGCTACTAGACTTGGTTGGTGCTCAGATTCTGGGGTTTGGTGATGTTTGACTGGAAGGATCGGACATGATGTTTTCCAGCATATAGCCTGATTTTTTCCGGGTTAGTAAAACTTATACAGTCGGCCTCGAATACGAAGTACAATTGATGAGACGTAAAAAGGTGCATTCCGACGATCGCGTGGATGGTCTCCTCCCTTTTCCAATCCGATTCTTCCAAGGTTTTATTCTCTGGCTGTTGCATGAACTGCCATTGTCCCGTCGCATGGCGGTATAGTGTCAAAGAGACATGAACTCCCCTAACTCGCCCTTCGACCCACGAACCCGGACCCAAACCCGACCAAGTCTATCCCATTTCTCAGCCCCTTCTGCTTCTGCTTCTGCTTCTGCCTCCTGCGTTTGTATTTGCTTTTGCTTTTTGCCTTCTGCTTCCCCCCCCGTAGTCCCTGAGCCTGATTGCTGAAGCGTTCACCCCTCCCCCCTACCCGACCTGGTGATCTAGCCGAGTCGAAGAGGAGGAGGAAGCGTGTACTCGGCATGTCGCACCGGATCTCTCTGGCCTATCGACGCAAAAAGGTATAGCAGCCCCCCACCCCTTGAATTGTTTTGATCCACCTGACTGTTGGGTTTCAGTGCGTTGATCGTTATGGGGGGGATCGTTGGCTGAGACGAAGGCCAAGTGATAGCGAAAGAGGCGCAGGCTGGGAGGTATCCTAGGTAGACAGGCAGACGCAGGCAGGAACGTAGGTATTTAGAAAGCGTCTTCTGGCGTGCTGCCCGACATTGTTATCCATTGGTATAGTGGTCCGATGAGATCAGTATAGTCGTCTGCGCAAAATCCTTCTTGTCTTTTCCCGACCCCAAGTCCTTTTTCATTGTGTTTGCCCCTTTTTCCCCCCTTCCTTCCTTTCCCTTTTCAATCCTTACATATGGCCAGAGGTTGGATAACTTGTCTCTTATGGTCTGCTCTTGGGATTGTCCCTCTTTTCTGCACCTCTTCTATCTATATCAATCTCCTCGTCGGTTCTTTTCTCCATCCTGTTGTTCTTGGTATCTCCATCTCCTCCTTGCCCTGCTTTCTTAGGCTCTTTAGTCTCGGCTTGCTGCGGTGCTGATGCAACTTCGTCACGATTGATGAACGATTTGGACCCGGCCGTGGGGGGGAGACGAGGGGAAGGAATTCGTCAAACATGCGCACAGAATGCTTGTGTTCTCTCTTTGATCATGCAACTCTCAGACTGTCGTGTATCGTCACATGCATTATACAAAGCGAGTTGGTCGTCTGAAAAGATCCTGTAACAGGGCAAGTCCACGCGACTTCGTCAACTTCTTTTTCAAATAATTTCTTTGTGAGGAGTTCGACACCCGTATGCCTTCGTATGCATCAACGATTTCAAGTATCTCAAAATTCACCGCTCTTAGTGTCAGGTTGTAGTCATAGTCCAACAGCAGAGCCGCCCTGCCAAACAAAAAAAGGTGACGAAACCAAGGGCGGTTCTGCACCAATTCGAGCAAGAAAATCAAAGTAGACGGCGACGTCGAACAGATAGGGAGATGTTGATTTGTGAAGCAATATTCGATACATTCGGGTTTCTAGCCTGGCTTTGACATTAGCACAATCGAACGGAAACATCGCTAGGACGAGGGCTGGAGCTAGATGGTGCCTGTTGGTTTCGAATAGTCGAGTATTGAGGCGTGCCTGTTCGCAAGCCTTGAACAAGCATTGTCAACATGATCGACCGACCATATCCCTTCGCCTATTTTACCTTTTTCTTCAGCTCCTTTATCATGTTAAAATTCGACTTCATGGGCCTCGGCAGGGTTGGCTGCACAAAATTAAGCAGTCCCTAAACCGAACGGCGTGGAATATCATGTTGGCATCAAATTCTTCTTTCCTGAGTGACGAGGCGTCCTTCTGTGCTTTGTGCTTTGTGTTTAAGGGTTGCAGTCTCGGAAGTCGCAGACAAGGGCACCAGGGTATTCGGTTCAACGTTGAAAGAAAGCATGCTTGAAGCAACGGATCTTGCAGGCAAAGCAGGAATGAAACTGTCAACAGGGTTTTCAAAACCCAACAGAAGATACTGCTATGTTGATTTCGAGTCTCTGTCCATCAGTCAATACTTTCAGCTTTCCAGACAACGCTGTCATGCCCCCGAACGACACGACACTTCGGTCAAGCATTGAAAGCTGAAGGAGCATCGAATTAAACGTGCACGGAAAGCAGAACACCATGTGGTGTCTGCAATGCCTGGTAATCTCGAGGAAGGTCGCCGCGGTCAGGCTGCAAAAGGAGGAATATGGTAAGGCGAGAGAGCGAGACATCAGTGTCTCCACTGGACCTCAAGGCTGCAGAAGAAACAACATCATCATCATATATGGCGGTAACCTGACACGGAGAGATATCGTGCTGGAGATTCTGAGAGAGGTGAGCAAGCTTTGAAGCACTCACATCGAAGATATCCAACGTAAAGTAGTAAGAAGCGCCTTCGTCCCCTTCTCTGGGCGATTGCTAAAACAATAGCCCCGTAACGGCCGGGCCCCAAGAATGGCCAAGCCAGCTCAAAGGCCGGAGACACCAGAGGCCCTTGAGAGGACGGGTCTACCTCCCGGCAAGGACAAAAAGAGGCTGACCAGTGGAGCACTGCTGTGTCTCCCTAACCCTGGAAAATGCCACTTGGATAAAACTTCCGGGCTGGCAGGGCACTGGGGAACCATGGCAATTGCCGATCCAAGGATAAAGCGGAACCCGAATTCAACATCCGGACTCGTCCACGTATTTCCAGGCGACCTTTTGCCACACTTTGTGGTTGGATGTGGCTTGTTGGAGGAGCTTCTCTGTCCAGTGTCCAGCGTGTCCTTGCCCATTGTCCATATCCAGCACCAAGCTCCCAATGGCCAATGCTCGCCATAGAGTTAACAGCTTCCCGTGCCGATCTCAGGCCGGAAGTGGATCGCGCGCTCGTGGGTTTGCCACAGGACGAATTCCCACGCACATACCAATCTGTCTGTCATAACAGCCGTCGGAGCCACGGTGCTGGAAGACAATCTTGGACACCGTCGTCGCGCCAAAGAGTCAAAAGCGTAGATAACCCTGGGTGAAATCTACTGACAGATCTGGCTGGTACTCTCATGTCATGCCTTTATCTAGCGCTAGCTTCAATGAGCATGGGTTAAGGCTGTGGGAGCGAATTAAGGACGCCAGGAGTTACTTCTCCTCGCCGGTCAATTGGAGAAGCTGCCCCTGGGTTCTGGATCGCAAAATCGGTTTTCCGGGAAATTCTAGACGGAAGGACTAGGGCATGGGCCTAAGTATGTACTTGAGCGCGGTCTTGCAAAGTTTTTCGGGTGGGTTGTGGAGGCCGGAAAACAGGGTCAACAAGAGCCCAAGTCAGAGAAGATGGTGGAAAAAGAAATGGTCGCGGTAAAGTGTTTGACGATTCCATTATGAGGACGCCACTTTGTGTCTTGACCCGATTGGACAGTTGAGATCTTAGTAGGGACTCTCTTCCACGATGCTGCATCGCGCCCAAACTTGCCTCAATCCCTCTTTTCCAACCTTACAACCTGGGACTGAGCCAAGAAGGACTTTGTCGCCAATTCTCGCCCATGCCACTCCTCTAACATCTGACCGTGTTTTCTACACTCTCCTGAAGCATATTGGACATCCCTGGCCAAGGCTTTGTGGGTTCCCAGGGCCATCGAGCAAGCGGTGGCTGAGACGGTGGCTGAAATAGAGAGGAGTTCGGGTGGCAACGATGAGCGACGTTCTGCAGTCTTGTGGCCGTCTGTCATCGATTAGAACCATACCTTTGCATTCCCGATAACGTAGCCGTCTTATTGCGGTGCCTCACTGTCGGGAACTGCAGAGCGGAAGCTGGTTGCGTTAGTGGGGGACAAGACACCGCTCCCCAAACCAGCACCGTCATCTCGAGAGCCGTCGGCGCAACCTGGCCAGGTGTTCAGCACGACAACAGGATGCCAAACCGCAAAGAGGTCCAAGATCTTAAGCCGTCGCCCAAAACGGGAGGTGGCGAGCCCGCTAAATCAAGGGTCAGGATCGGGAGGGCCTGTGATCGCTGCAAGATCAAGAAGAGCAAGGTGAATTGACTCTTTGCCGGCAGAATTTTGCCGGCGATCCAGCAAAGGCATTGTCAGATGGCTGACATCCAGTGTAGTGTGATGGTAACACACCTTGCTCGGCGTGCATAGCAAGTGAAAGCACATGCGAATATAGTGCGCGACGACGCAGAGAGGCGAGAGACTGGTGAGTGGCCCCGATGGTCGCATCGAGAATCGACCGTCTTGCGACAAAACATTCCGTGTTCTTGTATGTTTCCTTTGCCGCTCTGAGCCTGACGATTCTGCCTGCAGGTATTGGGGTATGCAGGATGTGATCGACGAAGCGCTCCAGAGACTCTACTGGGCATGTCGCCAAGGCCGCGGCTTCCCAGGAGTGATTCCAGACGAGAGCAGCGGTCGAGTATCCACTGATGCAATTCTTCGAGGGTTGGGGTTGAGCCCTCCAGCGGTAGACAATACTCGTATGGCAGCTAGCCGGTCAGATTCGGTCTTGGAAACGCAGAATCCGCTGCACCGTCCACAATCGTATCATCCCCCGGATTTTCCACCCCCAGATTTGTCGCGCACCAAGACCGCCTCTTCTGCCGTGACTCGATCGTCGACGACCGGCGATGACCGACTCACCTTTGCAGAAGCGACGACTGATGGTGCCAGCCGAAGAGGGAAACAAACATCAGCAATGGAAGTAGACGGCGAAGAGGAGGAGATGTCTGATGGCATCCCGGACAGCCTTCCGGACGGCTTCGCGGAACAATTCCAGGGGAGTTTGGGTAGCAGTATCGACCCTGCAATGCTGCAAGATGGCCATGTGGATTTGACCGCCGGCTCATTATACCCAAATATGAGTGTTATGGACTTTGCAGGAAGGGGACGACCCGGGATGCAGGGTCAGCGGATGCCCACACAAGCTGCGGCTGGCCAGTTCCAAGTCGACGGTCTACCGGAGGAAACATTCGGAGCGGGTGGACAACAGCGATGGCAAGGACGGGGACACGAAATCGATGGCATGCTTCCTTGGCCCGGGAACATGGCCTCCATGTACAGGGGGACTAGGCAGGATGAGGCCGGAGGTGGTTTCGACGATCATGTTGACGGAGAACGATGAGCCCCCGGGAGGCAGTCTACCGTAGCGGTTTCTCTCGTGGAGCAGAGGACGCCTTTGGCTCAACGCAGAAATGTCCAGAGGAGACAACAGCGCTAATGACAGCAACCCAAAGGGTGGTAACAGGGTAGATTTGCATTCGATAGCGACATACAAGAAGTCTCGGAAACAGATGGCGTCGTTGCAACACAAAGCCAGCATAAATGGTTCCAAGACAGACCAAAATACAGAGGAAAAGAATGGTCAGGATCTCACAACACAGGATGAGTTCAAATACCGCATGGGAGTACGAGATGCAGGAGCATCCGGGGGCACGAGAACGACCCGGAAGTAACGAGGTCAGGAATTGGGGAGTGAGATGAGCAAGAAAACAGCGAGGGCAGTGGGCATTTAAATAAAAGAACTTAGCAGAGTGGACGCACCAGACGGGCGAGATAGTGCTGAGTGGTGAGTGGTGGAATGGGCACGATATTCGAGGTACACGCGGATTCATTTTCCGAGGGGTGGACGAGAACAGGACAAGAGCAGTAAGGCGCCGGGCGAGCACTTCCAGGCGGTCAGAACCACGCACCTAAGCGGGTGTGGCGGGGGCCCCTAGCAGTGGATATCCACTGGACCCCTAGTATCCCTAGGCGTCGCAGCCCCGAGCCCCCCTACAACCTGTAAGGGCGTAGCGTCAAAGTCTTGCGACGAGAGAAAGTGGATGGTTCACGTGACTCTTATCGATAACGCAATATGCTAGTTCTTTCACGAGGTTGTTCGCCCTTAACTGTACGCCACAGGCCTATCAAACAAAGGGCTCTCTCTCTCTTGACGACAACGACAACGACTAGGTGTAAAGTGAATTCAAACATGTCGTCCAACGTTGGTCTCTCCACCCCTCGTGGCTCAGGAACATCAGGCTATGTTCAGCGCAATCTCTCTCTCCTGAAACCCCGCGCCGTCGGTGTCGGTGCCCCCTACAGCCTAGATTCCTCCGCTCGACAACAGCCCCCCAAGACGCGGAAGCCCGACCAAGAAATCCTGAACCATGACCGTCTACGGGCCATTGAAGTCAAAGTCCTGGAGCTGAGGGAGAAATTGGAGGATGACGAGCTCGATGAGGACCAGATCGATGAAGAGTGTGAGAAGCTGCGAGAACAGTTAACGAAGGAGATGGAGCGCGAGAAGAACCGGGACCGTGGGAGATCAGGAGGCGGCAGCAGTACCAGAAGAGCGGACGGGAAGGGGCTCAAGAGCTACCAGGTGCACGAGTTGGCCGAGGCAAAGGAACAAGAGAGTGAACGACTGCGAAGAGCTCTGGGGTTGAAACCTGGTGAGATTCCCCAAGACGACGAGCATCCCATGGCAAGACAGGAGAAGAGGAGACGGGAGAGAGAGGAAGCTCAAGAGAAGACGGAAAATGTGAAATGAGGTTCTCAACGACAGAGCACCAAGCAACCGACGGCAAGCCCCTCTATCTCAGAAAATGCTGGCCGTCATCGCAAAGGAACTCCCACAGCGCAGACGGGAGAAACTGGCGTCGCACTCCGTCCTTTCTCCGCTATCAATATTATGGTTGATTGCCTGCCTAGTAACCAAAACACTCGAGCAAGACCTCATGTGGGTATTGGCTTTACGTCCTCTCTTCTGCAGGCCCTCAGAGTTTAACGACAAATGCTCTCCATCGGTCAGACCACGCTCTCCTCCTATCATGAGAGCTCAGACTCCAGAGTTCAGACCAGATCCTGCACCGTTCTCTCGCAACATGCCCGAATCAAGCAAGTCAACAAGGGTGAGCAAAAACTGTCAAGAGTCCAACCGGCGACACCTGACGCAATGGCCGACGACGAGTTTACTCATGTTATCCTAGACCAAAAGGCTAGAGAATGACGACGAGATTCGTCCAGATCTTCACCGCTACAGGGATGGGAGGAGGAACCCCGTAGAGGTGTGCAATGGCCCAAATCTGGGCGACACCGACGAAATGATGACGGAGGAGTGTCGTTGAAGCCCTGGCGGCGGAATTCAGCGACAGTCGCGAGGGCACCAAGGTAGTACAAGGGCTTGGAAAGTTTCCTGATACGCAGCCCGGCCGAGACGGGGGAGACAGTGGCTTCGATGGTGCGGTATACACACGAATTTCGAGGTCGTCGTCGGCTAGAAGAAGATGAACTTTGAATAACGAAAAATGGGGAAAAGTGATTAATCATTGGTTATAAGGTTACCTTCAGTTATGAGGGTAGTCCATCTACTCTTAGATATAGCGGGATTCCTATACGTATGACGAAGTATTAACTATCGCTAATATACCTAGGTAGCTGGCATCTTGTCGTTATTGAGCACTCTGCCCCGGATGGTGCCTTTTATTGCTGAAGCGGGCTCGTCGATATACTTTCTAGGAGCCTCTCACAACAATGAGGTATGTCTTGTCAAAATAACGTGCAAAGCTCTCATTCCAAAAATATTTGCGTTATCTAGCAGAGCGAATCCCGCAATATCCGTGCGCGCTGACATGGTATCATCCCGCTCATAGCCCATGTGATGGATGAATATCTCGTACCGAGTACCGAGTATGTCCTCCCCCAAAGCAGATGCGACTTTTCAGCCGCCGGACTCCGAGAGTCAGCCCGCACCGCAACTCCTTCCTTGGGTGCCTCCCGTCCCATGCCAGCTCTTTGCTCCAGCTCTGCTAGGGGTGTTCATTGCGTCGGTGGCAGTGCAATGGGCGAGTGCCTGAGAGCCAGCCCTTCTTTGGTAATCACCAGGAGTCAGTAGTGTCCAGAAGGAGTGGACTCCAACAACAGTCATCGCAATTCTTTCCGCCTGCTGGGCTACCCTTTTCTTATGGAAAGGGCCCCAAAGCAAGAACAAACCCGTCCACCACCTGCTTGGGAACCTTTGTTTTGCGCTCTGTTGCTCGACGAGTCTCGAACGAAACTTGTAGAGAACTCGCCTGGCTACAGAAAAGTCCGGCTGCAGTAGTTTCCGAACAATGCAAGCGCTTTCGTTGTGCTCAAGGCAGACATTCCCTGTACCCTGTACCATGTACCCTGTGACCCAATATGCGCCTGCATTCAGGTTCCAAAGGCTCTAGATGTGAAGGGTGTTGATCAGCCTTGTGACACTTCTCCCAGCACGTCATGAGCAATTTTTCCTCTCCCATGTGATAGGGGTGATGACCTGGCTGACCAGTCGGACAGGCTCCACCGAAATCTCAAGGATGTGGCCGTCAAAGCGGTCAGTCAGTGGCTTGGACTTTCGTTTTGGTTGATAGTCCTCAGGCTGAAGATGAGAGAATATTATCGATGTGGTGGTTGTCCCTGTCTTCATCTGAGGACTGGTTGATCGATGCCTGCAGCCTCCTAGTTTGCGCAGATACGTACCTTTATGCCTAGTCAATGATTGATGGATGAATGGATAGATGTGCTGCAATAAACGTTGCAACGCCCGCTTATTGGGCGCTTAGAAGGCAGCCTTTCCTGGTTGTTACGGATTGGTTCGCGAATGCAAAGAGTGGCTCCATTAGCCCATCATTCCGTGTTTCATACACAAGCCCCAACACCAAATGATTCGACTTTCTGGACTGCACACTTGTTGCACTCAAAACGCTTCTCACTCCTCCTTCGATGTGCCGGGTCTGAAGGGCAACATACAAATGAAAATGCTCATGTCCCTTTTACCTCTTTGTTTGGTGCAGCTCTCCGACCGAGTGTCGCTGTGTTCGCCGAGTAGTAAAGCCTTGTAGGGAATATTCTGTCCCTTGTCGACCCCTGCCAGAATTCTAGGTCCAATTTCCCAGAGCCGCCACTGCAGGCGTTTGTTGGGAAGATACTCCGTACTCTCAACCGTCCCATGGACCATGATTCATGTCCGCGTGTGTGCTTGAAGCTTTACCTCAGTGACGCTTGTGAGGTTCGTCCAACCGCTGGAGAATGTGCAGTCATCCAGTGATGGCCCTTTCTTCTCTCTGTCTCGGGTCGTGCCGTGTCTCCTTGTGCCACCCTAGAACTCCCATATTGTTGCAACTCGCGCCAAGCTGAGCAACAAGTCGTCTGGAACAGGATGTCGTTGTCACCAAACACATCGACAGTGGCTGACCATACTCCAATGATGGTCCCAGATCACTTCTGCCTTGCCGTCGATGAAACCAGAGGCGTATAGTCTTCCATGTCCTCTCGTGCTTACTGCCGCCATGTTGATATAGCCTGCATTTCGCATCGGTTTCGACCATGTGATGGGCATGTTCAATTGTGTGTCGCGCGCTTCGAGCCATGTGGGTGTCGGAGCCGTCTATTGTCTTGACCTTGGGCACCCCGTGTCTCAAAGCATATATTAGCACTGTCATCCTTTGGTCTTATTGCTTCTGATCAGCTTCGACAACCCACTCCAGTCACTCAGCCCGCCACAGCCTGAAACCGACAAGCTCTCTCGGACAAGTAATCCATTCATTTCTCCAAGCAACAACGAAGACTTCAATCCATCGTCTTCACCCACCCGTTCTTCACAAGCATTCTCATTGTCATAAAGGAAATGAAGATCATCTCACTGCTCATTGCTTTCCTGGCTGCCGGAGTCATGGCTGCCCCTATTGATCCTCCTCCAGGTATGCGCCGTCTGTCTGTCATGTTGTGACATCATATTCAAAGGTCTAGGATTACTCGATCGTGGTGTGAGCGGTGGCGGACGCGACCATGGCAACGGCGGCTTCAAAAGAGACGAGCTCGTCGACCGTGGGGTGAGCAGTGGCGGGCGCGACCATGG